TGATGCACTCTTGGACAGTAAAGCTCCAGTGAGACATTTTTAACTGGTAATGAAACAAACTGATATTCAAACCAAGACTCTAAATGCAAATAAAGCCATCAGAGATGAGACTGTTGAATTTTTACTGCTTACATCAGCTGCAGGACCAAGTCATTAACAGCATACTGCCAAAACAGCTTTTGTTTATGTTTGCTATGACAACGACTCACAGTGGGTGTTAAAACTCTCCCATTTAAGTGGATGGCCTCAACAGCTTTAAGTGTGGATTTATTCACAGTGACTCTGTCTTTGAGTGCTTGTTAGGACTGATCTGTTTGAGGAGAAGCTAACACATGCACAGTAATTGATCATGAAGACACGAGGAGAAGAAAACGTCTTTTCAAAAACCTTTAGTAACTCTTTGAAGAGACGTTTTAAAGCTTAACAATAACAGATGTCTGACTGATGACGCTGACTCAATCTAACTTACCAATGACAGAGAAACAAACAAAGAGATGGGGCTGAAGCAGGCCTTGAGCTTCTTGGCAGACAGCTGTAGTATGAGTAAATCTGTGTGTAATGATTTTCAGGACGAGGTTGAAGTTTGACAAAGTTAGTCAGCAACATCATCACATGGGTTAGAAACTGTAACTAGGACTCTATAGAAAGTAAACAAAACATACCAACATGGCTGCATTTTACCTTTATGGCTACAAAGACAAGAGCGCATCAAAAATGCACAAGGGTCTGAAGAGATAGGAGGTTGGACATCGCTTTTTAATACATCAGTGTAACATTCAGCCTTCTAGTCAAAGTTTGACACTTTCATCTCCTCACTTAAAAATCTTCAGCTCATAACATTTCATCTTTTTCATCCTCCTCTCCTTCCACTGATCAGTGGAGCAAACTTGTACTGTGATACAGCAGCAACCACACAGAACATTAAATATAAAAACTCAGTCATTTGTCTCTTAGTAAGAATCATAAAGTAACTGCAGTTCATGAGCAGGAAAGTCAGCTGTCAACATAATTGTTACTTGCAGCACTACTTCACCCAACAGCGTGTACAAATAAATAAATGACCAGCACACTGTAGACCAGAACCCTTTGTTGAACAAGGCTGAACATGTGTTTAACTCTGCTGTAACAATAAGAACCTTTTTGAGGCACTAGAGATACTGTAGTAGTTCCTTAAACATCTGCACTTGCTTCACTTTTTAACACAGACATGTACATCTGCATTGTCTCTTGGCTGATTCCTTTGTGCTAAAAACTGAGCCTGTATTGAGCGTCTTTACTTGATAGCCCTTTATATCTATACCTGAAAAACAGCCTGTCAGAACACGTACAAAAGCAAACTGCAACAAAGCAAAGTCAAGGTCAACAATAGCTCTCACTGACATCATTAAATGGATAGTTGTGTCAGTAACTTAGCAACAAATCCAGCCATATTTATCAGTACCACTGCTCATAATCATCACTCATGAACAGCATGATGTTAGATATGTTATAGCGAACAAAGCTGTAACTTCAGGTGCACACATTAAACCACCAAAAGACAAAAAAGTACAACTTACATTTGATGGAGCAGAGGTTGAAAATCTTCCCTCTAAACCAGTTTTTAGTGCTTTCTACTCCAGCTGTGTTCAAAGTTCTCCCTCTGCTGAATTGATCGATTAGCAGGCCAGCAGGAGAGGGACAGGAGAGTGGCTGCTACTCAATCGGGTCCATCTCTTGATTGAATTTCCATCATGGTGCAATTGTATCACCGGGTGCTCTGCCTACAGGAGGGAGAGGACACAGGTCACCACACTCGACAGGGTTCCACTTTCTTTGCAGCCTGAAGGGGGCCTCTATCAGCAGCACAGGAATTGACAGGCTGTGCACAAAAGCTCCCATGAGAGACACTCTTAGTGATTCTGCTACGATGAATGGCAGAGGGCTTTCACACATGTAAACACCACCCACACTTCAATTTATACAACATAGCATGGAGGATATAGAGAGAATTAACCTGAACCGACTCGAAGATCTTTACCTCTAATTTAAAACAGGATTCAATATTTCTTCACCCAAACACAGTGAGAGTGTACAAGATAAAATAAAGCATCCATGTTTTATCTGTCCACGGTAATAATGTGTTGAATGAGGGACACTGGATAGCCACGGTTCACCTGAGAGGAATGCATAATTCACAGAGTATCACTGCTCCTTTAAGCATTCAAAGCCATCAGGTTACACAGACAGGGGACGCCTGACAGTGGACCACTTCCCTCAAAAGTTAACTGGGAGCTTCTTTGACACTTCTCATTAACAGTAACCTTCTATTTCCTTCTGTTCTTATCTACCTGCTACAGCAGAGACACCAAATTTACACTAATGAGGACACCGAAGCAAAACTCAAACAGTATACAGCTGCATGACAACCTAAAAACACATCTGGAGCTTGAAATGAACGCGACTTTTTTCATCACACCTCGTGCACTTTGAAATCTGAGAACCCAGTTTACAGACCGTGTTTACTTTTTTCTTTTTAAATAGTGTAATACAAGCCGATACTTAAGATATAATTCTGCAGGTCAAGAGTAGCTCTGTGATGGCTTTCAAAGCATGTGGTCCCTCTGAGCTCTGCTTCTTTTCCAGGCTCTTATGCAGAAAATATAATTAGAGCAATTCTTTCATTTGACACAGAGAGCTATAAGATGAAATAAAGAGGAAAAAACAGAAGCAGGAGCAGGCAATCACACGCACTGATTAAACATTTCCACAAACTGCTTTGCTTCTAAAATAAGCATTTTGAGCAGACTTTTTACTTGCATCACTTGAACCAATATTGGGAGTTTGTGCTGATGTAATGTGTATGAAGACCTTACTGATTTCTGTGTTTTGTAGCTGTTTGTTTACGCTGTACACTGTTGATTTTCTTAATAATCCCTCTGAATATGCAAATATACTCAGTGACCTTTTATGCACATTTCTCTTTTTATGTGTGCACTGATGCTTTCATCATTATGCACATACCATGCAGCTGAGGTTGTGCTTCACCTCCTCCTTGCTAATAGTGCAATCTGTGCACACATTTGTGCACTCCTTGGATTAAGTCGTGTAAACAGCATTGGTCACTGTGTCACTCCAGAGTGCAGCATAACTGACACGGTCTCTGTTCACTTTTGTTGATATGTGGATTCAGTTGAAAGAAAATGTGCCTGGACTGAAATTGTCTGAAGTCTGACTGCAAACTGTTTTTAAGATAAGCTCTTTAGCATCATCTACTGCTCTGTGTGAGAAGCACAGGGAGCTACTCTGACGCCTGTTCAACCACATCTAGTTATTCAAGAATTGGTAGAATTGGTATGCCTAACTGGATTAAAAACTAAGGTGGCAAGGTAAAAAATAAAGGGGGGTTAGATTTAGCATATGTTATTTTTATTACTATGAAATATCTACCATGAAAAAGGTATATGATGCATATACATAACTGCTGATTAATATATTTTCTGAATCACTTTAGTTGACCGGAAGAGTAACTTTTTGTTTGTCCCCTGTGGGCAAGGTGGTCTTGGCTTCTCCTGTTCTCTTAATAATAATAATAATAATAATAAAAATAATGCATCGGATTTCATATATCGCTTTATCAGAGACCCTTAAAGGGCTCAAACAGTCAAACCTTGGAGGTGGTAAACTACCTTAGTAGTCACAGCTGCCCTGAGGCAGACTGACAGAAACGTGGCTGCCAGTTTGTGCCTTCGGCCTCTCCGACCACCACCACACAACACTCACAATCATACACCAGTGGAGGACACACACTGGGAGCAAGGTGGGTTAAGCGTCTTGCCCAAGGACACAACGGACAGACTAGGGATAGAGGGGAATGGAACCGCCAACCTTCCTGTTATTGGACAACTGTTCTACCTCCTGAGCTACTGCCGCCCACTTCATCTCTAGGTTATATTTTGACAGAAAAATCTTATCCTGCTGACTTTTGACAAATACAGTATATCATTTAAGAGGAATATTTTACATTTAAATTGTAATTGTCACAAAATTATTGTTGCACTTAGACTGTGAATTTGTTGGTTCCCCTCCCTTACCATATCTGTTGCTTTTTTTCTTGAATTGAATTTCTTGAATTTGTATTTATTTTGACTTGTGCTGCTGACCTCTGCCAGGTCACACTTGTAAATGAGATCATGATCTCAATGGAATTTTACCTGGTTAAATAAAGGTAAAAAGAAAAAAAAGAAAAAGAGGGCTGTTTCTTTTGCTGCTTCTTTTGTCTACCCTCTCGCATTAGTTTTGGGCATTTCAAGTTCTTGTAATTATGGAATCTTCCAAATGAAACACCCAACTTTTCCATTTTCAGTTTGTAATTTACAAACACACTCAAAATCACACTGAACATGAAGAAAAGCATAACTCAACCTTATCCATCCACCCTTATGACTCATTTGATGATTATTATTTAATTGGACTGGGCCTGGAGTACACCTGCACTACATCTTCTTGAACACAAGATGGCAGTACGGTTCACTGTTTTTGCCCCCTTCAGGAGAAAGCAGATAGGCTATGGGAGACTTGAAACCCTATTGAATTACATTTTCTCTGAACAGGCAGGCATTCCTGTCGTTTACCTTGCAAGTGGGAACCATCCAAATGCGCTATTGCAGAATGCGTGTCTTGGTGACAGGATTTACAGATATTACGGTAAATTTATGAACGTTTCTGCAAATGAAGCCTTGGTAAAGTTGGATATAGAAAGTTCAATGGGCCTATTTAAAAACGGCTAAGAGTTTAGTGTCAAAACTAGTTAACGAAAAACAATAGAAGCTGAACATTTTTTTTCAGTCATGATGAAACAGCAAATTCAGGACTCTTTGAGATAGTTCACCTCACTGACCAATCTGCTTGTTCAATGAATTACTGCTTATCAAACATTTGAAGTGTGACTTACGGCGGTGTTAAAGCCCTACATGTTTGGCAGCAGTGAGAGCACATGAGTCCACAGTGGTCCAGCCCACAGCGAGCACACAGGCAGGCAGCAGCTCTGCGGTTCACTCCGGCTCCAGCGCACCGCGGATTGGACGGAGAGAGTCACGTTGTGCGTGAAAAGCTGTCAGTCTGATGCCGCACCATTGTTCCCCGAGCAGCCGGAAGGAGAGCTTGGTCAAGCTTTCTAGATGCGACAATAGTGCCGGTGACTTACATACCTTTGAGGAATTTGTTTGATTTTCCACAGACCTGAGCGCGCAGGAGGGTTTCCGCAGTAGAAACCCTTGACATGGTTTAGAGGGGGAAGCTGAAGTCCATTCAGAGAGGGGCGTCATTGACTGGCTGGATAATAGAAACGCAATGAATGGTGAGTGTGAGCAATTTGAGGAGAAAGGCCTTTGTTTTACACACGGCTTCAGAATTATTCATTAATAAATCCAACCACAGTAGTTTTGCTGTAGATGTAATTTCTCTGCTGCACGAGGACAAAGGACATTTAATGTGTGTGCCAGCTGTTTTCTTCTCCAACATGCTGGGTTACATCCCTGAATGGTCCAACTCTTTTGGGCATCTCACCTCAGTAGTCTCTCTGCTCACTGTAGGACATCATCTCATCCACACTTTCATCAAGTCCATGTTTTCTTTATCATTTAAACGCTCAGTGCACTAAAACCCCATTGACACATAACCTAAGAAGTGCAGCATGTAACAGCTCCTGTCCCTTTGTGTATCATTTTTGAGGTCACACGTGTGTGTCATACAGTTCATGATACAAACTATGTTTAGAGCCAGCTGACTGGTACATGGCCAACTGGCTAAGAGCCTCTCATGCAGACAGCATGGAGCAGAGAGAGTCTGATTCCCTGCAGAGCTTCCTGCAGAACAGGCAGAGGAGGCAGAGAGTCTGTTCCCCCTCCTGCCTCCCTGGGGAGACCCCTCCACCTCCACCACCATCACCACCACCACCAGCCCCCAGCTATAAAAGGAAATAGAGGCTCTCAAAGAGATTTAGATAAAGCTCTGTCAATCAGGCATACATCAGTGCTGGAATTGCACGATAAAAACCTGGGCCTACTGTTGATAACATATGCATTATAAAACGATGAGTGCAACATAGAGAGCTGGTTAAACAAAATGGAAAAATATAATTTGCAAACAGCTACTTTCACACTGACTTCAGGTTAATTAAATTTATATTCTCTACTTTTTTTCTTCTACAGAATCAAGAGGTGTCTCTGCAGTGTAATATATTTTTCGCTAAAGGTAAGACCACATCTCTGTGCTGCTGTCTGAAATATAAGTCTTCACAACACATTATCATATTGAATCCATGTCTACCAGATAAAATCTCACACAACTGTTGCTACACTGCCACAAAAGCTCCTCTGATAACACGATATGATGTGATGTTGATTCAGACAACAGTGTTTAGTCAATATAGACAGCTGCACTACCCTTACTGGATTAAACCAGAGAGATTCCTCTGATAGGAAAATTATGAAATACAGCAGATGTTGACTTTAATTTGGTTCATCACATCCTTGATAATAATTTTGTTTGTAGAGAAAGCATCAGTGCTCCAAAAATGGGACATTTCAAAACATGAGGATGAGTTTCTCTTAGTTTACATGCATAAATGTAACCAAGAAGCGCAGTAATATCCAAAAATGAACTTATTTTTGCTGTGTACCTGGTTTATAATATTGTATTATCATAATCCTTCCTTGACTTCTTGGTGGCTTCTAGTATTTTAGTACGAAAATATAGCATCTCTGTACAAAATCCTGCATTTAAACAGGCACACACAATCACACACCCAATCACTCTTTGTATAAATTTTGATCTTAAACATGAAGGAGAGTGTGTGTGTGTGTGTGCGTGTGTTTGGGGAGTGGGCCCTCTCTTTCTTGAGACAGTGTGTTTTTTTTCTTCCTCGATCCATCTGCTTCCTCAGTCTATCAGCGCGGCGTCCTCAGAGGAGCAGAATTTAATTAGTACATGTGGCACCGAGTTAAAGGACATTGAAACATTAAGTAGATGTATTTACTTGTGAAACGCGGCATCATTAAGCCGGCTTATTTGAATAAGTGATTCAGCCATGCTGGTAATACATACTGTAGCACAGATGGCTAAAGCCTGATAACAGTGAATGTGCTCCATTAAAGATTCACAGGAAAGGTGTTGTGGTTTGACAGCACTGAGGAGAGTCTCTGCAGGAGGCTGCTGTGGGTGAATCGCCTGCATGCTGAAGGTCCACTTGCACAGTTCAATCAATTTAGCCTCATCTTATGTGGGAACTACATGGATTCATGGCTGTAGGTCTGACCTGGAGGTTCAGGCAGATTTACAGAGAGAGGTTAAAGGTTGATTGTAAACTGATGGAGGAGAGCATGAGCTGAATTCGACTTTAAATCAGGCAAGAATAAAAATAACTTGTTTGAGTTGTAAATGTTAATGCCTCATAAAGAGTCCAGTGGGGTTCCCAGTGTAGTACTCCTTCCTCTACATCTCACAGCATGGATATTCTCAGCCAGATTACCCTGGAAGACATTGTGTTTATTCTTTATTTCTATAATTCTTTGTTTATTTTAACTGGTTGAAAAACTATATAAAGTCTTTAGAAGATATGGGTATATGAAAACCTCTCTGCAGAAGGCTACAACAAAACATGACAAGGTAAAACATTAAAATACAGGAAAATAATCTGGTAAAATGCTTTACAAACAGAGAAATATTTATCTGATAGAGCCTATAGAGCTTATTCATAAGGTTCAAAGGCCATTAAATGCACTATCATTAACCCTATAACCCAGTACACTCTGAAAATAAGATTTATTTCTTTTAAAAATCATAGATTGTCTTCTCTAAATTTTGCATCTTTACTTGTAAATGCAATGTGATTATTCCAAGGATTTTTTTTTCAATTTTTAATAACACAAACAGTGACAGTCTAGTTAAAGTAGTGACTCATCTTCTGTGGTTGCACATAAGTCCTCTCTGATATATCTTGTGGTTTTATTGTAGCCACACACTGCTTCATCCCTCAGTCCTCCCCAGGTCACTGATGGAAAGAGATTTTAATCTCATTTGAACTTGTTTTATACACACTATGGCTAAAAACGAATACAATTTTTTTATTATGCACCATTTTGTCCCTCTTTACACACCGTAGGGAAGTAGCTGCAGCCTCTTCCTGCTTCCCTTTACCACCATGATGTAAAATAATGGCCCTGCTGTGCTTTTGAATGGCACATTTCCCTTTAAAAATGCCTCAGCTGACAAGTCAATGGTAATATGCCCTCTGCGTTACACAGAATTAAGTGTCACTAAAATACTCTGAGTTCAAGCTACTGCCTTGGAGTCGAGCATACAGCTAATCAGACTGATGTGAGTGCTATCCTTCCACAGATAAATGCCGTATTCCACATTTGAAGCACCCAGAAGCTTCTGCCTTTCTCCTAAGTCATTGTTTCAGACCACATGGTCAGTGCAGCAGCATGTATTTAAATAATAGATCTAAATATCAAAATCATTAAGTACATTTCATTACCATTGTTTAACAATCAAGAGTGAGAACTGTTTTGTTGATAAAGACTTCAAATCTATTTGAAGTGCAAAATAATGAAATTTTAAGCATGTCTTAATAATGCAGTTAACCACTGAGACACAGTGACAAGTTATGATTAAAAGTCTTATCATTTCACAGCCCTGATTCACCCTCATCTACACTCTCATTAATGTTCTCTGCACAGTTAATTTTGAATTCCTATTTCATTAGTCGTTACTGTAAACATTTTTTTCCTCTAAAGTTAAATTCACAGGATTAATGCTGCAGTCAGGATCCTACAGAGGACTAATCTGAACCCTTTAGATTACGGAGCAGCTTTGTGTGTCTCTGCAGGGTTCATGGTTCTAATTTAGCAGCTTTTGATGTGACTCTTTTTGTGTGTTGGGCTCCTTCCTGGCTGAGCTCTGAGCGTTCACACTTGCAGTCTGTGTTCTCCGTAGATGTTGCCATGACACCTATATGGAATCTTTTGTCTGCTGCCAGTTAATTAAGTGTTAACAAAAAGAAGACGCATTTTTCCACCATAATGAGTTTTATTTGTCAGTGCAGGTCATTATAAGCAGCTTTGTACAGGCATTAGCTCTCAGTGTGATTAGATTACATATTATATTACAGTTTCGATTTCACAACTTACATTATGACTCACATATACCTGTAACAGTACTGCATATATACAGTAGATACAGGAAAATAAGTAAAGGATCAAATAATTGGAGCCTATTTTGAACAGTTTGGATCTAAATGTCAGTCACTTTTTTTCAGTGCTGTGAAATGTGAAAAAGATAATCTAGAAGTTTGCAGAGACAACAGGTACAAAAAATTATGCAAGGATTTTTCTTGTGATCAAACTCTAGGCTACAAATTTTGCATGATGGAGATGCGCACACCGACTTTTAAAGGCTCTTTTTCATGCCATTTCACCAAAATTTCACTCTTATTTTCTCTCATTGAAGGATCCAACAAAAAATAACAGACTTGTGAGTGAAAGGTGAAAACAAACACCAAAAGGTTTTTGTGTTTGGTGTTAATTACAACTTATTACGCTGTTTTCAAAAATTTAAATGGTTAGAAGGACTGAAGTTAATCTTTGATGCATTTTTAGGATACAAAAAGCAAACAAGACTATAATTAGCAATCATTGACTTTTTAAATGCCTGCAACTACCCCTGGAGTGGGTGTAAAAACAGCTGTTTTTACATTCTTCCACTGCTAAGAATCTTCAAGAGTGATCATTTTCACTATGACAAGACATAAGGCTGACATGTTTTATCAGGAACAAATGTGCAGCACAAAATCTGCAATGACACATGAGCAAAGGCTTCATCCACAAGGGGAACCCAAAATCAGCAAAAGGCTAAAAGTTCCTCCAGTGAGTGTTAAAATACAACTACATCTACAAATAATACAACTCTAAATGTAAAGTAGTAATCTCACAGGCTATAAGGGGTTCATAAATTATCTGTATTGATTTAATGTGTCATACCAAGGCTTTCAAATTAAGACCATGGAATTAAAAATTTTAACTAATAGCCTGAAACTGGCATTAGAGCTTTCACAATATACCTGTGTTGACAATGATCGTGTATTTGACAGAATATTGTTGTGCTAAAAATAAAAACATCAAGTTCTATAATATAACTAATTGGCTCATAGCGAGGGATGGTCGTGGTAATCACACTGATTACCACCAGTGAAGAAGCAGGAGCAGCTGCTAGTTGGCTAGTTGTAGCAGCCCTCCACGAGAGGACACCTTTAAGGCGGATGTTCCAAGATTTACTGTGAATTTAAAAACCGTGTCTTCCTCAGGGTGCTAATGAGATTAAAATTATACTCTCAAATTGTTCTTTTAATTATTTTCATTCAGTGCCTTAAGTTATAAACTACCAGATATACCATGCACAGCTTTTCAAAATAAAAGCATGTTTTTACACCACAGGAAACCAAATCACATGAAAGTAAAATAAGCTTGTCATACAGTCATTGTATGGAGCAATGTTGTGTCACAAAAATACTTTATTTCAAATAAATGATGATGTATAAAAAGGTCAGTTTTGTTTATTTGGAGGGATACTTCGCCTTTCCTTACCTGCATCAAAATTATTCAAAAATGCTGGCATTATTATGATGTTATTTTGGCCATGAATCATAAGGTAAAATTGTGACAGCCCTAATTGGCATCCTCTAAGTCAGGTTTATGTGCTAGAAAAAGCATCTCACGTCATATTTTTCCTGTGGAGAGCTCTGTGAAACTCGTGTTTTTATATCCTTCCAATTCATTATATACTTTTATCACATGCAGAGCTGGCCTACTTCATGAATTTCCTCAGATAACATTGTGAATATTTTGCATATTAAACCTGATTCCAGATCTCCACATGATACTAGCTCTATATATAAATGATAAGGCTTGTCTGCAGAATATGAACCCCACATCCCACAGCCTGTGTGAGAGATGAAAGCAGCCCCGTCTCTGGCAGCTCCTGTTTCTGCCAGCAAACCGGCTTTTGCGAACTTTCAGGTGGCATGGGAAAATATAGTCATAAATAAAATATAGAGGCATGAATAATTTAGGTGAGTATTGTGATTGACATGAGGGTGAGAGGACCTGATTACGCCTGCCGTGCTGTGTGACTTGAATTACTGCAAATCAAAACATTAGTCTGAGTGTGGAGCTTGCTGTGTTCGGTGTATTTTGATCACTGCTTGTAACAACAAAGACGGTGGAGACGCTGGATGACACGTCTTTTTTAAGATTACTCTTCAATTTTGGCATTGTGGATCTGTGTCATTAAAACACCAGTAATGGTTTGAAAACCAAAGAAAGACACAAAAAATCACACCAGGAGTCAAACCAGTTCACAAACTCTCGCTCGGTACATTCTCATTATTACCAATTCTTTCTGCTTTTAAATGGGGTTAAAATGAAACAATTTCAGAGAGGTGCTGTATGTTGTGGTGAAATGGGGGTCACCCTTTGCTCAGGACCCCCCGTGGTTAATAAGAAACCGTGCTTCCTCTATTGTTGTATGAGGAGGAAGAGCAGATCAATGATTCCCAGCACTGTAGCTGCAGGCTGCAGCAGGCATCACCAGGCTGCAGCTCCTCCGTGTGCTGAGTGCTGAGCAGTGGGCTGCACACCCCCCTCCTTCTCCCTCCCACCCCCCCGTCCTCTTTCATGTATGTGTGTGTGTGTGTGTGTGAGCGGATCTGTCTGCAGCCTCAGGCAAGTGCAAGTTAACAAATGTACAGAGTGCATGTGAAGGCTCATTTGCATATATCTGTGGATGTTGCTACATTTCTTTAAATGGATTCCTTTGTGTTTGATTGTTGGATGTTTTCTTTTCATTGTGCGGGTGCAATTCTGTCAAATCTGTCTGAATATGAAGAAGATTGTATTTGACAGTTAATGATGTTTATTCGCAGACTCTTTTCATCTGACCCTAATTGCAGTAGAATAGAAAAGCAGCCTGTGCAAATGTTTATTGTCCAATTGCTGGTTTTTCTCATTGCCTAATAATTGAGCAGTTGCATACTAGAACAAAGATAGATAGATAGATAGATAGATAGATAGATAGATAGATAGATAGAACGATTCAGTATACACAGATGCAACATGCTGCAGCTTTATGCAGATATATTTTTCAAAATAAAAGTGATCACAGGAGCCGTCTGCACTGTTTTCCTCTCAGGTTATTATGCACAACCTATTACTCCTTTGATTTTAACCATCTTCTGTATTTCTGTCGAGTGTGTGGTCCCTGAGTGTTCTCAGGGGAAATCCTGCAGATAGCTGTTTAATGTGTTCCTTCTGAATATGATGGTAGTGCATAGATTAAGGCAGATGGCCCAGAATCTATCAGAAAACAGCGTTCTACATGTGGCCCTGCGTGTGTGTGTGTGTGTGTGTGTGTGTATGTGTGTGTGTGTGTTTTCTCAGTGGCAGGGATCCTCCACTGACATCATCTGTAGCTGTATAATCATCCAGGCCACAGCCTCTCCTCAGGGGAGTCCAGCTGAGACCTAGCCCCCTCTCTCTCACTCCCTCTCTCTCTCTCCGTCTCTCAATCTATTTATCTCTCCCTTCTCAGCCCAGCTTTCTCTCTCTCGTTCAAGGTTGCCGTGGATGGCAGAGTGTGACACTGGTGATGGATGCATTCAGTATCAGACTGTGGCTGCACGCTTCAATTCGTTATTTTTGCAGGGTTTCTCTAATTTCTTCGCTGATCTGATCAGTTTATGCCACTGGAAGGCATCCGTGCTTGCCCGGACGATGTCTACTGCAATTTAAAAAAAAGAAAAAAAGAAAAAACATTCCTCAAATTAAAACAAAGAAAGAATTAATAAAAAGAAAGATCTGCCATGCCATCTGGGCTGTAAAACTGTGTACTCCATCACTGTGGAAACACTAGTTGTCTGAGATGCGATCCATATTGAATGGCATAGGCGTTTGGCAGACGCAGATACAGCACAAATCTATATCAATAGAAACCATCCTAACCTCTCTTTGCCCCTCCCCCCGCTTATACACATTTGGCAGCCAATAAAAGATGAGTCTTTGTCGACTTATAGTATGATGCAAGTGATTAGTGTATACATATGTAGATGTACTCATTTGTGATTTTCATATGTATACCAGCAAGGTTCATTGCCAGTATAGAAAGGATGTTTGTGTGGAGCAGGGGAGGTGAGTATAGGGAGCCATATAGTCGTCATTGGAAACATTAAAGCTGCAATGGAGAAAAATTCACCACCAGGGGGCGTATATAGTTACCAACATAATCCACAAACTCAAAGCAAACTTGGCTGGTTTGTTTTTTGTTAATAATGGGGCCAACATTAAAGCTCCTGTGAGGAACTTTTTGTTTGTGTCAACTTTTGCGCCCCCCTGTGGACAGCGAGTCTTTGCTTATCTTGTCCAGTACATACTTAAATATTGATTTATTTAAGTACAACAAATCTTATTATTCTGGCTTTCCACAGTCAAATGTATCATTTATTGCAAATATTTTATGTGGAAATTGTAAAACAAGGCTGTGTTTTGAGCTGCAAGGCCTGGACCTATGACCTCTTACTGGTTTCAGACAATAAAAATGGGGTTAGAAAAAATGTCATTCTTGTCACTGATGTTTTTTTTTTTATTTTTTATTATTATTATTATTACAAGGCATGAACATGAATTTTATGAATTTGTTCAATGGAAAAAAACTTCTCACAGGAGCTTTCAGGCACAAGTCTGTGTAGTGATCATATCTAACAAAGTCTGAAAGTAAAACTAGCTGGAATTTGTGGCCTCTACTCTGTGATAATATCTGGGTTTTTGAGATTGACAATCTTCATTAAAAACTTTTTCACCTCATTGCTCAGGCTTAGCTGCTTTTTGTAATAATACTTTTAATACTGCATGTGCTGTTAGTGCTCAAAATAATAGAGGCTAATTGAAGCTTGGCCAGTCTACTCAGAGTTACTGCTTTTACCATTATAAATTGTGTGAAATTTTTAATACTTACCTAAGAAGATAAAAATCCATCTCCATCTACTCATAGTGAATGGTCAGCGAGTGTATAAGAAATACTGTGTGTGTTATAGATTCTGTTGAACGTTGGCAGATGGTATCGTAATCCGTGTGATGGAGCTTCATAGGGAAGCTTGAACATGCTGCTGATGGAGACCCCCGGCCTTGGATTTCCACATGTATTGGTTCCATCTGTTTTCTATGAAATCTGAACGTACTGTGAGGTGTGTTGGGTGATGAGGTGGATAATGGCAGTGATGAAAACGACGACCGGGGTGGGTGCAGTGACTCATTCATCCTTGATTCATTTGAGCTTCTGTTGCTGTCAAGAGTTCTGATTCAGAGCCAATGATGCAAACTATCTTTGATATGTTGGTCATGAAGCCAAGCAGTTCATAGACAGGGAATTTAGAGAGATCACGGAGGGGTTTGTGTAATTACTGATGTCAGACCCTGTACACTTATACCTTCTGGAGGTCTCCAATCACATAAATGTGGTGCCAAGGATGGTACCATGTAAGAGTTGTGCACTCCAAGCTGGCCTCCTCATTTACTTTGGTCATGAGCTTTAAAACAGAAGCAAAATTCATCACTCTTAAGTGGCAACAGTCAACTGTGAGAACTAATGAGACCTATGAAAAATAAGAATATCAATTATTGGCACCAATTTTGGTATAGATTGGGATCAAATACACACAGACTCACCACTGATTTTCGTTCTGTATTTGGATCAGTACTCATCTGTACCAAATCAAAAGTGCCATACAGACATAGTACTGAATGTGTGTTCCTTTACAACCCCCTGACACCCATATTGGTCTTGGTATTGGTTTTGGTATTGATATATGTATCTGTATCTGTAGTGGCAATTTGGTCTGATCAATTTACAATACTTAAAACTCAATCTGGCTATCGGACACAGGGTGAGTGGATCGTAGGAATATTGGTATCTGTGTTTGTATTAATATCAGTTTCTGTATTTGTATTGCTAGCTATATCTGCATCAGTATTGACATTAGTATCAGTAAGGTAATGATGTTGGTGTTCATAAGAAATTCATATTGGTATCAGTATTAGTTTTGGCATCTGCGTTCTATCTGTATTATAGCTATTTGTATCTTAATGAGCATAGCTGTTATATCATTGTTTTGTTATTTGTACCTGTATATAGGTATCTGTATTGGTAGCTGCATCCATGTAGATATTTGTATAAGAATCTGCCTTTATATAGGTAGTGGTATCTGTATCAATACTTGTATCAAGGTCTGTATCAGTATTAGAATTGGTATTTAAAGTGGTGTCTGTATCTGCGTTGGTATTTATGTTGGTGTAACGCACTGTAAGTAAGTCAAATAAGCTGAAAGTCAAGAGTCTGATTTTCCGCCAGCAAAACATGTTTCTTTTTTTCAATGATATTTAAGCAGTCCTGGGTACAGACAGACTGACAACTCAAACCTTTGTTTCAGACTCTGCATCAGTGAACGAAGAATCAGTATCAGAAAATCTGGTGTTTTTGTCTTTTTCAACTAAGACACACGCTTTTATTTGGTCTTTGTTGTAAACAATAGGACTCAGTTTGACAATGCTGTTTAGACGTAGTTTAAAAGTCACCTTTCATCTGTTTCAGCGGGACTTGTGCAGGTCTTTTGCATATGACCTCAATCATGTTATGAGCACACAAATGATTACTTCTAAACCTCCTCTTTGTGCATATTTTTCCTGATCCCTTAAATTTTCTTTCCTGAGATGAAAAACCCTTGAAAGTCAGAGCATAGGTAACCATCACTGGTGCGGCGGGGTAACAAATGTTATCTCTTACTCTGAGGTTTTGCATTTCTATGTAACAGAGCAGCGTGTGTGTGTAAAGCTTATGGATGAAACACTGGAGGAATGTAGAGTAGGCGGTCTAACAACACATTTTTTTAGGGTTTTGGAAGATATTATTGAAACCAAGGTGAAAATTAATACTAAAACTAAAAATAGATTCCCTCTACTGCTACCTCAGAAATACTAAATTTGGTATGTTTCTGTATTTTCATTTCTTCTGGGAGTAATTTCATGTAATTTTCAGTAATCAAAAAAAATTAATATTCCAAAAATCATAATTTCTTGGCTCTTGTATCGCTTATTTAACAATCTGCTCATGTTTTTTTTTTCACTCACGTCTGTTGAGCCTGCAGGGTTAGAACTGTCTGATACTGTTTTATTTGATCACTGCAGTTTATCCAGGACACTTAAAAAAATCTAAAAGCTTTTAAAAGATGCTGCTGTATTAGTGACGGTATACCAACCATCTGAGGGCAGTTTGGTTAACATGCAAACACAATTTCTTATCACCTCAAGTGTTTGTTTTCAGAAAGTCTACATTTCATTTAAAAAAAAAATGACAATGAAAGGGGCAAACCTTTCTGTCATAGATGAGTTAATCAAACAATTTAAATGAAACACATCTGAAACCATTTATCTATCATCAACACAGTTTTAATTAATCTTCTTTTAAGCTATTAATCATTACAGCTGCACTAAATCTTCTTGAAAGCTGTTTTAGTTAACACCACAGTATAATGTAATACAATTATGTCATTGAAGCTCTCAGGGAGAAGGAAACATGAATATACAGTAACTAAAAGCATAAAATTAAGTGTAATACAAATGAAAAAGAAACTTTATTCTCTCCTCAAAAGCATTAACTCTAAATCAAGTATGATAAGTCCAGAGATGGTGTATTCTGCTTTTCTTTCCCCAGTAACAGTGCTCTCTCTTGTATTCCTTTTTTTAGGATGTCTGTCATTTTGCTGCTGCATTTGCATTATGATGCTTCTTTCTTTGGTCATTGTGATTCATCCATAACAGCCAGCTGTAATCTGTGAGTGCTCGGCACAGTCTGTCGGAGTACAGTCAGTACAATTCCACTGGCTGCCTGGGCTCAGACTGCATTTTTAACAAGAGCCATTTCAATGGCAAAAGTCACTCCAGGACAAAATATAATCCCTTAAATAATATACTATTCCCACTACTACCAGCCGAGCACTACTTTTACTACTGCAACTAAATTTAGCTGTGTAGCATGTTGCGTAAAAAGGTTACATAGTTGCTTGAAATGAGGTCAGGGCAAACTAACCCTAATGAACTTATTGTTGGCTAATCAGTCTTTAAATATGACTGAATGAAGGTATGAAGTCTGCATCACAGACTGCAGTGCTGTCAAAGGGAGGTTCAGTGGGGACACTGTATGGCTGAGAATGCAGAACATCACAGGGGTTGTATTACATTTTGTTTTCTTGAACTTGCATTAAAGAAATAAGTCCTTGCACATAAAACTAAATACAGGTTTGAGCTACATCAGAGACATAAGAAAATGCAAATACGACATGTGCTGTATCTGTGTTTTAAAGAGTTTGTCTCTTTAATTTCTAACTTTTTTGAAGCTGTTAGAAAGCTTCAAGGCTATGAGCTATCCTGTACCAGGAAGTGAAGGACCATTTACGTCAGCATAGGGTCCAACTGAGTGTGAGAATAATAAAATGACTCTGACCGCACAATTATGGCCTGACTCACTGTACTGCAGAGCTCCCTGAAAGAAAGAAAGAGTTAGGAACACATTCAAGCATTCATTCAGTACAGTGATGACAGATCTTTTTTCCTGTGGATGAGGTAGATTATTCTGATACTTTTTTTGTCACTGTGGTCTTTTTTTTTTCTTCCTTTTCTTTGCCCTAAAAATTTCTGCAAGCCTTTATTTGTAGTCAGTGACGCTAATGTATATGTACCTTTGTCATCTAGTGTTGTAGTGTAGTCACCAAAACTAGAGTCTTAATCTGAGTCCAAGTCCTCAGTGTTCAAGTCTGAGTCCAGTCCCTGTTTCCTGACTCCAATCTGAGTAGAGTCTCAATCACCTGAGGCGCCTCTATGTGTATCTTGGCTGGAGCTGTTAAACACAATGACACGAGAACATGCAAGTGAACACACGCTCCAGTTCTTTCCCCGAAACTGAATGAATTACACAGGAAAACTGTCAAAAACTTTAAACAAGTCTTCAGCAATGAACAAGTCCTCTTTTCTGTCCTCCAGATGTGAATGGAGTAGATACTTGAGTCCAAATGTCAGGTAGGACTCAAAACTAGTTCAAAACTAGTTCCTTGAGTGACCACTTGAGGCTGGCTCATAAAGGCCAAGGAAACCCCCTTAGAACCCAATTTATAAGCAAAATTAAACATGTTACACCCAAGTGAAAAAAATCCCTTTTGATCTCTATAACTACTATTTTTGTTGAAACTGGAAGTAGGGAGTGAAGATTAAGCTACAAAATGATACAGAAATCATGACAGTGGGTATATCACCATATCTGATGAACTGGAGAGTTGAAAATGCCTCTTAAAGGCGAAGTAAGGAAATAAAGAGTCATGAGGTGAAAGTGTGTTATGGCTAATTTAGAGTGCTGTATTGTTTCCTTGAATTTTAATTGGGATATTCGGTGCCAGCGATCCAATCACTGTATCATATATGTAAAGATAGACAAATGAATAGTTCCTAACTGGTTGCCAGTCATTGTTATCTGAACACAATCAGCACAACATCGGCATCAGGCTTCAAAAGGCTGATATCACAAAGATTTTTTAAAAACACATTTTTAATCCCCAATGACAAATCGAGTTAAACACACTCACTGGCAAGTGTTTAGTGTAAGTTTTGCTTCTAACTCAAATACCAGCCAAGCTTTGAAATCCAGGGCATAACCCAGTGTACTGGTGTTTTTTGCCAATTCATTGAAAATTCATCTACAACATGTTCATGGCTAAAACAACCATGCATATTGCATTGGATTAAAACAACTCTTTTTTTTTTTAACCACAGTATCTAACTTGTATATTTTTTTTCCTTTTTAGTCATTTTAAATTGGCAGAATAAAAATCCAAAAGTTCCCTTGAGGTGATATTTTATGGAGCCAAATATTTTTCCATCTGGATTATTTATTAAAATAATCATCACTCACTTTTTTTCTTACATAAAATCAAAACAAAAACAAACCAACAATTTTCAAACCATCTTTATTTTATTTATATCAAGTCTATGAATTATGCACAATTAGGGGCGTGGCTTATTTGACTGACCAGTGAGCACCTGATTTGGTAGGAACCTTGAGGTAATTTTCTGTCAATGCATTTTGCTGCCAGTTTTAAATGTATATTATTAAAAAATGAAAAGTTGTGTAACTTTTTTTGTCTTAAAGTTGCTTTGAGCTTTTTGTCATCTTAATTCAAGCTGATTTGTTAATATATGTTTCTGTATACACTGCCTGCTCTGATACCTCATGCCAAATTTGCTGCAAAAAGCTCGTATTGCAAGTCCGTCCAAGATTTTTATGTAAACCATGTGTGATGCTCTGAAGCTTTTTAGCTGGACACTCCAGTTTGTATTTTCTGTCTCCTTTATATCCTCTTCGGCCCACTCTACTCCTCCCTGCTCTTCACCCTGTCCTCACCTCTTCCTCCCCCTCTTTACCATTCCCCTCTGTAGCCCTGTTATATCCCCCTCCCCATTTTCCCACTGCTATGCATCTCCCTTTTGCCCCCCTTTACATTTCTCCAACATTCTGTCGTCTCCACTCCTTCCTCGACCCCCATACATACCTTTGCCCCCTCCTCCTCCTCCTCCTCCTCCTCCTCCCCCCTCTCCTCTCCTTCCTCGCCCCCTTCCCTTCCCCTGCCCATGTTGGTAAAAATATCTGCAGACAGCAGGAGCAGAGGCACGCCTGACTCTCTCTCTCGCTCTCTCTCTCTCTCTTTCTCTCTCTCTCTCTCTCTCTCTCCTCCCCTCTCGCTCGCTCTCTCAGACATCCCACCCATGTGATCTCACAGGCTGTCTCTGCTCTGCTCCACTCTCTGCTCCAGTCAGGCTCCTGCCTTTCAGCCGGCTGCAGCTAATGAGCCTTTGTGTGGCCAAAGAGAGAGAGAGAGAGTGAGAAGACAGAGAGAGAGAGAGAGAGAGAGAGGAACACAGTGACAGACAGGGGGGGTTTAAGTGAGAAAGACTACCGACTTGCAACAATAAAAGCATATGTGCAGCAAGAGCTGGAAAATTACAAGCCTCTCTCTAACACTCCTGCACCTTTTTTTCCCATGAAGCTAAGGGGCCGCTGCATGTCAGTGGACCGAAACCAACTGGAAACCTTTTCATTCATCATGTTTTACCTTTTTGTTTGAATAGCCACTTTTTCTTTCACTGTGTGGCGGTGCTGCTGTGAGAAGAGGTGAAAGGAGTCACAGGCTGTCAGTGGATGCAGGTCAGTTGTTCCTGTGAGGGCCGGCACACACACAGAATCACACATACAGACATACACACACACACACACATACAGGAGTGTAATGTGGACGTTGCAGGACTGATGTGTCATGACTGGCTCCAGATGCCATTGGCTTGTTGGCATCACTTGGCATGAGTGTTTGGAAGCTTGTGTTGTCACATCAGTTTGCCGTGATTGTGGGAAACCTTGTGAATGACGAGGTGAAAAATAATTGTGTGTGAGCGCTCTTGATTAAGAAAAAAAGAGTTGGTCTGTGTGTGCACAGAGAATCAAACACAGGGAGGGGCTTTCCAAGCTGCCTTTAGCTGCATTATTTTCTCTGGGATTTTTCTCCCTGTTACTGTTATAGTGCACACACTGCCCGGCCGTGATTAGTGGTAAGGCAACAGAGAAGACAAAGAGAGAGCTGTTGGAGAGGAGCAACAACCTCTGGTTTTTATTTAGCCGTGATGAAAGAGGTTCACCCGAGATTACCCGCAGCTCTGTGCCTCATGATGTCATGCCCGTCCAGGGACAAAAATGTAACTTTTAATGCTGTCATTACAGAAAACAAATCAACCGAAAATGCATCAACCCAAGAAAAGGAATACAGGAGATAGTTTGCAGGAGTGTAAGCTGGAATTGCTCTGCCTTTGGTTCTTGAATATAAAGATCCTCATTTACACTATGCAACACACGGTCATATGGGAAAGCAGTGGTTGTGAGAGTACATTAGAATCTCCATGGAAACCATTTTTGGTATCAAAAGCCTTGTGCAGCATCAGCTGAGGGCTAAGCATACGAATAGGTTTCCAACAATGGTTTCTAATTAGGACCCTTGCTAGGAATGGAATAAAATTGCACAGGTCATTTTTGCTGGAAATTTCCACTCATGTCCTTTTCGCCTGTAAATGATGTGATTTGTGGATTGAATTGTGTCTTTGCTGGTTGGATGTGAGGATAGCAGCTTCTACTGATCAACATGTTGTATCCCACAAATCTAATATGATGGTGTATTCTAGTTGAAGCTGAAAAGATGATATGATTATGTGCTATAATAATATTACTCACCACAGAGAGTAAATTGGTATCAGGAACCAATAGATCACTGAAATTGTAGTTAAAAATATCACCAAAACAATCCCCCTGGTATCAAAGTATTCTGCAGTTAATTGACTTCATATGAATATATGGAATAATTGTTGCAGCTCAGTCGACCATAGAGCTAGTTATAGCACTCGTTCTGGTTGGTAAGTTTGAGGATTGTTCTGTGCATAGCTTCTTTTCGGGTCTTCTTGATTTAAAAAAAAAATACACAAATTATTGGAGAAACAAAACACTGTTGGTTGAAATGCTATCTTTTACTGTATTTAATGCTGACACTGATGCTATACTACTGTGACGGATACAGATACTATTACATCGAGCTGCAATGAATACAGGTGCTGGCACTGGCACAGATACCTATACTGGTAACAGTAATGGATGCTGGTATGAGTACAGGTAAAGATACTTGTACTACTTCCAATGCTTGTAACAGATACAGACACTGGAAGTATCACTGTGACAGACATTTGTTGTAAGTAACTGGTACTGGTAGCCCTATGTTACACATGCATGTAAAAGAAACAAAGTGCTGTCACTGTGACAGTTACTTTAGGTTAATACCACAATGGGCACTGTAACAGCTCATAATAACAGATACTGAGAGTAGCACTGATACCAATACTAATACTTGTAACATGAACTGCTCCTAACAGATAGATATTTTTACCAGGAGCAATACTGGTGCTTTGTCACCTATACCTACAACAGGCACAAATGCTATACTGGTACTGTTATAGATACCTGTCAGGTATCCAGGCTGTAAGCATTGGTACTGCTACTTCATAAATACATGTATTGATTCTAGTACTGCAACATGTCAAAAATGGGTTTTAGAGTGTGCTCCAGTTGAAAAAAGTCACTAATGTTTCTGATCATATCTTTTCTACGATTATGTTCATATAGCAGAAAAACTGTGATGTGATATGCGTCTTAGCCTGCAATCCATGATTAGTTTGCATGCTATGCAAGTTTTTTGTTGAGCTGTTTCCAAGGAGAACAGAGAAAACAGAGAGAGAACGCTGTCCACAGTTTCTCGTTAATGATGCTCAGAGCGATTATTTATGGCATCATTGGTTGTCTGGATGCTAACCTGGATTACTGGACAAGGTGCTAGTGCTGCTGCTCCAGTCAACCAATCATAAACGAGGAACATACTCATACTGACTGGTACTGCTGCCTGTACCGGTAACAGATAAAGATACTGGTATGGATACAAGTTCAGATACTGGAAATGGTAACAGATTCAAATACTGGAACTGATATGCACACTGGAGACTGATTTGGACACTGGTACTGATACTTGTAACCAATACTAATACTAGTGAGGTGGTATTGATACATATGCCGGGCAGGGATATTGGTTTCGGGATCAGAATAACTCTATTAGATTGCAGGTTTTCGTGTCAGCCAGCTTAGTAATTGCCTCACAGGATCTGAGAGCTGGTTAGCACTCGCTCTTACATATTCTGCCTCTGAATTATCACATTAGTTCTTTCTTAAAATAAACCTCTTCAGTGAACTCACCCTGACAGGCTCCTCTCTCCTCCGCTTCCTCTCAGACGGAGGATGCCTCACATTCCTCAGTTGTAGGTAGAGTTATTGACTCTGGAGCTTCTCCAAACGCTGCTGGTGCCATGTCACTGCACTGAACAAGCACAGCCTCCTGGGAACAATGACCCCCGTTGGCTGGCAGCTCTCTTCCTCTCTGGGATGCACCTCTTCCTTCTCTCTCTTTCTTTCTCTCTCTCTCTGGCAGCATGTCTCTCAGGCAGCATTTGCATCTGTAATGACTCGATAGCAGAGCTCAGATGAAACACACTGTGGCTGTGTGTGAATGGAAACTCCCCCACAAGCTGCTCTGGCAGATAGACAGAGTGGGACTGGGTGAAGATGCATGCTGTCTTTACTGATTCCAGTTTTCAGGAGTGAAAGCAGAGAGGGAAAAGCTGCCAGTCATAGCAATCCTCACTGTGTTGTTTGGTTTATTTTAAAGAGTGACACGATTTCCAGCTACTGCAGCAATAAGCTTACAAGTAGTGATTGACATCAAATAAAATCTGCAATATTATAACCTATTAAATACTGAAAGAGAACAACTGGATATTACACAGAGAGAAAACGCGGTAATCAAAATAATATATTGTTTGACAGTTACAATGTAGAGCCAGCTGCAGTGTAAGGCTGATTAGTTTTAGCGTAGCTGACTGATGAGCTTGTTCTTGTTTATTTGTCTAATTGCATCATCAGTCAGAGGGAGTTAATGGGCCCTCAATTGACACTGAAGTGGTCTGTAACACTTAGAGCACAGCAGCCTCTGCATGTGTGAGTGCTCCAGCTAAAAACATTTATACGCACCTTAGACAGGCAGACAAAAATTGTGCCAGATTGAACCGTAGAATACGGCTGTAGCTGATCTAAGGGTAGTGCTTATGCAACATGTATGATTACCTTTGCACTAACAAGTCAGCAGTACTATCCTTTGGTAAACCTGAGACTTTATTTTCACACTGCTTTATAATACATAATTACAGGCCGCTGTGATTGCACGCTACAAGATGCAGTCATAGTGAAGCTTTGTTATTCCATTTTGTAGCACCACCTGAGGCCTTGACTCGGGTCTTTTTTCTTTTTTTTTTCTATGAAAGCATTGGACCCAACAGAAGCTCGTTACAAACCTACAGGATGTCACTCATTATGCTGTCAACAACAGCCTCACTTATTCCCCCTCTGGTGCCGCAGAGTTGCAGAACATTTGAATTACTTCAGGTAGTGCAGACTTTGGCAGAGTCAACGCAACGCACAGCAGTATGTGCGCTCACCTGTACATGCACGTGGGATTCTGCATTAATATGCATCTTTATCGATTGAATTTGTTGCGTTTCTATGAAATATAGATACTTACATGTACCTGAATTTGCAGCATACCTCCAAGCAATTTTTAGCATTTTTTCTCTATGAAAGATGCAATGTAATGAATTATTAAACATGGACTTTTTTAAAGCATGATAGATATGTCAGCAGAGCAGGACAGCTTGGACCTGTCTGTTTTTCCTCCAGCCAATCAGTCAGAGACATTAGAATAAACTTCCTGTAAGGCAGATGTAGTATGTAATTAGCAGCCTTCTCCTTCCATCTCGGCTCCTTTGTGCCAAGGTGATCAATCGTCCAGGGAGCGCCTGGGAGCTGGGAGGAGAGATTGTGTGTTTGTATGAGGGGAGGAAGGGGGGAGGAGAGTCTGGGTCTTATTGTTAATTGAGTGTACCGAGGATTATGAAGGCCCCTAAACTGGATATTAAATAATGTGGCCCCTCTCTCCCTCTCTCTCTCTCTGTGCTGTCTCTCCGTTTCAGGTGCAGATGCGGCGGGCCATGAGTGGAATACTGAAGAGGAAATTTGAGGAGGTGGAAGCCTCCTCCTCCCCGTGCTCTTCCTTGCGCGAGTCTGATGATGAGGTCTCCTGCAGCGAGAGTGGGGATAGCAGTGACAGTGTCAACCCCTCCGCCTCAGGCCCTTTCACCCGTGAGTGCCTTGTGTCTTTTAAATTTGTGCACAGTGAGGCTAACGTGTGTTATTGACAGAAAGATTACTGTCATCATATTATGTCAGGGAAAACAAAGCTGAAGCACTGAGAGATGGGAATAAAACTCAGAGGCAGTGAGGGTTTGCAGCTCCAAATCAATGCAGGATGCAGGTGAAAGAAAACTAATGTGTATGTCTGGTGATAAGAATGTGGTATGAATTTACAGTAACAACCTTTCAGTGGAAAAGAGAAGAGAGGAGATAGGAGAGGAGAGAGGAGAGGAGTGCAGTATTAAAGGGAAAGCATGCACAGGCAGCCTCATTAGGAACAGCGTAGTGCACAGATCTAGCCAGATGAATGAGGTGATGCAGTCTCAAGCTGTGTTTGTGCAACACGATTGGCTCTGTACATCTAAATACGTAGCTTTCCAACAGCACTGCATTATTATTAGACTGGGGGAAACATTTATACAGATCTACTCTTTCGATCAGTATCAACACACTCAAAATTAAAACCTCCTTTGCACATTTTTCAAATTTAGTGGGATGTCTTTAAAACTTTGATCTAGATTAAAACCAAAAAATGTTGAGTTTACATGAATTAAATGGAAATAAAGGTGTACAGGCATTAACTGCACACAGGTTCTTGGATCAATAAAAAAGTGTGTAACGATAAAGCTGCAGAAATTTCTAATGATGTTCAAGTATTGAATCACATGCTATTAGGAGTCCATATTATTTTTAAAGGAGATTTAATTTCAACATAGCTGTAGAAAAAAATATATTTTAGAACACTTTTGAAGCCAGATTTTTAGAAAAAAAATACTTGACTGGTTTCTCAGATTTCACAATTTTTATATTCAAGCTTTAAGCACTTTTTCTTTAGAGCAACGTTGACACCAGTAACCTTTTCTCTTGCCCTTAAGGTTTTCAGATTTATAAATATTTCAGGAGAAAAAGTGTTATGTAAAATAAAGGATTGTATCAGATTTTCTTTTTTTGGCCTGTTCGTGTTGAGCGCATTGATGAATGAAAAGTTTGTTCAATACCCTGTAAGTTTTTAAAGATAATTTAATGTTTTTAAATGCTAATCTATTAATCTATTTTCCTCAGAGCGGAGAATAAAACACCAAAGGGATTAATATTTTAAAGTAATTTGTCATGTATTTTTGGCCTTTATAGCTTGAGTGCCCAGCCTCTCTTTTTTTGTATGACTCAATTAATGAAGTGAACCAAGCGACAAAACAGTGCAGTTTGGCTAAAAGTGATTAAATACAAATAAAGTTTGACCAGCCACAGATTCTGTAAAGCTTTCTGCTTTTAAATACACAAATGATTCCACCGAGGTCTGCTGCTTTAAGATGACACCATAAATCCTGACTTAACTGGACTCTATATTAAAGGATGCTGCCCACATTAAGGGTAGAAACAATTACTAAAGACATGCCTCCTCCTCTGCAGCAGGCTCATCAGGACACTGAAATCATGGCTGATAAATAGCTGTGTGCACACATGTATCTTCATTTGAGCTGAGATAAATGTGGATGAGACGGATTATACAGTTGTTAGTCATGAATCATTTTGGAGAGTTTGGAAGCATCTGTGCACTTAGTGCCAAAAATCCTCAATGACGTCATTCTTCAAGAAAAAGGAGGGAGTTCTGTTCGGACGGCACAGGTGCACAGTGAGCAAAAATGAAGTTTAATTGGGACACAAAAAGAAGATTGAAACCAGCACTTTAGTTTTCTGTTTTGATGATGCGCTGTTTTCTATCTGAAGGACATGCAGATGACTGACAGCCCCCCCCCCAATAGGGAGACATAAGTAGGGTGCTGCGTCCCTGGAGGCTTAGCGTGGCCTCTGTGTCAGCTGCAGATGCTGGTAGCTAACAGCAACAGGGTAGCTGTGCACTGTGAAGACTTCTCTCCTGTGAAGTGACATGTGCACATACAGATGATAATTGACTGTCTTGGTAGAGAGATGGAACAATTAAGCCCTAAGTGCTTTTGCGTTCTTCGCTGTTGTGTGAGGAGGAGTCGGGAAAACCTCTGAAATGTGTTTATCTTTGAGCGAGAAGCAGGCAGGTTTGAATCCAGGATTGGGAAAAGGGTAAAGGAACACTTGCTGATTATAGCTTGTAAAACTGTGACAAATACCTGTGAGATGTTTTTCTCTCTTACAGGCTTTGATGTAAACCATTAAAAAAAGCTGATTGCATAAACCTTAACATCTGCTAACTGTTTTGACACTTAAAACAAGCTGTTCGTATTTCAGTTCGTAGATAATGAAAGTCAGCTCAGTCTGACAGCTCTGCCTCTCTAATGACATGCATTGTCCCCCCTGCGTGCGATGGAGAAGAGCTGCTGGAACCAGATGGTTTCTATTTGTCCTGTCTGTCTGATACACAGCAAACACTGGGAACACTGCCTCTGTGAACCAGCGCTCTTCATCTCCGGGGCCAGGCAGAGGCAGGGGGATTATTTATGCTCCACCGTTGCCCTCCTCTCCTCTCTGCCCCTCCCTCTTGTCGAGCTCTCCTTAAAAAGACATGCTGAGGACTTGCATGCCAAGCGGAAGCAGAGAGATGTGATGAAATCCTTCCCTGCAAAGCTTTGCTGAGAGATGTAGAAGCTCTCTGTAAGGCTGGCAAGAAAGAAGTCGTCATTTTTCAGAGGTTTAAGGACAATACCCCCAAGCCAGCTTGTTTTCTATATTTAGCCATAGAAATTTTGTGTGTCTTAACAGGCTTTACATGAAAATAGATGTATAAATGATGAAGGAATTGTGTGAGAAGTGTTGTTGATGCATTGATTCCTTGTGCCATATTCTCCCTCACTGGATCCATGAGTCGTCTAAACAGATTGCAAGCAGGATGGGAAGCTCTTTTTTTCAAACATGCCCATTTTTCTTTGCAGCCAACTCAATCCTTAAGAGAGAGAAACGCCTCCGGACAAGGAGGGTGCATTTCGAGAATGTGACAGTGTACTACTTCAGCCGACGGCAGGGCTTCACCAGCGTTCCAAGCCAGGGAGGCAGCACGCTGGGCATGTCCAACAGGCACAGCTGGATCCGGCAGTACTCCCTGGGTGAGTTTGCCTTGGAGCAGGAGAGGATCCACAGAGATATGCTCCGGGATCACCTGAAGGAGGAGAAACTCAACTCCATCAAACTCAAGGTAAAAAATCCCATTTCGAGAAATCTCCAAGCATCGAATATCGAAAAAAGTATGAAAGGTATCCAGTCTGAAAGACTCTTCACTTGAACATTTATAAATGTGTCCTCCTTTGTAGCTGACCAAGAACGGAACAGTGGAGTCTGAAGAGGCAAACACGCTCACAGCTGAGGACATCTCAGACGACGACATCGATCTGGACAACACAGAGGTAGACGAGTACTTTTTCCTGCAGCCGCTTACCACTAAAAAGAGACGGGCGCTGCTGCGCTCCTCCGGGGTAAAGAAGATTGACGTGGAAGAGAAACATGAACTGCGGGCTATCAGGATGTCCAGAGAGGACTGTGGCTGTGATTGTAGAGTCTTCTGTGACCCAGAGACCTGTGCCTGCAGCATCGCAGGGATCAAGTGCCAGGTAAAGCCCACAGTATGAATATCTCCTGTTTTACCCTTTTAATAGAAAAGAAACTGTACAGCTAAAGAGCAGATGCAGGTATGAAAGACAACACTGTGTCTTTTGGTTCAAAGTTATTAAACGGCTTCTTTTCCTCAGGTGGACCGCATGTCGTTTCCGTGTGGCTGCACCAAAGAAGGATGCAGCAATTCAACAGGGAGAGTGGAGTTCAACCCCATACGTGTCCGAACCCACTTCTTGCACACCATAATGAAGCTAGAACTGGAAAAGAGTCGTGAGCAGCAGCAGGCATCCCCCACCAACGGTTACCATGGTGATAACAACGACCTGGGGAGTGAAAACCCTCTGGTCCAGTCCCAGCACAGGTTGGAGTACTCACTGTCGGACGCTGTCCCACAAACAGCAGCGATGCACCTGCAAGCCTCCGAAGATATGGAGGAGCCTCTGGATGAAGAGGAAGATGAGGAAGACGAGGAAGAAGATGATGAGGAGGAGGAAGAGGAGGAGGAGGAAGAGGAAAATGAAGAAGATGAGGAAGATGAGGAGGATAGCAGCAGTGTTTGCAGTGCGCTGTCTGACTCCAGTACGCAGAGCTTGGCAAACAGCGACTCTGAGGATGAGGAGGAGGATGAGGAGGATGAAGAGAAGTCTGAGAACTTGGAGAGCCAATCAGTGACTCACACTGAGGTGGTCCCATTGTCCTCGGTGCTGTGCTACAGTGATGTGACGCATGAGAACCACATGAACGGAAACACGTATTTCATGAACTCTTCCTCGGCTGAGTACTACCAGCTGGGGAGCTCCGCTGTTGTTGCAAACGGTCAAACCAGCCAACCCAGTGAACCCTTCGGGGAAGCCTTAGCATTCCAGGATCCGAACGGCACGACCAACGGGGGCATGCCACAAGGACCATTCAACATATCTGCTGAGCAGTACACAGACTACCCCAATCAGGCTGAGCCACAATACACTAACGGTAACGCTAATCACCATTTCAGCCTGACGAGCGGGGCGCCCGCCACGCCGTTGACCTGCTACACAGCTGATTCAGAGAACAAGGTGTCCAAGGTGGCATTTGTGGAACAGCCTGAAAACCAGAACCAGACCCAGTTTCAGAATTTCCTGAACAATAACACACAGGGTTCATACAGCAGCCACAGCTCGTGTTTGACAGCCAAACAGCAGCAAGAGTCCAGTATCAATAACAGCCACTCTGACCTGACCTTATTAGCAAACAACACGAAGAACCTTCCTTTACCAGACCATTGTCCCGAGGTCGCAGCCATTTAGTGGGCCTCACCTCTCAAAGTGTTCTTTCATTATTATGTCTTAACTTAAGCCTGACCGAGGGACATTTCAAGGGAACATAATCATGGCCTTTTTCATTATTTGATCTGAAACTGCAGAGCTATCGGCACCACTGTAGTGCATTTACAGCTATTACGTAAAAGCCGAGGACCATATTCAGACAGCAGCTGTTTTCCCCGGACTTTCGTCTTTGGAGAAGAAGCTCCAATTCTCAAGCGTACAGGCATGATGAAAGTTATAAAAATACTGTTTTTGCTTCCAGCTGTATCAAAACTTTATGTAAATGAACATTGGTGAGTATTTTGATGGAGGTGGGGCAATATTTAAACATTTCAAAATGTTATTTAAACTTAAAGTACAGCCAATGTCTCTCCACAGTTTCAAATATGATTTTTTTTATGATTATAAAGATTGTCAAACTCCCTTCTCAAAACATCAAAATGGCATTGAAGCTTCCTAAACGAAGCCTGTCATGAGGGGGAAGTAGCTCCTGTATGAATATGGTTAAATTAGCTCCACAGTGAGAACATAAAGGAGGAAAAACTCGCTCTTACATTTTTCTTCACTACAGTATGTGCTTAACTTGCAAGATTAAACCCATCACAGCCACTTTCAAGCATCAGTTATGTCATGCTGTGCAATGTATTATGTAATCTCAGATGTAAAGTTCTAGTTTTAAGCAGATATTGTACCGTAGATGGACCTTTTCTATGTCTACCGTATGTGTCAAATGTGCAAAAAAAGGTTTACTGTCGGTTAATTTATTGTTTCTTAATTATGTGTATCCTTATATATTGTAAATGTTTTGATAATAAGCATGCTGTTTTGGGAATCAGTGACATTTAGGGGAAAATAATTGCCATTGTTTTATATGAAAATGTGTTGTATACATAATGTACATTTCTGTTCTTTTTGGTCACTATAATATGCTTTTCTATGGTTTTGGAAAAGCATGAAGCCTGAATTCTTATTTGTATATTTGTAATACAATGTCATAAGATAGCGTTAAATGATAAGAGAACAATTCACAGCCTTTTGCACTTATGTGTGGGGGTCCAGTGGCATGCAGTTGGTTTGAACTGAGTAATACTTGAACAGTGGAAAAAAAAAAACAAGGTCCCCCACTTGCTTTTCCTCCTCAACCTTTCAAAGTCAGGAGTCCATATCTGCTACACTAATCACGTATACAGGGATGATGATGATGATGATGATGATGATGATAAAGTAGCACTTTGACATATCTCTGAAAGTATATGAAGCTCTATGATTTACTCCAGAACTCTATCTTTATCTTTGAGTCAGTATAATCAGCTTAGTTTCATAAAGCATCAGTAGCCAGCCTCTACTACAGACAAATTATTGTCCGCTAATGTGTCAGTATCTCAAATTAATCCAGTTACTGGATTCCTGTTTTCTGATAGCCGTGTAAGCCACATTCCACTCCTTATTAACTACGATGTTAACTTATATGGGTCCAATAATCATGTTGATTTGTTCTATTGATGTGCAATAGCTTGAGGGTTTACAGTAGGTGTTCCCTTTGAGAGAAAATCCTCAATAAAGCGGACCACCTTTAATTGACTGTCAAGGTATTTGATATTGTACTTTAAACACTATTAGCTGAGTATTGAATTTGACACGATTTAATTAAGTGTATATGGAGAAAAAAAATGTTCAAGGTAGACAATCAAAGATTAAAATGTGGTTCATTTGAGTAAACACACAAACAATATCATCTCTGAGCCATTCTAAATATCCGAACAGCCAGGTTTTCTAAAGTTGTTTACCAAAAATCTGTAAATAACCTTTTAGATTGTCTTTTTTATGAATCCTAAAACAGGTAGAATTGGAGTAATTGTTCAGAAATTGGATGACTGCAATAATTAAGTAAAGAGACGACAATAAAATGTTTCTGAGGTTATTCACCTTGAGCTATTTGCTCCTGCATGAATACAAATACTTCCGTCCTTCAGGCTGTCGAGTATCTGCCATATTTTGAAATAAAAGGAGGTTGTTTCTGGATTTTTGGCAGTGGTGTGACTGATGAGTAGCCTGGACCTTTTCAGTCATCTCAGTTGTTTAAAAGAAGCTGACTGACTGTTTTTAGGCAATCAGAGGCATCAAAACAGTCTAATTTGCAGACAAATGGTGCCAAAATATTCAAAGCGAGAAGGCTACATACAGCGACACTGCATCCCCTTCAGAATCCTGTGTTGGATTTTAATTTCCAGTATTTATTATGAACGATATAATGAAATGTGTATTTATTGTGAATTTACTAAAAGTCTGTATTGAGTAAATTGATTCACTATCTTAAAATTTGTCTTTTGTTTCATGCAGGTTGTGTTGTAAAGCTTCATGTGCCTGATTTATTTATTTATTATTATGTGAAAAGCAAACATTTTGCACAAAATGCTCCATTTTTTTTATGTGTTTTGATTTTCAAACTGTAGATAGAGCCAACTTCATTTTCAGTTGCTTCATTTTTAACATGGTTTTGAAATAAATGAAATTCAAATTGTTAGTCAACGCTGTACAGCTCAGTGATTTCTTGGTGCGAAGCGCCCACTGCTGGTCACAAGGAGAACTGACACCCATGTTGCTCTCAGTACCACTGAATTTATTGAGCTAAAATCCAGACCTCTTTCCACCAAAGCTGTCACAGCATTTCCTCTTCAGGTAAACACACATTCACACCGTTTCTCACTCTCAGTTAATTTACAATACTTTAACATCTGTCTCAACACTAGTGCCTGCACCAGAAATTCATCTGTCAACTCATGTTCAGAGAAAAAAGGCTGAGTTTGGGATGTGAATAACAGAGTTCCTTCATGAAGTAATGTGACATGAAAATGACACCAAACCTTTGAATTTCAATAGCACAGGTGAACACTGCAGCAAATTTAAAGGGAGGCTAATTCCTTGTATTCCTTCTTCATAACAGTAGATCAAATATAAAACCATATACTTGACTTTTCTCATCGCTACAGTCCTGCAAAAATGATTATCTGGTTGATTATCTACACACATATTTTAATCCAATTGAAGCAGGTACAGCTCAAACCTTTTACTCTCTTTGGAGCTACTGTGTTGCATTGGGAAGCTAATCCTCATTAATAAATAGGTAGGGCATGACACCAGTAATTACAGCCAACACAGCCTACACTCTCAAAAGTAATAATACAACTCATTTAATACGGGTCTAAAACAGGTCCAGACAGAAAAGCTGAATGTCATTACCTTGATTTCTTGCTGTGTTAGACAGTGAGATGATTCAGAAAAGCTAGAAAGTGAGGGCCTGGTCAAAATAAAATCTTAGTATTGCAAAGTTTCTTTGTCTTAGCATTTGACAGTTTTTTACTTGATTCCCATTTCAAAATCAATTATCCCTCCATCACTCCACTGACTCAGTACTGAATTAGGCCTAAGGCACTGGAAGGTGTTTAAGTAGGTGTGTAAGAAGGTGTTCAAATCCACATAAGTCGTGTTTGTTTGTTTGTTTCAGGTTTTTTCTCTGTTAGTCTCTTTGGTGATAAAATTTTGTGTCTCCAGCTTGAACCCCTCAATCATGTGATTTACTGGACTGTGTGTTTGTCAAACTTAGTTTTAAATTTCTATGTTATTCAGTGCTGGCTTCATGTACCTACAGCAGGCGTAATGGTTGTGACGATTTAGAATAGTGAAAATATCTGAGCACTAAAGAGGCACTTGTCAAGAGAGTGTGTCTTCTTCCGAGACTCTGGTTCAGAGTTTGTCTCGCTGCATCACTTCAGTGTTTTCCTCTCGCAGACACACACTGATGTTTCTCCCAGAGTTCAATCTTCTTAGCAAACTTCTTCTACTTATAAAAAATAAATTAAAACTCAGAGTCATTCATCTAAAAGAAACTGCATGTTAGCCTCTTGCAGTGTGGTAAACTCCTGTCTGAGTATTTTGTGGGAGTCGTTTACACGAAGGTCCAGTGCTGGTATCTGTCTGCAGGGTTGCAGAGGGTCACAGTGGGAGACTCACGACGGGCACTTAGACACAAGTGCCGTGCTGGCAAGTAGAACAGCTTGTTCTATATGAAGAGAAGAAATTGTTGACTGTCTTTAAGATTTAACTCAAATAAAATAAAGGCTTAGAAGTGGAAAGAAAGTCAAAAAACTCACATCCTTAAATTCCCATTTCTGCTCCGCTCCCACAAATGAGTTCCCGCCTCTAAACTGGCATTCCTCCAGCTTCACAGCCCCCTCCACGGCATGCAAACACAGCTCCTTCTGAATGTTGTGTCTAATCTCATGATGTGTGGAGTATTCAAAATACTACAGCAAAGCAAAGAGAAAATATCAGTCATCAACCACTGTCATTGAGGTGAATCATGGATATGTCCATCAGAGTTAGAGCTTCATTTTCTATCTGACCTGGTTTCCTCCCAGTCCATGACATGGGTACATAATCAGCTGTTTCCCGCCCTCATTGTTCTCTCCAGCGTCCAGACATGAGTCTCGGCCCAGATTTTTTACCTATAGGGAAAGAGCAGGGAAGGGGAAAGCAGTGAGAGGAAACAAAATGAAAAACCAACATCCAGTGCAAGCTGTTCAAACAACTTCAGTCTCAGGAGTGCTTTCACTAGTGTCAAATTGGAAAAGCTCGGTACCCTCTGGAGATCCCAAGTGGAAACCCTCAGTGGCTAGACCGAGCTCTGAGGTTTGGAAGGAGGAGCGTGTGTGTGAGTTTGTGTGTGTATGTGTGTGTGTGATATTACCGAGCCAAATTGAAGTGGGTTAAGATCAGGCAAAAAGACTTCAGGATAAACGTTGTTCAGGTACCAGGAGAAGCTCTTGCACTGCAGACGTTCACGGAGGTCCACACGTTTAGAGATATCTCCAAAGGTTTTCTGTTAAAATAACAGCATGACATATTACCACTGAGACGCTTCTGAATCCTGCACTGTCAGCAAAAAGAAGTGAAACTCCAACCTGCTTTTAAAGCTCCTTTGGGGAGTTTCTGACTGACTGTGACGGACTGAAATTAATATTATTTATTACTCAACAGAAAGTCAAATATTTTCATTAAGTAATAAACTCAGAGACCTCAAAGACTTTTCTTTCACTATAATAAATTTCACTCTCACATTTACGGGACAAGATCAGCAAACAGGGAGCCCTCACAGGAGCTTTAAAATCAGAACCTTTTTAAAGCTCCTGTGAGGAGTATTTGGGCATTTATGAAATAGACTGAAAATCATATTAATGCGTTTTCATGATGTCCAAAAGCAGACAAGACCACCATTAACACAGCCTACAGCTTGTGCGTCATCATTTTGCATGTCTGAAAGTGCTGTGAGGGGGTAGTAGTCAAGAATAAAAGTGAAAAAAACAGTCCTGTGTTTATATCCTCTGCATACAATATTATCACACTACTTCAGGATGTAGCTGATAAAATTAACACAGACTGCTTGGTTCTTGGGGGGTGCCAAAAATTGCACAAACTGAAAGTTTTTCACAAGAGCTTTAGGTGGGAGTACAAATACAAAGCACTTGTCTTGGTAATTTTGGTTTAAAACAGAAAACATAAAAATAGAATAATGAATAAGAAAAAAAGAGGCAATACCCATAAAACTTCAGTACAGGACATAGAGATAATAGAAGCTGATGAAAAGCACTATTGAACTATTATATACATACAATCTGCACAAAGGGAACATCTGTTCATAATGTCTATTATTCTTCTGATATGAATCATGTTTCAATATTTTGATGGTGGCAGCAGAATCTTCATTGCACCACTGAAGGCCTCTGGACTAATCCTTTGTGTGCAGTTCATGTATGTATGTGCCAAAGGCCATTACAACCTGTCTAATAACTGTTGAGACAGGTAAGCCCCGCCTACAAATGCAGTTTCACTAACCATTCATTTACTTTTGATCTATTTCTTTTTTTCTAGAACAATCTAATTTTAATCTTTAAAATATGGGGTAAAAGTGGAACTGAACAATGTCCAACACGTCAAAACTATTCATGACGGAAAAAGACATCAACTCTTCACATTTGAGAAGCTGGGAACAGATCATGTTTGGCATTTTTAGTAAAAGGATTTATTTTCTTTGGACTGAGTAACCAATAAATAGTTGCAGCTCTAGTCTGAACTAAACTAGCAAACAGACAGACTGCTTAACTCTGTCATCCAGCTGATCAAATTAAAAATCGACAAAAAGAGCTCATCTCTGAGAAAAGAAGGATATCTATCCAGATCTTTAGAACTTCATTTCATTTTCAAACTAATTTCTATTTATTTCTCTGGAGTCACTGACTCTGTTATGTGGCTCTAATGACTTCTATGTTTACACCAATCAACTCTAGCCGAGCATTTGATAGCTTTACAAACACACACTTAACAGGACGTTAACAAGGATCTGCAGACTCCTCCTGCTCCTGAATAATGACAGCGTTTACTCAAATGATGTGGAGGCTCCTCACACGGCTGCACACTGACAGATTCCTTAAAGCCGTTGACGACAGAGTGTTTGTTTGAAGCTGAGAGACAGAGAGAGGCGCTGGCCCCGCTCTGTGAGGTATCGCCCTGAGGGAAACGGTTTATGGCACCTTCGGGACCACATGTTGGGAAACACTGAGAGCCTGTCATTTAGCAGTACTGACTTCCTTCGGGCCCCAGATAACAGCTTTCAGCCCTTAACAGCTCATCTATCTCTCTGCGTTTTAAAGAACACACTCAAATGAAATTGATTCTTGTATTTATGAGTAAAATACAACAGCTCTCCGAGTATGTGTTATTCTGTGTTTTCCCCTGTTAACTGATAAGGCGAGGGGTAAGCTGTAGGATTTGCGCAAACATGTCTTAAGGGTGGAGTTAAGGGATAATTAGGGGTCTTAAAAACCACCTAAATATGACCATGACAAGTGAAAACATAGTGGTGCAGAGAAATTTTCTACTTCAAGAAGGATCCCAGAATAGAAACACAGGATTTCAGACGTACATCTTTTGCCATTTGTGCAGCCTGCTGATTCCGACGGTAAAAGATCTCTTTGTAGTCGTCCATCCAGACCTCGGCCAGTCGGACCTGGTTACGAGCGATCACTTGTGTCCCCTTGGGGAAGGTGTGGGGGCTCTTAGTGCGGAAAACATGACCAACAATTGAACAAGGGAGGATCTCCAGCTGTCCACCACACTGCCACACCTGCAGGTAAATAGCAGTGAGCACAGACAGATGTACAATGAGGTGTACTCAGACACACCTATTAAACAGTTGTAGACACTGAGATGAATCAACAACTACAAAAGGTGTGAGGTCAAAATCTAAAAATACAGCATATGTCCGGAGTGATGCTTTACCCTGAAAGACATCTCAATGTTCTCTCCGCCCCAGATCTCCATTTGTTCATCGTAACTCCCAATTTGGTAGAAATAGTCCTTTGAGATGGAGAAGAGTCCACCAGCAAATGTGGGAGTCCTATTAGGAGATTTCATAGATTTCATGTGATCAGGATTCTCAGCAAAGAAATAAAGAGTTTATGAGAATTTGATGTTTTTTACTGCTGTACAATTGTTGCCTACTTGATAGGATACGTTTCATCCTTTCTTCTTTTTTTCTCATGATCTGGTAAAGACTCCCAGCCGAAGGAAAGCCCCCAGTCAAAGTTCCCCCTGTTATGGTTCTGGCCGTACGGAGACGGCTTCATGAACTCAAACGTGTTGAGATCAATAGTGGTTATATCCGGGCTCACTACTGCAGTGTAGTTCTCGGCTATTCTTGCCATCAGGGGCTCCAGCCATCCATGAAAGCATTCACCTGCACACACACACAGGTAGCGGTTTGTATCATGACGTGTTCTTTAACAATAACACCTGAATGGCTGATTTCAGTTGGCACACAAAGGCAAACACCAGGTGAGTGAGGGTGTGTCCCTAAAGCAAGCAACTGGTAGGTGTGTTGACTTACAGTGAGCGTCAAGGAAGGTGAGGGTTTCACCGGTGGCCACGGAGGCACCCAGCAGGCGAGCAGTGATTAGTCCTTTTCTTTCTCGCTGGCGAACGACTTGAACGATGTTTAGCTGCTTCAAATACTCATCTAGGTTGTCTTTTAACATATCTGAAAGATAGATTTAGAGACGACAAAATCATTAAAGAATTCATGAAGAATGGAAAGATGAAACAATACCAGATTGAATCTTGTTTGAAGTGTAATAAAGACAGGGTCATGGCTAAATAAATCATCAGATGCAAAAGTACAAATGTGTCTTCTTTTCCTCTTTAGTGTGTCCTTCTGTCAGGATTAAAGCAGACCTCCATCTGTAGCTGATAATAACTAAAAAAAAACTAAGTTTACAGCGTCAGATGAACAACATTCCCTAAATCCTCTCTCTCCTGTGTCCCTCCTAAATCCAATTTGAAAGCTCCACCCTGATTCATTTTAAAAGCACAACCAGTACTAAGTCTTCTTTGGAAACTATTCACCAGCAGCCCCTCACTTCCTGCTGTAACCCACTTCATTGGCTACAGAGGGAGCAGGGGGCTCCTGTCTGCACATTTCAAGAGCTGCCCACCCAACAAGCTGCATGAAATCAAACCCAAATGAGGGCCGACAATCCCCTCTTAAAATTTTACCATCCACGCTGGCATCGTCCACCAGGATGATCTCCTTGAGTAGGATGGCCGGAGAGGTGTGCAGGACACTGTATACTGTCCTCAGCAGAGTGCTCCAAGCCTCATTGTGGAACACAATTATCACACTGGTGGTCGGCAAGGGGGGGCATCGCTTGAAGGTTTGCTCAATGCATCTGCAGCAACGAGAGTGAAAAGAGCACAAAGATGTGACTGTCCAACACAGATCCTGAGCGGTACAATAGTCTAGTTATTACATCTGCTGACTCTCCCTAGTGGGGTGTCCATTTCTGCTGCGACACTGCATGTGTGGCAGCCTTTCAAATACCTGCAATATCAGGCTTTGTAATTCACCCTGGCAAGATGGCCAGGACATGGACAGGCTTTATGTCTGTGTCAGGTACTGACTATGTCCTGACACGGACTTGGACTTCCATGTACTATCATCAGCCAAACATAACTGTGCTCCTCTCTGAAGTGGCCACAGTAACTGGGCAGGCAGGCTAAAGCAAAGTCCCAGTCAGAACAGTCATCTCTGTGGTTTCTGCTGCAGATTATTTGCAAAAAGTGAACATGATGAATGTGTTTTGGTTAGGCGAGTCAGTTTTTCATTAAACCATTTGTAGTACTGCTGCTCTGTGATATTTTCCAGTGTGTGACTTAGTTTTATTCTGAGCCAGTACATTGAGAAATAATGGGGGGAGAACTTCCAGTACAGAACCAATGTAGCATTCGCACCCACTAGGTGGTGTGATTAAATGTTGTTTTGAGATTGAATCATTAGGAAAATTAATGTAACATTATTTAATAAGATTTATAATAATTTTGCACAGAAACTTACTCTGGTGGTCTTGTGTCTGGGCCCAGGTTTCTACTCAAAGAGATGCGGTCACTGGCAAACAGGTTAAAGCAGTGTTTCTCCTCACCCTTCTCCTTCTCCTTCTGCTCCTCAGGGCTCAAAGAGTCTGTGTAGAAAGGCTTCCCATCTGCTCCAGGAGCAAGAGGGTTCTGGGGCGGCCGCTCCAGGGCCGGCCTGAGCTCGGCTGCAGTGTAGTGACCCTGCAGACAGGATGCACCATCCCTACTATCCTGCTTACGCACAGGGGCTTTGATCTGCATCTTTGGTATAGCATCCTTGAAGTTATTGACAGCTCCCATTACCATGCCCAGCATGGAGTCCCGCTTGACAGCTATCTCCTTCAGCCATGGGTCCTCCTGTTGGTTCTGGCTCCCAACCTCCCGTTGTATGAGGAACACAAATGTGACAAAAATGAGGGCCACTATCGCCAGTTTTAGTGGGTGCAGGCGCCTTCGGAGGACTCTGCGGAGAGCTGTCATTCTTCTTAAACAGAGAGGAGGAGTGCTTTGGACTGAGATTCAGCTAGAACAAATAAAAAGGATTTTATTATATCAATAAATCAGATCAGAGTAATGAGGAAATTTTAGGTATATAAGATATAGCCAACATGAGTATACTCTGCTCACCATGTCAAATTCAAATTCAACTTTATTTGTATGGCACTTTTCAGACAAAAAGATGTATTTCAAAGTGCCTCACAGAGGCTAAAAGCAATGATTAAACGACAATAAAACCTGACCCTCCCACCAACACACCCACCCATGGACCCACACAAACACACAGACCCACACGCACCCACCCTCACTCACCCACACACACACACACACACACACACACACACACACACACACACACACACACAAGAGCAATCAAAGTGAGAATTTAAGATATCGTTAAAGAGACATGGCCTGACAGCGAGGCATTATGTGGGGAAAGAGCTACCTTTAGGAAACACTGGAGATATAAGATAAAAAATTTAATGGTAGAAAGAAAGACTAAAACCTGATGGACTAAAACAAGAAAATCATATTAAAAGAACAAATAAATAAGAGCTCTTTACCATGTAAAAGGGGTAAAAGAAGTAAAAACCTCTATGACGGGAATTAAGAATAAGACCAAGAACAATAATTAATAAAATGACATAAAAGAAACATTAAGAACTTTGATTAAAATGAACATTTGCAATAAGAGAAATATGAAAGGGCAGTCATTGAAAAGCCTGGTTAAAAAGGTGAGTCTTGAGCCTCTTCCTGTCACAATAATATGATAAGCTACCTGTACTTAAGGTGAGCTGTTAAACTTTTTAACTTGATGAATTTAAATTTATTATACTCTGCTGACATTTGTAAAACAATTGGTTAAAAACTGCTGACAAAAAACAGTCATCAATCCCTGCCCCGGATTCCTTCAGAGTAAAAGACCACGTAGCCTACCATGAGTCGCGAGTCACAGGTTTTGGTGAGTAAAGTCTGTTAAATTGATGTTATACTGATCCACAAACAGCATATTGTCTCCATTTTAGATCCTGGAATAGTTTCTCGAACTCCAAAGACACTTTTCATGAAGAAAAAAAGATTTGCGTCAGGGAACTTCCGTCTCGTTGGACCCAGGTGAGCTCCTCTCAGGTAGAAGGAGGAGACACCCCCATGCGCGTGCGCAGAGAGTTCCTCTGCGTGTCAGAATCCATACCTGCAGTAAAGATAACAAAACGAGACTTATTTAGACCATTTTGACCTCTAAGTTAAACGGCGTTACTGTCTAAACAGACATTTCAAACAATGAGTACAACTAATTCTTTAAATATTATCCACAAAACGGCCGAAAATTACAACTTTTATCGGTGAAACTTTGAACTAAAGTGCTATTTAGTCACTCTGCCGGCAGGAATACAGCAGGCTGTGCTGTCCACAGAGTTCCTCACTTTCAATAATGGTGTCATTAATGGGATTTGTTCAACTGGTCATTCACTGGGACAGTTGCTGGGTTACATATAAAAGAGGAACGCGGTATGCCCCACACACACAGCCCACCGCATCCAATCAGGTTGTCTGAGAAAACACCACATCCTGCACATTGAGCCTGAACTACTGAGGATCATAGACGGCAGAGAAAAGCACATGGTCCGACGTGGAATTGAAAGAAAAAAATTTAAGCAGCGTCCTTTCGCTTTGAAGCGACTCTGGCTGCACTGGAGGGAAATACCATCTCAGCTTTCCTCCCAGAGAAAGTTTCGATTTGACACTCACCTGTGGACTCTGGAGTTGCTTTCTTTTAAACGCTTATCCTCAAGATGTTGGTCTTCAGAAAGACTTGGATACTTAACGGAGTGGATACGCGGACTCCAGGCGTGGGGAGTCTGCTCCTGTTGCCCAGTTTGAGGTCTTTCTGCCCCTGAGTCGCACCGACTCCATCTGTAGTGACTGTGCTCCCCGGCACTTCCTATCCACTGCAGGCGTCCGCCTTATTATGTCCATTAAAGTGTTCACTGGTGTCCTGCATTTTTTCCAGTCACGGTTGTAAATGTTTGTCTTAGCAGCAATTACATGGAGTCCTGATGATGGAAACAGTTTATCAAGGAAATGACTCAATCAGGAGGGCACTTGTGCTTATTATCGCAATGATAAAAAGAGTAAAAAAAGAAATCAGGACAAATGAGCTTAAATATTTTTATTTTTTTAAAATCGGCTTTTGGTGGCTGATATTTATAACACATCCAGATCCTATATTTGTTCATCATAACATAAAACTATACAAAAACATATAAAAGAACAGTGACAGATCATTTCAGGGTGTATTTTGTTGAATTACAAAAATACTTTTCACACACATGATTATCTTAAGTGTCTCCTCCCTTCTATGCCCCAAAATCTGTAATCTTTAGGGTGTGTACATGAATTTCCCACACACACTTTTCTATCAGGGTTGCCATCACCCAGATACTACTATACTTAAATACATTAAAATGGAAATGCATCGCCTCCTTCCCCCTCTCTTTCTCTTCTCAGTTTCAGCACTAAGATCTCAGAGCAGCCCGGGCTTTGTCCAGTATGTCCTTTCTCATTCTTGGATAATTTGGGTGAGCAGCCAGAACCTGTGGATGAAAGAAAATCAAATATGAGTTCAGTGAATAACAACAGCACTGACTTCTCAAATTGTCAACATCTACAGGTGTCTCACCTTGTGACACACATCTATAGCGTCTACATGCCGCTTTGCTTTTAAGTAGTTGAATGCAAGCTTGTATCCTGAAAAAAAGATGCAGCTGTTAGCAGTGTGGTCAAAATGAAAAAAAAAAAAAATTCTGTTTCAAAGGAAGATGTGGACGCGATCATACCAATGGATGGGTTGGTCCGGTTTCCATATTTCCAAGCCATTTCATAGTTGAATGCTGCATCACGGAAAGCCTGCTCTTTTTCCACTATGTAGCCCTGATATTCATAAGCTTTACAGCATGACTGCAAAAAGGGAAAATTTACAACACAAAGACATCAACAGAACAGAAGACGCCTACACTATCAAGTATTAAAACAGAGGAAAAGTGGTTTTGTTCGACTTTGAATTGCTCTGTTTAAACGACAAACTATTCAAGCAGTGACGGAGCTTCCAGGCTGACCTTGTTATGGTTAAGACATCTCTTTAAGAGGTCCCCGGCCATGTCATACTTCCCCGAATGAATGTAGATGTCTGCCAAGAGCAGCCAGCTCTTCTCGAACTCATCTGCGTCGACAATGCTCCAGTTCATCTTAGCTATGCGTTTGAGCTGGTTCCTGGCTCGGGGGGTTTGTTTCAGCATCATATAAGCTGTCGCCATGGCCAAGAGCGCTGGAACATGGTCTTTCTGTAGTCAACCAGAGAGTCCTGGTCAGACAGGATGGATATGACACACAGACCCTACTACCCCACTTTACTTTTTGCACTAAAACACACTAAAAGTTTAAAAGTAAAGAGTGATTTTTAAAATGATACCTACAAAACAGAATTTTAACAGGGCAGGTATCAGTTCAGACAGATACAGTCTATCATGCAGTTTATTAGCAAAGGGACTGACTGACATATACAGTGAGGCTGATATAATGCACAGCTCCTGGATGGGTTATATATACACAAGACAGAGTGAGGCAGCTTAAATGCGTACCATCTGGAGTTTACTTACCTCATTGTTTGCTATCTCTGTGAACACCCCGAGGGCTTTCTCTACATTGACCTTCTGCTTAGTAGCCAGATAGCAGTAGTTCTCCAGGATGCGGAGCTGTATATGTCCACTTGGTGTCTGAGGCTTTAACTCTTTCAGCAGCTTCTCGGCTGTTCTCACAGCAAGCTGCTCCGACTCCTGCTTCTCAGTGGAGTTGCTAAAGAAACAGACAGATAAGCATAAGCGTTCAGAAAAAAAAAATGACATGGATGCTGCCTGGAAGGGACACCAAAACAACATGGAGCGCCAGTTTAATTCACATTGATTTATTTTCAATCACTAATTTTCCTGGTGTTGTTGTTAGCTGCTTGACAGCTGGGTTGACATATCTGTGGTCCTAAGTTCACCTGTTTAGCTAACTTATCAGTAACCACAAAAAGTAAGGTGACAAATAGAGTCTGAGTGTGCACTTCAAACTGAATCAAGAAGCTGTCATGCTGCAGGCCGCACTGTCTTGGGTGTTGTTCCACCAGGTAATTAAAGGCAAGTTTTAGCCAGTCTAATCTTTCAGTCTTGAAAAATAAGGAAAAAAAAACTGCAGGTCCTTAAAAGCCAAGGGACCCTGTTACCACATTTACAGCCTGGGATAAAAGCTGGTTTTGGCTCGAACAGCTTATTTCTAAACAGGTACATACTTCTTAAGTGTGTAGATTTTTAAATAAATCACCCGGTTTGACAGTATTACAGATGAGAGCTCTACATGAAGTCACATAGTGAGTGGGCTGATCACTCATGACTCAGCATTTATAATATGCCTCTACAGAAACCAATGGGTGACACCACTGAGACTAAATCCTTGTTTCATTGTTCCACAGTGGGAGGAGGTGCTCTGCCTCACAGTCAATATTTCCAAAAGAAGGAATGTACTTAGTTTTCTACTGAAGCACAGATTCAGTTCTTGTATGCTCCTCATGCCACTTACCCTATTTCCCCATCCAAAGTTTCAAACACTTCTCCTCCTATGGTTTCATTATCGGGGTTCAGGTAGATTTCAATCATATTATACACAGCATTTTGACCCCAATCGTTGTCTTTTCGTGCTTTGTTGAAATGCCGCAGAGCTTCATTGGGCTGTCCTGTGAACCTTTAAAGAAATCACACATTTGGTCACTGCTTTTTTAACAGGAGGCTCTACATTCAAAGGAAGTTGTTCAAAACTTACCAAAGATAAAGTCCTTTGCAGTAGTTGAACCCTGGGTCAAACTTAGTCCTGGGAGAATGTTTTTCCGCCATTTCGATAAATCGGGGAACTTCTTCCAATTTTCCGGCTCTTCTCAACAGGTCGATTAGACGGGACAGTGTTGGGTAATTGTCTAAAAGCAACAGGTGTACGATACTGTAAATATTTAATTTCTTAGATTTTTTTCAGTTTTTCAAAGGCAGAGAAAAATGTGGCTCTTGTATACCTGGTTTGCGCTCCAAAAGTTGTTGAAAGTGGAAAACTGCCTGGTCATAGTCCTGCTTTCTGAACATAATGTCAGCCATCATCTGAAAACAAACACATGTAAGAAACATTCATATCAAAAAGGTCAGAATGAAGTCAGTTATGTAAAGAGGCCAGAACAAACCAGAGTGGCATCTTCATTATACTGATCACTCTTCAGAATAACGCTGCATTGCTCCTGGCATGCATCAGCCTCATCTAGAGTGAGGTACAAGCGGGCCAACTCCAGCATCACCTAGAACAGAGAAACACTCATTTGAAATCTTTTTACCAAACGCTCATACAATAATATATGTTGGAAAAATCTGACCCTGAAACAATTTATCAACAACTTAGATCAGAAAATGTGACAAAACATAAGCACAAGACTCCAAAAGATGCCAGTGCTTGTTATCCACAGCTGCAGTGAGCACACAGGACGTTTTTGAGTCAGCTGCACTGACCTTGCGATCAGTCTCACAATACACAAGAGCTTCTTTGTAGAATTTGACTGCTCTCTCATAGCCCCTCTGACTTGTGTAGTGTTTAGCTATCTCGGCGCAGATCTCGGCAGCAAGCTGCTTCTGCACGGGGATGGCGTCGGGCTGCTCCAACTGAACCCGCTTCAGCACCTTGGCCTGCACATCCCGGGCCTATACAAAGCAAAAACACAAGCTTGATTGAAAACAGCAACAGAAAAGAAAAAGCTCCATCCCTGACGAATCTGTACAAACAAAAAACTAAAGAAAAGTATGTTTTTCTGGGGAAAAACATTGTTAAATATTTGATTACAAAAACATGTGACGGAAAAAAAAAAAGAAAAAACAGCATGCACCACACTGTAGGGCTTCAATATTGTAGATAATTTGATGTACCAGGCTAGTGGCATTTATCCCCCACACACAGGGAAAGCATTTCCCTTAAAGTTGTTTTCCTAAATAAAAAACGTCAAACATGCTGTATTCTGAAATACCCCTGTAGACTGGCATACGTTGGAAAAACCTCCTCAATATAGAAACCAGAAAAGCAAGCCCAGGAGTGCAAACAGCCACGGTGACCTCAAGAGCCCCGTAGAGGACTAGTTTCTGTTGATGAATCACAGCTGCACCTCCTTTTTTTGTCACTGATCACGTTATGCTCCCAGGAATGACATCAGTAATCTCTTCAAATGTGAACTATTTAACACAATGTCATGTAGGGCTACAAACAAGGAAATGGACAATCTGTGCTTTTTTGGTTTGATATTGTTTTTCTTAGTGACGACAGAAAAATGAGGCGAGGTTCACTTATTCATCTGGGTGTCTCTGACTGTATGCAATAAATCAGATACAGGACACAGAGAGGTGCCTCTTTGACAAGTATAATGCACTTTGTGACGGCACACAGCCTGATGACATTCAGGTTAAACCTTCTTTTAATAACTATCTCTATAATTAGCAATGTGAGGGTGTGCATATTGCTTTACCACCAGGTATGACATCCAAGTGTAACTAAGATGCACCATTTCCCACTCACATATTTATTTGTTTCATTTATAAGAACATATTTCTGTGACTGATCTTATTTTGATCTTGTAATTACTAATGTGACTACGATCACCAGGGTTCCTACGCAAGTATGGAAAGTATGGAAAAGTATGGAAGTACTTTGATCAATTTCCAGGTCTTTAAAAGTATGGTAAATGAAAAATAAAGTATGGAAAAATAATAGGTTTCCAGACTACTACAGTCAAAAAAAAAATCTGTTTTCTGAAATAGAAAAGTAGGTATTTGCAAAAATAATTCTAAAAAGTAGGGTATGGAAAAGTATGGAAATTCCAACTGTGTAGGAACCCTGGATCATATGTACTTAGGATGGTCCTGAGCGGCGTTATTTTAGTCTGATAAAGAGCGAGTCTGCTCACAATTCACTGAGGCTGTCCATGTCTTATACAGTGTGGGTAAATCCTGCTTCAAATATGGGCAGATGACCCATTTTGTGGCCAGTACAGCTTCACTCTCTGATCACTTACCACATATGCACAAAAATACAAACACATATTCACCCAGCTTGGTATAGACAAATAAATGCCATTCAATTTAATGTAACTGCAGTATTCATATATGCATATTTTTGTTATAGCCTCCATCAGTCAGAGTGTAACTTACTTTTTGTAGAGAAAGTAAAGCGTCCTCATTTTTGTCCACCTTATTTTGGACCTTTGCCAGCAGGACCAGATAACGGCAATCATCAGAGAGCGCCTGCAGTTCATTTACTGTTGAGAAAAGATGCAGTTCAAAGCACAAGGGAACCATAAACAAATAAGAAATCAGATGTTTTTATAAATAGGGGGGAGATGTTTTGATTTGTTTTACACAATATTTATTTTAAGTTCCTTTCCATCTCTGAATCAGGTTGTTTGCACATCCTCAATATCATGTCTGGGCACAAACATTTAGGATGACTCGAGTGTCTTGGTGTATTTGGTGTTTGACGTCAGGAGTCGTAACTCTGCGACATCATACCTGGTTCATGAGCCAAAGCTTCCTGCAGGACTCTCTCACAGCGCTCGTATTGCTTCATTTTCATCAGCAGCTCAGCCAGGTCGTAACGCAGGAAATTCTGCTGCTCGGTCTTCAGGGCAGCTTCATAGTAATTCATTGCCTGTGTGACAGCAGCCTTGTGTCAACAGTTTCTGTGAGTGGGTTGTGTTTAGCTTATAATGATAGTATGACACAAACCTTTGCGTAGTTGTGAGTCTTGACCAGGGCTTTTCCAATCTTGCTGGCTAAAGCTCCGTCTTTGGGGTTTTTCTTCAGGGCGTGCTCATAAACCTCAATAGCTTTCTCAGGCTGAGGGACAAAACAAACAGAAGTGCTGTCGTAATGTGTTGGAGATTTGATGGTATTTTAAATTTTCTTGGTGACTGATGCACATTTCAAGTAAAACTAATGAAAGTTATGAAAGTTGTAAAAAGATCCAGGTGAGGTTTTTCACTGTGACCTTTTTCAGCCTCATCAAATCATCATCATCACAACCCAGCTATGTGCAAACATGCCTGATCTTCTGAGGCTCTGCTCACCTCCCATTAAATCCTGCAGGCTACCTCTTTCATCTAAAACCAACTCTGCTCATTCAAGTGAGGCACGTTTTGTTCCATGACAGCATCATCCATTATTCAACAAATATGTGATGAGACTTTTTCTAGCTGTATTTAATAGAGAAGGTGATGTTGTTTGTGTTTCCTTTACTTCAGTAAATTATTTTGGTAACACTTTATTTGACACCTATCTCTATAACGGATTATAAATATATGTATAATGCATTATAATCACATTATAGCACTGTATAACTATAGTTATAAACACTCATAAATGATCATAATGCTTTATAGCAATAATCATAACACGTTATAAAGCATTTTATCATGACTTACAAGGTTGGGTATTATACTGTGAAATAACTGTTAAAAACTCACAGACAATGCCCACATAGATAATGCATTATACATATGATGTGTTATAATATGCTGATAAACTTGTATAACTATCATTATAAACACTCATTAATTATCATAAGGCTTTATAACAATAATCAAAACACATACCTTACCTTGTAAGTCATGATAAAATGCTTTATAATGTGTTTTGATTATTAATTTAAAGCATTATGATCGTTTATGAGTGTTTATAACTATAGTTATAAAGTGCTATAATGCCATTATAACGTATTATGCATATATTTATTATACGTTATAGAGATAGGTGTCATGTAAAGTGTTACCATTATTTTACTTAGTAACTTTAGGTGAGCAATGTAACGTAGTATTACCATGTTGTCTAGTTTATGTATGATTGTAGGCAACAAAAAAAGACAGCTGATTAACATCTTACATACAATCATATCTCTAATTTTGGGTCATAAATACATTCAAATGTTTAATATTTTTTTCAAATTTTTGCTGATTTTTGTTTTACAGTGTTTTAACTATCTATCATTGCCTCTCAACCTCTACAATAAATCCAAGTGATCTAAAAAGATGTCTTATATTAAATTTTAAACTTCTGTTCAAAGGTAGTGTTGCACAATGCAGTGATTTATTCTAGACTACCAGCTTTTTTAGCACTGGAGCAGGTTGTCTTGCCTCTTCATTCTCAACGCATTTACCCTCCAAAAATATTTAACCTTTACTCTATCTATTCAACGTGCCAAGAAAAACTAATCGACAAGTTCCCAGGTTTCCAGGAAACATAGAAATCTGACCCTGGGCTAAATGACTGAGATAAATGCGTCTTTGACTCTGCCAAGAGACGAGGTAAAGTGCTTACGCAAGTGAGGCTGCTGACATCTTCCCCTGCGCTCATTGAGAGCTACTTACACTCTCTCATTATAAAGAGGTGGGTACAGTCTGTGTCCAAACAATGGTTAGCTAATAGTAAATCATGTTTCATTCTGTAACTTCTCAGTGTGTAAGGCTTTCTCTTTCAGTCTTTTTATACTGAGCAGTAAAGTGAATTTAAAACTATCATTATCACAATTAGACTGTTTTATCATACAGGAATACAAAGACTAAATAACCTTTGTGGTGGACTTCATGACAGTCCCAGCACAAAGAGAAGTTAAAAGGAAAAGTAAAGCTTGTAAAGATGAATGTGAAGAGCTGTAATGAGGAAGTATAAAGCAGTTTAGTGCAACTGGGGCTACACAAAGTCCACCCATATATCAAGTCATAACTTTTAAATCTCACTGCTGTTGGCAGTTTTCATCACATCTTTGATTTGAACCATTTAGATTCATGTTTAAAAGTGGAATTAGATTACACACAATACATGAGAGCTCATATCAAATTCATATCATCCACGCAGATGAATCACAGCTCCTACTTACTTCTTGAATGTTAATGTAGGCATCTCCTAGTAACAGGTATGTATGAGGGCTTGGCAGCTTCTCCACCATTTCTCTGGAGAAAACAGAGATATCACATCACATATTGAGGTCCACATTATGCATGCACAGTATATTTCTGCTGGTCTGAGGTTCAGCTATGCTTTACTGCATCTCAGCTGTTGATACAAGCAGCATCAGAGAGAAACAGAAGACTGGAGGCAACGGAGCACATTTCCTTTTTACAGCTTGAATGGCTTTAGTTAAATTTTTATTGGATTTACTTTTGGTTTGTGGTCCTTTAAATCCGACTACAGACCTGTCTGGATGAAATTACAACATATCCTCCAGTCATGTATTTAATTAAGTTCAAGCCATTTCAGTTCAGTCAAACATTTACAAAACATGATGTTTCAGATGGAGCAGTCTTATTATTGGCTCTTATCTTAGCCTTAGATCACCTTTTTGTTCATTTGGATCCAGATTTACTGCTCACCTGTAACAGCTTGCATACAGGCGTTTCTCTTTCCTGTGGTTCAGATATATGTCTCCCATTTTCTCCTTGGCTTGGATGTAGTAGGGCTGTTCTGGGGTAATGTTTCTGAGCATACTTAGTGCCAGCTCAGTGTCTCCACGCAGTAAGGCCAGGTCTGCATTGGCAATAGTAACACGTAGCTCCTCAGGGGTCCCTGAGAATTCATTGATGGCATCCTGCATCACCTTTGCTGCCTCATGCTGAAATATTAAACCCAAGACAAGGATGAAAAACCTTCAAAAACACTCCCTCACACAAATCACAAAGAATCCTCCTCTACCTGTTCTCCATTGAGCCAAAGCGCCTCGGCTAACTCTAAGAAGACTGAGACACAGTCAGCAGGACTCAGCTCGATCTTCTTGTTCTTGGACTTGTATGAGGATCCAGCTCTACGGATGCCTGGGAGACTCATGGCCATCTGCAGTGTCTGAATAGCTTCCTTCAGCTCACCAGTTTTCTTCTGAGCCTGAGCCTTGATCAAGTGGTACAAAGGATGATCTCGGATCTGGAATTGACAAGAAGTTGTAACCCTTAGCATTAAAGCTGGTAGGAGCAGATTGATCATCAATGATTTTACATACTCTGCAGGTTTCTTGTCAATAATTGTATTCATGCATTTGTGTATACTACCATGAGACACACACCACGTGCCTGTGTATATTTCTCTCTGTGTTTTCTGTTTTTACTTAGCTGTAACAAAGCTCTGAAAACAGCAAAATTGTAAAAAACTAAAAACTAAAAAACTAAAAAACAAAACAAAACAAAACAACAACAGTTAACAGTTGTACAAGACTCCCTGAAAAAGTAGTCTGAGTTTGTTCATGACAGGAAGAGAGTGTTCTCCTCTCTCTGATTTATGTGATTGGAGTGTCCCTTGTTGAAATCTTTCAGAATCGAGCTTATTTTTTTACAGAGATTTCAAGGCTGCTTTTCCCAACTCAAACCATTCATAAAATGGCTAAGCTAACAAGCAATTAAATGTAGGAGATAAAGGCTGCAAATATGGGTCAAATTAAACTATATTATCTTATGAACTCGTACCTCAAAGTTGTGGCTGAGACAGAGCTCAAGAGACTGGGAGCACAATGAGAAGTTCCCCTGCAGCAGATGAATCTGTGCCATCAGCAGATGAGCATCTGCGTGAGAAGGACACTGTTCCAGACAGTGTTGTAGGCCGCTCTGAGCAGCATCAGTTTCACCTGAGTGAATAAAACAAGTCAAGATAGCAGTTGTAGAAAATAAACCAATCAAATTTTGAAGTGCGGAGCTTACCAGACTGATATCTGACTTTGGCCAATAGAAAGACTCCCTGAGGGAGACCTGGCACAATCTTGACCACAGTGTCCAACAAAGTAGCACAGCGCTGGAGCTGAGGAGCAGGAGGGAGACCCTGTGCTGGAGGCTAAGATCAGAGTGGTAAAATTAACATTATCAGTGGAAACATAACTGACCCTTAAAGGCTCTTTAAATGTTTAAGGACCAGTGATGGCCCCAAGTACCTTGGCAGGACACAGTGCAAGATACTCTTTTACAATCTCCAACAAGAAGTCAGGATTAAGCTTCTCAAAGTATTCGACTCCCAGAGGCAGGCCCTGCAGTGTGGAGAGGTGGGTGTCCACAGCATCATTCAACAGGTTTGTTACCTCTTCCTGGGGCCGGCGTTTTTTCACTGCCAGAACAGCCCGCAAGTACAGAAGCTCCTAAAAGAGCCGAAATGAAAATAAACCAACCAACTCATACGATGACAAGCACATAGACAAAAAATATACAGTATATGTATAAGAAAAATAAGGTAGAGAATGTGAGGTAGGGAGGAGAACTTCTGGTACCCCTGATTTTCCAATAGATTGTTGAATCTCTGTCAGACATTCCAGCCGTTCTTCTGCATCGTCCAAATGGCCCTCTAACAGCTGGCAACGGATTATACCTGAGTCACCGAAAAAAAATTCTTCAGACACCAAAAAAAATATGCAAATGGAAAACAGATTATGAGTTGCAGCAGTTTACCAGTCATTGCAGAAACACTTGTTTCATCAAGAGTCATGGCCATCTTGTACCACTTCATAGCGTCCTTGATTCTACCGTGCAGCACCGACTGGTAGCCCAGCTCTGTTGCTAAATCTGAGTCTCCTGATGCCACAGAGAAGGCTCTTTCCACCATTCTATACGTCTGCTCAATCACTTTCTCATTTCGTCCACACTAAAACAAAACAAGAACATGCTGAAACTCTGAGGTAACAGGAGACACCTGGGGTCTAAAGAAGACTAAATGGAGTAATGCAAGTTGTCTTACTACACGGGTGAAGGCCAGGGACATCCTGTAGAACAGCTCTGGGTTGTGTGGCTCAACAATTTCCAAGCTGCTGATAAGGTTTGAAAGCTGCTTTACTGCCTGTCAAGGGGGACATAAAAACAGTGTCAGTAAATGGATCAGCACTTTACCACATTGTCATCATAAATACCAATAATCGCTAGCTATTTTTTTTACTCCAAGCGTGAAAATGTGAGATATACCTCATCAACATTGCCGTCCCGACATAAAGAATGCAGAGCCAGCATCTGCAGGGCCTCCAGATTGTTTTTGTCCTTCTGTAAAAGCCTGAAATATGACACAAGGTAATGAAGGCACTGAATGAAGCCTATCTGCTTGGCTTAATAAGCTTTGACTTTTTAGATTGACAGTAATAGAATATCTGATACTGCATGCTGTGCTGAATTCCCAGACAAATAATATAAAAAAATTGAGAGAATGTGATGACTGCCAAAGTATCTAAAGTATATTTAATGCTGCTTGCACCCCTTCCATATTGTCAGGGCAGTTTGAAACTTAGTGCAACTTGAGCGATGATACTTTCTGCTGTTCACCAATCTCAAAGGCAGCACATCTTGAGGAATGAGTTGGACTTCTGCACTTTGGCTCAAAGGCCTTTTATGCTGTCTAACACTGGCCAAAAGCCAGGGGGGCGAGCACAAACGATGGCTTAATCAGTATGCGAAGGTTCTCAGACAACTTTCTTGTGTTTTTTTTGCAGTTGAATACTGTGCAGTTTAGAGGCTGACTGTGTTTTTTTTTTCTTTTATCCTTTGCAGTGATTTGAAATATATATTTTTTGACCAGTGTATTACTTGGGAAAACTGCCTTATCATGTAATCAGTTACCTGTGTGCTGCATCTATAGTTTGCTCCCAGTCCTGGAGGCTGAGCAACAGCTTCATCTTCTTGTTGAGGGCAGGCAAGAATCCAGGGAAACCTACAATGACCTGGTTAACCATCTCTAATGCTCCAGAGTAGTTCTGACGATATTCGTAATATTGTGCCTGAAGCAGATTAAACAATATTCCAAAAGTTAAAAAGACATTATAGAAATCATAAAATTAGAACGCAGTATTGCGATACTTAAAGCTTTGGTAAATGGGGACTTATCAATAAATATTTGTATGTTACATCTCACCTTCCCCATGAGAGCAAAAACATCTGCTTTCTCTTTCAGTGCCTCATCAAAGTATTTTCCAGCCTTTCTGGCATATGCGTCTTTACCAGATGTCACATCTATCCAAGCCTTTAGAATTGTCCCCTGAACGACGAATTACACTCCATTAGTGACAGAAGCGCATATAGATGAGAGGCAAGACAGAGCTTTGTATCATTTAACACTCAAAGATGTCACATACCATTATGGGAATAATTTTTATACATTTCTCAAATATGTAAGCAGATCAGAAAGACAAATCTTACCTCTCTTGAGCCCTTGGAGAGTTTGATCATTCTCTCTGTGTACTCTCTTGCCTTGTCATTTCGCCCCAAAAGCCAGAGAAACATCCCAGCATGATACAGACTCTTAGGAGAAGCACTTTTACGATCTTCTTTAACCTTAGCATCAAGCTCCTGGATGACTTCTCTGTCTGAAAATCCAAAGATTCATAATTAAGATATCTGTACGTGTTTCTAGTAATCTAAAAGCATGTGCACATATATTAATGATTAAGTTAAGTATGTAAACACAGGCTTACCTGGGTTAGTCTTCTTTTTTTCAGCAAAAACAAGGGCCATTAATGTGCAGAGAGACACATCTCGACTGTCTCTTATTGTGTCCAACTCTAGTGAGGCTTCCTGAATTTCATCTGCAGGCAAACAATAAACATTGTCAAACTAATGTATGATAGATGGAAAAGTACACCTACCTTGTTGTTTTTTAACCTACCTTGCATAAGGGTACCATATGCATGGAAAAAACTGTAAACGGGATCATTGCCGAATTTCCTCTGGCCAGTTGCTGCAGCGTTTACAGCGTGATTAAAATACTTTTCATAGCAAAAGTACCTTATTAAAGTCTGTGGGGAAAAACAGGAGAGAGTCTGAGTTTGTAGGAGGTAAAGACTGGTAAGCAAACGCTCTCAGTACGCTGTGTTTAATAGCATTTAACGTAAGTATAGCTTATACTTGATAACTTGGTAAACATCATTATCGTTAGCTGAAGCAGTTTAAATCATATGTCTGTGTAATTCTGCAGACAGGCTAAGTTGCAACGTGACTGCAAGATTTGCTCGTCAATTTGGGTAAATTTAGGTGAGCTCTCGGGTCCCTTTTATCTAAAGCCTGTATTGTAGTTTCACGTAACTACGCCGCCTTACCAACGCTGTCTCTTCATCCTCCATCTCAGCTGTACCTGAAGAGTATCTGTCGTGGAAAATAACAAACAATGTTCTCGTCGACAAAGCAATACTAACACTATTTTTGTTGCGTTTTCGCCATCTTGGAACTCCTTTGGCGTTACTCGGTAACTTAGTAACAGCAACGTATCCTTGTTAATTTTTCTCCCTTTCTTGTCTTTCAGGGGTTGATTACCGTTTGACCGAGTGCATTTCTTGATACAAGTAGCGATAGAAAAATTGAATAAGATATATTCTGGGATATGCATTTCAATGAATATTATGATTTAATTCTTAACGGTTTATCAAACAAACTGTACAGATAATTGTGGCATTCTAGCCTGCGCCGGAGCCTGACAGACTTAATATAGGGCGAAGTGATTCTGTGCTTTCCATGCCTACGTTGTACTTGAGCTAATAACGTCTTTGCGTCTCAGGGGGGCGCAGTTACCCTTTTATGAAAATCGTCAGTAAAGCGAAACAACTAAAACAAAACACTGATCATTTTTAGCCTGCAAATAAAGTAACACCTCAGTGTGGAAAAAGTATGACGTTGATATACCTCTTCGGGTGAAAAAGTGAATAAATTAATAACAATTAAACCAAAGCTCTTCAAGTTAGGAGGTTGAATGAGGCAGATGTGTGACTGTGTCAACTGATTTAAATGAATTAATTTCAGTTTTGACGTGTTATCATTTATTGTTATGTGATGTCTGCTGCGTTTGAAACAACTAGCCTATATTGTCTGATAAAAGTCAAACCTGCTTTGAATATATGGAAATAATTGTGGGAGCCAAGTGGCTTTGACTGCTCTCACAGAGGTTGTGTTGATGTGGTCAGCAGACTATGCTGGGCTGCAAGCTGTTTGTCTACACGACGTCTAATCCCAGTTTAGAAGTAACACTGTCAATATTCTATCAAACATTTGAATTTGTTATAAAAAATAACTCTTTAAGTCACGCAAGCAAGTATGTTTGTACATATTGTCACCTATTGACACATCTACGTTGTCTTCCAGGCCCAGTGGAAACATATTTCCAGCCAGCCAGTGGTAATTGGGGGGCCAGTGTTATGTAACACCAAGCATCGACTGTTAAGTATGAACTCCTGCTGTCTGCAGAGTTGAACCCATGTCAGGAGCAGCCAGTGTCCAGCATGGGTGCAACTGTTCCAGGAGAGACCTTTCCATGCCTTGTCAAATACTGTTTAGCACTAACTCTGGCACATAATCATTATTCTCTGCAGCACACATCAATGGAAGAGTAAATCAGGTTGGTATTGAGCTCTGAGCATGTGTAGCTATGGTAAATGCCTGTGTCACACAGTTCGGCTGAACCTGTATTTTCAGGAAGTAAACTATCAAAATAAATATTTGTAATAAAGACATCCATCTGATAATAATAACAAATTGAATAAGCTGTATTTTCATTAGTATACACTACATCTCACTGTTGATAAAGGTGTTGTACTTAGCAAAGAGCAATAAATACTGCATGTGTTGTTGCACTTACAAAGAATGCATTTGAAAACCTATTAGAGGAAAGACTGTGGAATATGTTTCCCCCGGGATGTGCTGCTATAGCATTCTAATGGCTATATCCATTGTGGTTTGTACAGGCCATTATTGATCAAAGAGCCATGCCCAATAACACAAGCAGCTCACTTGACAATGAACACTTTTATTTCTTTTTCCATGTGTGTTGCAAAAAAAATGACCTGAAATTCAATTGCATGGACATCCCCTGTAATCGACTCTCACAAGTTCATGATATCAATTTGCTGGTCAAGAGTTTCTTTGCCTCGGATTATTGTAACTACTGCTGTTATGACTTGTAAAATAGAAAGGCTGGAAGAATTTGTCTTCTTGACATGCTGCAAACTGGGGTTTTAATCTTTTTTTTTTTTTGAGTGTTGTCATGAGTTATTAAGGGAGTGGTTTACTCAAAAGATTGTGTGTGAGATTTAGTGGTTGAGATAAAAAGAGAATATGTGTGTGTGCGTAAGTCAGTCTGTGTGCTTGTCTATCAGCACATTGGGATGGTAGGAGTGGTACTCACCACTACCTAATCTAATGGGATTTTCCTCCCATCTATCTACAGCAAATAAAATTACAGAGCTGTTATGGGCAGCATTCTCAGATTTCTCTCTAAATTGTTTTCCAGCCTGCCTCTTCATGCATGCCAGTGGCGAGATCCCCAGCCAAATAGACATCCTTTCACATCGAACAGGTCCATGTGTAACTGCCCAGCTTGTGAGACTCTTGGGGTGGGGACGCCAGACCAACTTCCGACCTTCCACCCTAATGCAGTTTAACAAAGGAGCTTGATGTCATGTTGCCAGGCAACCAGAAAGGAGAATCTGCAGAATCACTCTTGATTAACTGGTCATTAAAAAGGCAAACTGTACCCACGTGTTGCAGTCTGTGGAGCTGGAGAAAGAAATCATAAAAAAAAGATAATACAGAAAGAGACCTCACAAAATCAGAACTTTTCACAATAAATACCAGTTTGTTTTTGCAATGAGTTCCTGGGGATTATTGGTAAACATTTATTGAGAGACAGTCCCTTTGGTTTTAATTCTTGAAAGATAAACAGCTAAAATGCTCTGCTGGCAACAAACATACAAGATGTGAACCATAAAGCAGTGTGAGTGGTAGTGGTGCAAAGTGATAATCACATCATTATAATGCAGAAGAAAAGCAGGAATAATCTGTACTGACAACAGCCTCTTGTTTACTGCCCCCTAGATTCAGAAGCCATAGGTAAAAGTGATGTAGGTTTCTAATGAATATTTCTCCTGTTGTTAATAATTAATAAAATGTTCCAACCACTTAAGATGTGGACAGTTTCCGGCAGGAGCCACAAAGCATGCTCAGAAACCAGATTCTTGCCTCTTGCAAAAACACACCACAGACTGAGCACAAAGAACCTGAACAAGATCACTGTTCTGGTGCTCCTTTCAGTCGAATATTTTGAGAAAATTTCAAAATTATTGCGTACTTTCTTATCAGTCAAGATTATCTGCTGTAAGTCCATCATTCATAAGTGCTCTGAGTACCCCGTGAGATTTAGGAGATCAATAGAAGTTGAAGCATTTACAGTTTGAGTGCGCACTAAATGGACACTGATAACTTCAATGTTTTACAGGTTCTGAAATGACACTAATGCTGCCTGCGGTTTAGGAGCTATAAGTGATATACCAGTCATCCAGATTATAACTGTTAAAGCTGATGCTAAATGACTCTGAATGTGGTTAGCACTTTAGATCCATTTTTTTCTCAATCAACTCCCTGCAATCAGCTGAATGCTATAATGACGATCTGATGATTACTCACTAGTTTCATTGGAATTTGATCATTAATCTCAGATTGCCGGATGTCTCTAGCATTTATGCCCCAAACACAAAAACACACGATTGAAAAAAATGGGAATCAGCACCCAGAAGTACAGATAAAACACACAATAAATATCCTAAACTAAAAGCATGCTTTAAAATTCTGTCATAAAATATGTAACATATGTGATCTCTGACCTTTATTAAGATTTCAAAGCTCTGAAGTTTAACAGCAGCAAAAACAAAATCCTCAATTCAAATATGTAGCCCCCAGAAATAAAAATGTAAACCATAACTAAAATATGCCAAAGTATCTTGTGCTGAACAATGTTGTAGACCTAATATTATTCCCATCATTCTAAGAGGAATGTCAGAATCTGCTCAGTGGTGTGCCATTTCTATTGCTCTACCTATACTGGTGATAAACATCATATTACAGCTGCAAATCCAGACTTCCTGTGCCCCTTGTCTCAATCAAGGATCTACAAATTACTACCAGATAGTAAGGAATGTTTGGGTAGCTGAGCCTCTGCAGGTCTTATAGTCACAGACAGGCTCTGTTTCAGCATTTTAGCCCCACCTATTCCCATTCCATCTCCATTCCCATCACACAGAAACACGTAAAGAGCCCGGACAGAGGTTCGTATCATGGCCTTGTTGACATTGCATTCATCAATGGTCAACATGCCAAGAGCAAGATAACCAGTGACAGACTCCACTGACTCCAAAGTAAGTGGAGAGCTGAGTAAACTGTGCATGAAGGGCAATCAGAACTGCATCGTAGAGCTCAAGAGGAAACAGTCAGCTTTGGTAAAGCAGTCTTGGAAAGTTTGACACCAAAATCAGGTGCTAAGACTTGATGTAAACGTCAGCAGCAAGACAGTCAGCAGTGACAGGTGAGCATGAACTAGTAACAGTGGGACAACTATTGTCAAGATCAGTCATCGACAGGATGTAACACTGCTGCAAGGATCCTGGCTGCCATTCAGCACTAACAACTGTTAATGAACCAAAGGACAAGCTGGCATGACCCCATTCCATTTTCAGGACTTGGATTTTAAACCTATGCTCATCAAGATAGGCTTCAGAGGACTTGTGATTTGTTCTAGAGGTCAAGGACAGTGTCTGTAGGATGACAGACTGAGCTGGTAGTTCCCACCAGAGGAAAAGTGGACCAGAGGCTAGACTGTGTGTGTGGTAGTCCCAACTGGAGGTTTTTCCTTGACACTGATTCTGTGTGTAATCTTCATTTGTTTAGATCTAAAGGACTTCCTGAGTATGTCCTTCAGTTTGGTGGCCCCAAAATTGTACCTCTTCTTCTTGAAGATAATATTCAGTTGGCTTCATCAAGCTATTAAATCCAGCAGGCACCTGCACTGTGTACAGCAGAGTGCGAAACTGTTGGGGTAAGGGTAAGGCTACTCAAGGCACTTCTATGCTGCTCTTCACATTGACTCAAGTTAGAACACAGATGGAAAAGGTGCTTTAAACCATTAGTCACTTTGATTCCATTCACACACCTGTGACTATATCACAACAAGTAATTTGGGAGTTCACCTGCAAATCTGAGTCCATGTTTTTTTCTGTAATTGTGGATTGGAGATCTATGCACCAAACTCCACCTATAGTTACAAACTTTGCGTGACCAAAGAAAAAAGATTGTATATACAAGCAGCTGACAATAGTTCCCTCCATTCAACCACTCAAGGCACTTCTATGCTGTTAGAACACAGATGGAAAAGGTGCTTTAAACCATTAGTCACTTTGATTCCATTCACACACCTGTGACTATATCACAAGTAATTTGGGAGTTCAGTGTCTTGCACAAGGATACCTAAGAATGCACCACCAACCTTCCCTATCAAAAGACAACACTCTTTCCTTTGCTTCACTTTGAAGTCTGTAGGGCACAAACAACTGGTAGAAGACCCAGGCTTAGATCCATTGCTTGCCAGAGAAATTGCATAGCCCATCTGGCCTTGGAGAACAACAGGAAATGTTAAGAATTGATGAATTAATTGCATTAAATTGCCCAGTACAACAAGTGCAACTTACGTGCCAAAGTACAAACAAGAACTGATAGCCCTGAACTACGTGGACAACACATCTGTTCATCCAAGTTCCTTTTTAAGCAAAGCCAAATATTAATGTTAAATATTTCATAACAAATCAACAGAGGATGTCTAGAGCTAAAGAGAGAGGCACAAAGTAGCTCAGCATTTAAAGTTGATGATTGAGGGAGGGATTTTACTGAAAATAGACCAGAAAAAAGCCAAACAGATCATATGAAGCAAACATTCACTTCTAACCATAGCCAAGTCAAGAGGAAATAAAAGTATGTCTTTTATATCACGATAAAGAATAAATGAAAGCTTTAGTCATACTTGAGGTACATGTAATCTTTATTCTTTTGGCGTTTCAGTGAAATGGGTTATAGCAGTGTCTTGCATGCAGTTTATTGTACACTACAAGCATTATGCATATGAATAATGGCAAATGTAAAATTCTTTGTAATCAAAACATTCTCTCATTATGCACAATGAATAGTGTAGGTACTGAACATTTGAGATCATGCAAAATATCCTTATATGAATGTAATTACACCTTATGAATCAACGGTGAAGTTGTAACTTAGTTGAGGATGGATGTTGTTTGGGAAGGACAGACAACAGTAGCATGATTGCTACTTTAAAATGGTAACAGATGTAGGACATGGCAAAGGACCCATGAGATGAAGGATGCTATTTCCTAACATGAGACAACAGTCCAGAAGTTTTTCAGCTAGCTTTCTCTCACCTTAGATATTTGTCGTGATACAGACTTGGAGTTAAATGTAAAGAAAAAACAGACGTCCTTCTAAGCACACAATACATAAAAGACAGAGTACCCCTCTTTCCAGTTACTAATAGAAATATGGTTGATTAAGTAAAGCTTGAGCATTGTCATATGACATCAAACGTAATCTCATGAGAAGATTGTTACCATCAATATGACAATTTCCATGGACTTTTAAAACCTTAAAGGCTGCAGTCACATATGTAATATCCCTGTCTCCCTGAATACAGAAGAACATTCAGTTTATATATTGCATGTCATAAATAACAGTATTTTTATAATTTCATAATCATCTCAAAATACTCTTTGGGTTCTTCATGGAAAACAGAAATCAGACAGAAAAGGACACACTCAGAGGACACTTCTCAGGATTTAGACGGGGGATAGACAACATCATCAATTTTTCCTCCTTCAGCAAACTGTTATGTCCAGTGGATATGGGAGGTAATTGTCAGTAGAAGTGTGCAAATAATATGAACTTTCCTCTTAGGTTGCCATCTTTAAAACACAAACCTTTAACTGAGCACGTCTGTGGTTTAAGTTCTACATAGTAAGCCATATTGTAAATGGCACATGTATAGCACACCACAAGCTGAGGTGAAGTATGTGAATTATTTGATGGCTTAATAAAAATTCATGTGCAAAATATGACACCAGTTACTGCTCGTTGATAGTCGAACATGAGCAAAACACTTGGCTGCATTCTTTGGACTGTAGGCTAAGGTAATGTTTCTATCATGTCTTTGAAACAATCATGTCATGACTGCATTTTGTGTGTTAAATTGACACGGAGAGGGCCTAAGGAAAATAGTACACTCTAAACATGCCTAACCATGAGGAAACATTCATGCATGTCTACACATCTAGCTAACCTCAGCAATTTGATTTTTCTCTGCTGTATTCACACAATTAGCTTTAAAGTACTGCTGCTTATGAGGACTACCCCTGAAGGAAAATAAATCATCTGAAGAGTAAAAAAAATGTATAAAAAGTCAATCAACCAAAGAATAAACTCTTAAAGTAATAACATAGAAACGCTTTTCTTCCTGAAAGCAAAGACGTACAACAGTCAGTGATATAGCAAAAATTCAAGACACTGGTTAGCAGACTAGCTGCAGTTCATCGTATTGACATGGCAGCAATCTTCCTCTGATGTCACAATCAAGGTGAGAAGCTTAAACACTCTTATACTGTCTAAGCTTTATAATATTTGTGATTACTGACTAATCAACAACCTGATACAGTTTGGAAAGTGAAATCTTGATTCTTATCTACAGTTGCATTTAACCGTTCCCTAGCTAACCTTACAGTTGATGCAATAGATGCCTTCATTGTATTACGTAGCACCATGAAATGGTTGCGTTAGCATTCAGTGAACACCTAGCCAGAAGTAGTATTAGCTAACAGGAGCTACTCGTTGATAGTCGTGCAAGTTGTATAAATTAAAAACCTCGCCTCCTCTCAGAATCTCACTGTTTGACGTTTTCATTTGCCAATCGATTAGGAAGTGTTGAAACAATAATGATGGTTAAACTCCCAACACATACCCTTCAAACGACCTAAAATACAGCAGTAAGACAGCTTCAGGGCATTTAAACTCCCGCTTGTGCTTCACATCAGAAAAAAATGTCTGCCATGTGTATGGTCAATAGAAGTCATAGCATTGACTAATGCATCTTTAAGAACACTTACCCATCCAAATAATCGGCCTACAAAGCATCCTTGCTCCTGAATAAAGCCAAAATTCTTCTTTCTGTTTTAGGCATGAACCCTCAGAGTCTGAAAGAAGCAGGGTCAGTTTGGCATAGATATCCCTACTGAAGACAGGAGTCCAATAGATTTCTTTGTCACTTTCATAGGTTGTAAACATTTTTTCAATAATAAACATGTCCTTAATGTGTCCTCAGCATTACCTTACATATCTTGCTCCCTGACATCTTTGTCCATATCCTCTTTTTCACTTTTGTCTTTCTCATATTTGTTGTTTCCATTCGTTGTCACATTGTTACATGCATGCTGAGGGGCAGTCGGAGGCGTCAGTTCACCTCTATCAATGCTAGAATTTTTTTTGAGGTTGTCACAGACACGATCTTCATTGTCAATGATTGTTTCATCCTTTTTAAGGTTATTACTGGATGTGTCAGGGGGCATAATGGCAGTAGTTTTGCTGGCTGCATACTGTCTGTATGCTCTCTGGATGACAGTAGCTGACATGTCCTCCTGCTTGCGTCGGAGGGTGGTGGTGATGGGTTCGTACGACACTTTGGAAGGGTTAGAGGCCATGAAGCGCTCCTCCATCTGTGCTCGTAGGATGTCCATCTCCCCACCCTCGCCCAGAACTCGCTTTGTGAATGCAAACAGAATGTCTAGGCAGTGGATGCGTTCACCGCTCACCATGGGTAGATCCATCGAGATCAGTTCCAGATGATTAGGCATGGCTATGCGCAGCGGTGGCTCCAGAGCATCTGCGAACTCTGCCAACTTCTTGTATTCTATGAACTGCGTGGCATGAGGATCAAACCTTTCCCAGACCTCATAAAACATTTCAAAATCATCCTCACTTAGGGGGTCCGCACTCTCCTCAGTTGCCACACCAAAGTTTTCCAGGATGACTGCAATGTACATGTTCACCACAATGAGGAAACAGATGATAATGTAGCTCACAAAAAAGGCAATTCCCACAGGTGGGTTTCCACAGTCTCCTACGACAGAACTGCCAGGGTGTTCCGTGGAATTGTTACAATCATCATTTTTGTTAAGAATTGGATCCAGAAGACCGTCCCACCCTGCTGAGGTGGTGATCTGGAACAAACAGATCATGCTGTTGCCAAAAGTCTCAAAGTTGAATAGATCGTCAATGCCTTTTTCCCTCTTGACATAAGCAAAGTTTGACATGCCGAAAATGGCATAGATAAACATCACAAGGAAGAGCAAGAGGCCAATGTTGAACAAGGCAGGAAGTGACATCATCAAGGCAAACAGTAGTGTGCGGATGCCTTTGGCACTTTTAATAAGGCGGAGGATACGGCCGATCCGAGCCAGTCGGATGACTCTGAACAAGGTAGGTGAGACGAAGTAATCCTCTATTATGTCTGAGAGAAATGTGCCTAAGGACAGAAAGCAAACATGTTAAAAACTACACCTCACACACATATACTGACTGAATGGTTGATAAACTGTATATTTGAGTGTAACAGTGAAACAAAGCAAGTCATACCAAGGATTGACAGGATGACCACAATGAAGTCAAATATATTCCAACCATTTGTGAAAAAGTAATGGCGAAGTGAGATCATCTTCAGCAAACATTCTCCGGTGAAGATGACGATGAATATTATGTTAATCACCCTGAGAACAGCTTTCTTTTGGTCTGACTGATCAGCAGTTTCCACCATCATGGCCACCATATTTAACACTATTAGGACCATAATGACTATATCAAATGCCTGTTTTGTAGTTATGTCAAAGATGAATCCTTGAATTTTGTTCTGAAATAGACACAAAAATTAACATTAGGTGCTGTAATAAAAAGACCACATCTGTAATGCAGACAAAGAAACAACACTGTGTTTAAAATCACTCACTGATGGTCTAGGAATAGGTTTTTGTGGTTTTTTGGACCCCAGTTTTTTCATGGCGTTGTAGTATTTCTTCTGCTCTTCAGTCATGAAGATATCTTGACCTCCTAAGTAAAGAGGGAAGGCAAGACAAGTTAAATCACAGGAAAGTGATGAGACTAAACCTCAAAATTACAAAGGGCTTTATCTAAATCAGGGGTCGGCAACCTTAAACACTCAAAGAGCCACTTGGACCAGTTTCCCACAGAAAAGAAAACACAGGGAGCCACAAAACCTCTTTGACATCTAAAATGAAGATAACATTGCATATATCTTTTTTTTTTTTCCTTTATACAAAGTATATAAAAAACTGTAGCGAGTTGCATTTATGAAATAAATGAACTATTTCGGCGAGTGTCTGTCTTCTTCTGTAGTTAAACCGCAAGATATCAAAATCTACCCGGATACAGCAATGCTGCTTTTTGATTGGCTGTTCAGTAGATATACTTTATTTGATTGGCTTGTGCGTGGCACGCAGCTTCTGAACTCTCGGAGGAACTCAGTTGATTTCCCCCAGTTCCATAGTTGAAGAAGTGCAACTTGGTGGACATCACCGTGTTCATTTAAATGCGTGAGAAATACAATGTGTGGTGTGTGAACGAGTGGGAATGCGTGTGTCATACGCTGAATGCGTGAGACTTGAGAGCCCTGTGCTCACGCATCATCGATGCACTCCCGAGCCATGCAAAACGGTCTTTGCAAATGTTGCACTGAACGCCTTCCTTTTCAGTCTTGGTGAAGTTTTCCCACACCACTGGTGTTTTAGGTCGGGATTTGGGTTGGGTTGTGTCCATGTTTTTCTCAGCCGCTGCCTCGGCCATGGCTGTTTCTTTTCTGTGCGTCCTGCTGATGTTTACACGCCGGTGTCCATGGACATATATAAAGACCCGACGAATCGATTACAGAATTTGTTGGCAACGGATTTTTTCGTCACGACGAATCTGCTTAATCGATTCGTTGTTGCAGCCTTAATAGTTTATTTAATGTTACAAGAGCATTATAATCTTTGAATTTAGAATTACAAAAAAAAAATAATAATAATAAAATAAAATAAAATGCAATTAAGTATTTATTATTTATTTTCCAAATCCACTGGGAGCCACAGCTTAGGGAGGAAAGAGCGGCATGCGGCTCCAGAGCCGCGGGTTGCCGACCCCTGATCTAAATGATCTTAAATGCATTGTCTAAAGTGTTTGGCACAGACTGCGTGTTGGACTGAATTTGCTAGTGAGGTTAGACTCTGCCTCTTCATCATTCAAATATGTCTTATAGGCATAATGTTATCAAAAAAAATTCAAAAAGTCTTCTCTCATCCCTCTTGACAGCCAGGTTGGCCTGCAGGCAGGGATGTTGCAGCTGATTTTAGACTTTCTACTCAAACAGACCGGGCATGAGCCGGTTAATTTAACTTCTGTACATCTGTTATGCTCCTGAATACTCAGAAAACACATACACTGAGTCATGTACACCCAAATAATCTCAGATTGAATAAAGACTAATGCCCAATGTGCCTAACACTGATTCAAGCTCAACTGATTGTTCAAAGTGTGGTGAGGTTACTGGGTGTAAAAATTTCACAGGGCCCTTATAAAAAGCATTTATACATTAGCCCAACTTCAAAACTCTGAAAGGAAAATATAAAAACTTTGATTAAACAACAGATTTGGTACTTATCTTTCTCTTTTGTTGATTGAAATTGTCTATGATGACACCAATGAAGAGGTTGAGTGTGAAGAAGGCTCCAAATATGATGAAAACAACAAAATACCAGTACATTTTCAGATTGATCTCATACTCAGGCTGTTCTCCCTGTAATAAAGACAGAAAACACAGAAATCAATATGTTACGGTTGTAATTGTTCATGATGTCAGATAGAGAGGAGAAAAGAAGTTCAAATAATTGATATTATTATAGTTTATATTGTGTCCGATCAAAACAGAACATTTTTTTTAAGTTCTGAAATTTCCAATCTTCCAGGCATAAAGAGTGAGAGGAGCAGGAGGTGCAGATGTGTGTTAGCAAAGTAGAGGGACATAGTGAGCATGAGGAGAGAGGCTGTGGCGACAATATGAGCAACATATGATGGGCTAGCAGTAAATGACATAGGTTTGTAACATATAGATATAAGTTGGGGGGATCAGATACCTCACTATTTAATGACAGCGTAAAAAAATACTCCAATATCAATAACAGCCTCACATTTAAACGCAACAGTATTATCATCAAAAATAAATAAGTAAAAAAATGTGCCATAATCAAGTAGCCCAAAAATAGATACTAAAAAGTGACAACCAGGATGAGTAGATCATGAATATTTGATCACCTTGCTTTGAGAGTCCACAGCAGCATACATGATGTCCATCCAACCCTTGAATGTGGCCTGTACACAAATTTAAGTAAAATCAAGATACCAATTAATCTTTCCAACCTTGCCTCCATTTTTTACCAAAACGTGATACACATTGTACAGCATATTTTTCAGTCACTTACCACTTGAAGCAGTGCAAGGTAGCCAAAGCCAACATTGTCAAAGTTGACTTTGACGTTCTTCCAGCGACTATCGGGCTGCCTACGACAGTCTGACTCATTTTTCACAATTGATGTGGGGAAAAGTTCATCTGTAGTTGTATTGACACAACGGTAGAACTTCCCAGCAAATAGATTGACTCCCATGATGCTGAAGATGAGCCAGAAGATGAGACAAACCAGCAGCACATTGAAAATGGAAGGAATGGCTCCCAGCAGGGCGTTGACGACCACCTACACACCAACACATCAAAAACATGACCCATCTTTACAACAGGAAGAGAACACTGACCGTAGAAACCACGGAAAACACTGTACACTGTGGCGATGGTAAGAACAGGAAAACACAAGAGTAAATGTTTAAGAGCCATAAACTCCACACAGCTATGACTAACACCAGAGCTCAAACACATATATAATTGCATGGGTAAGGAAAAGAATTGGGAAAAGAGGCAAGGAAAAAGTGAAATTTGTCTAAGAGTATGCTTTAAAAAAAAGTCATTGAAACAGAACACCTTGTAGAGGCGGGATGACACCACAAATTTTGCTTACTGTAAACAGAAACATAAATAAAACATGAAGAGATCATGTTAAAGAACCCAGAAAACAATATCAAACACAGTGAAATTGAACAGGAAACTACTGCGGTACTAAAAATACACATGCAAATGAGGGAACACACACTGGCTACCACGTGAGGAAAGACATCATCTTCACAGTGCAGTAAATCTAGACCACCACAACATGAAAGTGACTAATCAATACATGCTACATTGATTTTTAGCAGCCGGCAATGCTCCCCTCGCAGTTATGTAAGCCATCAAACCGTGTTTTAACCATGCCCACATTGCACAAGGAAAACACTATATATAAGAAACGTGATTCTATTTATGTAAAGAAAAACACAGTAGAAAAGTTTGAAAATATGGAAAAAAGCTCTTGCACTTTCATGTTTCAAATGAAAGGGGCAGTTTAGTCAGTGAATTATGAATCTGGACCTGGGGTTTAATTGTCTTAGTCAAGCATAAAGACAAGAAAATGACGATGCTGATTCATGTCAAAGTACTCAATTTATAGAAGTTGTGCAACATGATTGACAGCTCTGTTAGGAATGTGGCTCCTGGGTCTATCCATGCACCATATTAGCAGATCAGGGTAGGACGACTAAATCTAAATGTAAAACCCTTAGAAGAGTTAGTGAATTTTCCAAAGCTTTGAGCATCTGTTACAGCAGGCTGTGCCAACCTGAGACATCTTTAGTCAGTGCTCGTGATGCTGGCTCCAAGACTGTCACTGGGGTAATACCTCAGCACACACTTCAAGGAGTATACTGGCTTTACTTTTGTAAAACCTCTGGCGACTAGATAAATATTATAACAGGCAGATTCTCTGCAGGGAAAAGTACCCTAAAATCTGAAATAATAGTTGCACCAGATGCAGATCCGGTCTGTCTTGAGGGGTCTTCTTGTGCAAGGAAGGTTTAAACAGTCTTTCTATCATCCCAAGTAAGCAATATGCAGTTTCTGTGTAACTGTGTAGCTCTGTCTGGGATCATTTGTATTTGCCATTTCAATTCTTATAGTACTGTTTTCTTGAAATGCATAAATATGGCCTGATTGGGGAGTTAATCTGTTGGAGCACCACTAGCACTTGATTTTTGAATGTGTCTGTGTTTTTCTGCAGATAAAAGAGAAAGCCCAAAAGAAAGTTCATACGAGGGTTAGAGCTTTGGCATGTGCAGACTGCAGAGCTTGAGCTGGAATCTACCTGGGGTGGAGCAAGCCAAAGAGGAGGCACTAGGAAGCAGGTCCTCATGTATCCTAGTCCTCTGTACAATCAGTGTAAAGTTGACTATCAGAAGATGCACCGATTTTAAACATGTGTGCATGGCAAGCTAAGTGGAAGTGTGATGTGGACCAGACTTAGCTAGTTCATCTTTCTATTTTAATGATGTGACCTTTAAATAGCAGGAAATTACTGTGCCATTGACTTTAGACCAGGTCTTTGTTAATCTATGGCACATTCATTCTAGCAATGCTCCACCAAATGCTAACACACCCAGGGCTGCAAGTACAGCTGATTTCTACACAGTGTAGGTGCTGGAAGTAAAAAAATGAACACTGGGTCACTCAGACAGAAAAACTCACTCTCTTGCCTCAGCACTTTGCTTTGTGGGATTTAACATGTGAGACAAGGCCAGTTGTTTCTGTACACTTTTTAGGGGTTAAGTAGTGAAACTTTCTTTACCTTAAAGACAGATCTGTTTTTTACCCTGTTACACTAGCAATGAACAGATTTGAAGAGTGAACAGTCTTTTATCAAACACTTGGAAAGTGCATGAGGATTTTCCCTAAAATGTGACTCTATGTTATTAATAATAAGGATAATAAATTAAAAGAGACTCGTCATTAAAAATGCAAAGCCCAAAGTAACAGCTGGAGAAGAGTATTGGGGAAGAGAAGGAATGCTTCATGTACATGCAACAATTTCTGGGGTATCAACTCAACAGTCTACAAGCTTTTTTGACAGCAGCATGGCTGTTCCCTTCACATTATGGTAAACAGTGTAAGACAGCACTCAGTGATTGAGATTCTTACCCTCATGCCTTCGAACCGTGATAGAGCTCTAAGGGGTCTCAGAGCTCGCAGGGTTCTCAGAGACTTGATGGGACCAAGATCAGAATAGTTCATGGAGTTCGCCACCAAACTGACGAGTGAGACCTAAATCACAATCAAACATAGATAGATAGGGGCGTGAGCGAGGAAGCATAATACCCCGAGAAACTATTTTGATCAGTCCTTAAATTTACAACACAACCCCATGAAGTTTGGATGCTGCATAAAGTGTTGAAAAGAACACAAACTGATGGGTTGAAAAACATTTGAAGTTCAGTATTAAATAATACAGAATTAATACTGCAAACAGTATTAAAATAGTGCAAAGACAACATATCAGATGGTGAAACTGGAAAATTTTACTGTTTTATGAAAAAGATGCGGTCATATCCATGCGTGTTGTGTGAACTTTGAAGTGGCTGAAATCCTACATGAGGCACAAATATAACAACATTTTACCAAAGCTCAAGAAAGTTGTTTTTAAAGGGATATTACGGTGTAAGGTCAAACACACTGTAATAGTGAGTTAGACGCCCCCCCCCCCCCCCACTTTAGCAATGACTGCACAATAGCAATACACCGCGGTCCACATCTCCAGACGCAAACCTCAACAAAAAGCCACTCTATAGTCACAAATAATGCTCAGAACAGCATGTAACTTCACCAACAGTACATATACGGTCCCAGCCATAATACTATAATCATCATATCAATCATTTTGCAATGCAGACGCAGTAGTTCTTCTGCATTAGTGTCTCGGTCTGATTGTATTTCCATGAAGAAATGATCATAAATTTTCTGCTGCACTCTGTGATTGCAGTAATTGCACATGGAGACAAAGACTGCTGTGTATTGCTATTTTGCAGTCTTTGCTAAAGTTGGTGTAACTAGAGAAGCAAGCGGTCGGCAACATTCATCTCTCAAGGGGGTGTTACGGTGTGTTTGATGATGACTTAAACTTACGCTGATATTATCCCTTTAAGGTATAAGATAGTTAACATTCCCTCGTCTCAACTTTTTGAAATATGTTGCTTGCATCAACTTTAAAGGAGCATTTATTTCCAAAAAAAGTTAAACATATATGTTGTATTTGGACTATATACATACAGGGTTGAAATGATTTGCAAACTATTAATTTTCTATTTTTTGATCAATATTTTGCACAGTGTACCAACTTTTTTGGAATCAGGTTCATAAAAATGAAGTTTAAAAACTGTTTCAAAATATAAGTGCACATGAATTTATGTGTAGGTTAAGCGATTTTACTTACATCAACTATAAGGAAGTCCAGCCAGCACCAGGCATTTGTGAAATACTTGGCAAATCCATACGCCACCCACTTCAGTAACATCTCCAGGATGAAGATGTAGGTGAAGATTTTGTCTGCAAACTCTAACACTACTTTGATGGTCTTCCGTCTTTCAATGTAGACATCTTCAAATGCCTGGATGTTGAGTAGATGAAAAATACAAATGCTCAATAGAGAATGTTGAATACAGTTTGCAAATATATGAGTGTAGTAGAGTCAAATAGGAGACATTTTTTTCATCCCACTCACTTACCAGCGCTCCACTGCTGAGCAATATCATGAAGATGATGAAGCTCTCAAACCAGTTGTGCTCCACTATCCGGAAACAGGTCTTTCTTAGAGTCCACCACATCTTCCACCGACCCACTTCCACATTTACTTGGCAGCACTTGTACTTTTGTATACAGCCTAAGCAGAGACAGGGGAATGAGGGAGTTTTATAAGGGCGTATCTGATCAACACCAAGATTATCTAAGGTGGTAGAAGTTTTACAGGTACCTTCAGGAAAGCAAGAATCAGGCTCCATTGCTTCTTCCATTTCAGAGTCTACTGACTCTCCTTCTCCATTTGCCATACCATCTACCGTGCTGCCCTCAGAGGAGCTAAACTGGCCATCATCTTCTACTTGCTGCAGAAGGAGCAGAGCAAAACCAGTCTGCAGTGAGCAAATATTATAGAACCATAGCAAATTTAAAGGACAGACATGTCTAACACATCAATCATCACACTTTCATGCTTTTTCATACACAAAAAGTCAAACACTTAGCGACAATTGGAAACTAGCAGTAAAACCAAAGCCAATCAAAAACAAGAAGGTCTCAGACCAACCCTGCTGAAGTCTGGACATTTCCCTGATCAGAGCAGAGGTCTGCTGCTTTGACTGAAGGCTTTTAATGGGAATGGCCTCACAAGAAGCACTACTTTAGTCTGATTCATATTGGCTTAATCAATAATCACTTTTTGCTGTGATTAAATTAAGCAAATGTCATCTGCGTGTCCTGTTCCTGCAGCCTAAATGGCACACCAAACATTAGGACACTCTCATTAGACGGACAATAATGACAGAGCCAGGGTAATAGGAGGTATGAAAGGAGTTGAAGTTATGGTTCTGCTTTTTTCTGATCCTCAAACCAGGTACTGATACTAATTAGCCACTATCCTTCTGTGTTTGTATCTGTTATTAAAGTATTCTTGAACAGGAGTGCAAAGACGAGAGAATACTATGATAGTCCAGCAAGGATGACCCATCCTTTACGTTGACTGTTTGCAAGAGACAAACAAAATACGCTCAGCACTTGTTTCATGCAGTCCTTTCAAATACAAAGCCAAATGAAGAGGGCAGAAGCTGCAAAAGATTTGAGGCCTGACAGAGATGTACAGTATCAACATGGTCTCTACTTCAGCCTGTTGTTACACAGCTTTCTAGGGTGTGTCTCCTAATAGCTGGAAGATGAGAACAGACTGAATGTCTTCCTGGAGAATACAGGAGCACTCGCTGCCCTGGGACCAGCTAATGCAGTGCAGGGAATGAAGTAAGCATGTTACTGAGAAAACACTGGGAGCACTACAGTCAGTGGGTGGTTGGATTGTTCTCCTAGTTAGGAAATACACTGATAGAGAGCATTGTTTTATTGTTTTTTCAAGGGTATATAATCAACTCAGGATTTTGTTGAAAATCACACAAGGATTTATTAAATCATATAATAAATAAACCACATTATCTCATAGGGGAAAAAGTAATGTGATATTGCTTAATGTTCTTAGAACATATTAAGAGATTGGATTATTAAATCACTTGCAGAATTAAAACCACTGCAAAGCCACTAAAGACCCAAAAGTAAAATCTGTTATACTGCGTACTGTTATACACAATATATCAACTTGTGTGAAGGAGAAAATTATTTTTTCCCAAAAGATCATTAAAATGCACACATAAGAAACTTGTTCCAACAACAACAATAACTTGTGTAGAAACAGGTTATTATGTATGTTCTCACACAGTATAAGTTTTCCTATTTTGGATCTTTTGGGCCCTCCAAAATAAAATATCGAGGTTGGTGATCAAAAATAACTGTTATAAGGTTTTTTTTAAGCCGTCTTAACTTTAAGTATGACAAATTGCAAACCTGCTTATAGAATTCAGTCTTAGGAAATCTATTCAAAACTTACAGTAAATAAAAAAAAATTGCAGCATAAATATAAAAAGTAAATTATCTACCCAAAAGTGTGAACTTTTTAAAAAAATCAGTGTTTCTTTTCCACTGTAAGCTCTTCTTCATCCAGAAGCATCCGGGTCCCTATGTGGGGAGGATTTAGCTTTGAAGCACTCAGACTTAAATGGTACATAATGTAATCTACAGGCTGGTATTTTCCTGTCTATATAGCCCCTCTATGTTCAGAAGGGTCATGACGTACAGGATCTTTAGGGGGTAACGAGACATCACATGCTCATTTCTTATTGCTGTGGATTGGATGGACAGAGTGCTTCAACAGATCATATCACTTTCAAACAACAACAGACATGACCACCACAAACCACAGCTGATGCTTGAATCCCTAAATCATACATGCTAGACTGTTTCCGATTTAGTGAACTTAAGGAGCGTCCTTACCACACGGCATACTATTGCATCTGACGAAAGGCTGCTGAAGTCCTCAGTGTTCAGGTTTTCAAAGTCTGACTCGCCCAAGGCGATTGGAACCGTTACAGTCAGGCTGGGATTGTTGATGAAAGACATTATCGAGTCGTCACTCATGCTGTTCACTATGTACTTGTCTCCGTTTTTGTCTACCCCAGTAACATCCCCATTTCCACTCTTGGTAAATTCTTTGATGGTATGGTTGGGGACTCCGTTTGGCCCTGAAGATTTATGTAGCTCCTCCAGTGATTTGTCCTCACCCTTTCCTTTCTTCTTATCCCTGAGACAGAAACGGCTGTATTTACTTCGCACCACAGATTTGGCATAGGTGACACCTTTCTGTATCCGTTGAATGGCAATCTGCAAGTTGTTCTCGCCTTCATCTTCATCGGGTTGAAACTTGTCAGCACTAAATGAACTCAGCAGCAGAGCCAGGAACAGATTCAGCACCTGACAGATAAAGACACGACTTTGTTTATGATTGCATCAACAAAAAGATGTATTTATAAAGAGGCATAAGTGTTGAACAAGTTGCACTCATGATAATGTACCACAAGGTTTCCAATAACCATGACCATCATGTACACAATGATGCACATGGTAGTCCCGGACACCTCCATACAGTCCCACATGGTCTCTATCCACTCTCCACAAAGCACTCGGAACACAATGAGGAATGAATGGAAGAAGTCACTCATGTGCCAACGAGGTAGCGTGCAATCGACTGAGATTTTACACACACAGTCCTTGTAGTTCTTTCCAAAGAGCTGCATGCCCACCACAGCAAAGATGAACACGATGATGGCCAGCACCAGTGTCAAATTGCCCAGAGCTCCAACTGAATTACCGATAATTTTGATAAGAGTGTTAAGAGTGGGCCAGGATTTAGCCAGCTTGAAAACTCTCAGCTGTAAATAATAATAATGAAAAAAGAAGTTAATTCACATGATTCTTCAATTAAAACATGACTGAACATGTTGAAAATGACTCATGTATTGAGAATTACCAATCTGAATGATCTCAGGACAGACATGCCGCCTACGCTTTCAAGAAAAAGCTCCATAATGCTTAAACTGACGATAATTGCATCAAAAATATTCCATCCCTCCTGGAAATAATAGTACGGGTCCATAGCAATGATCTTAAGGACCATTTCTGCTGTGAAGATCCCTGTAAAAACCTGTATTTGGATGAGAAATAACAGATTTATTATTATTTTTTTTTATGTCCAAATATCCATATAATTTCTCTGTAGTCTACCGTCTTCTCACCTGATTGCCCACAGTCAGCATGTCGGAGAAATCTTGATCCATTGGTTGATGCTCCATAGCCATGAATAATGTGTTGAGAGCAATGCAGATAGTGATGGCTAGGTCGGCAAACGGATCCATCACTATCAGATGGATCACCTTCTTGATCTTCAGCCATGCTGGACAGCATTTCCAGATTAGGAAGGTGTGAGCAAAACTATACCAGCAGGGCGGACACTTCTGCCTTGACTCTTCAAGCTCTGATATTCATGAGACACGGCAAATAATCACAATTTATGTGAGATGTATGGTTTTACAATAAATGACTCATTAAATGAAGATCTGATATGTATGCCATGGTGCAAAATACCTACCCTCCACTGTGCTAGTGATAACACTAGCAACACTTTGAGTTCTCTGCCGGGTCTCTGGGCCCTTGAGGAAGTCCACACACTCTGGGTTTGTCCCTCCATCTGTGTCGGTAGTGTCAGCCTGAGGATAGAAAGCATTGTTACAGATGCAACTGTGCTGGGGTAAGTAAGTTACATATTAGCATGACTGTAGCAGCTACATATTTCTATTATTGTAAAAGAAAACATTCACATGAAAAAAAGCAGAGAGCCAAGTGTACGAGGAAGATGCATTTCAATTCTTCAAAGAATTCTGCTATTAAGTTCTACGTCATAATTGTAACCACTATGGCGCTCTGGTAGAAGTCAGCTTAATCTGTTTTTTAATCTTCTGACCTTACTGCATTTTTTTTTTCTTTTTTTTTGCAAAATATGACAACAGCTTTTGGATGAACTGACATAAATCCCAGATGGATATTATACTCATAGAATGGATTCAATACACCAAATTTGACTGACACTGACAAGGAAATCATGACTAAACTGTGATTTGCTGTGCATTTAAGTTTCTTTTCTCCATTGGCTAAAAGAACAGTAGACTTGAAGACAGTGGTTAGCATGTAAACAGACATGAAATATCACAAGCATGGTGCATTGTTTTAGCGTGGCAAGTGGTTGCTCAAAACTGATATGCATCAGCACCTAATTAGGAATTATCGGATCTTGGGACGTAGGGCTTACTAAAATGCTAATTTATGATGGTGAACATGGTAAACATTAATCTCTATCAATGCTGGCACAGGTGTTGATTGAGTTGGTGGCAGTACCTGACTGTAAACAAGCAGAAGTCACAGTTAGCATCTTGCAGTGCAGTATGGATTGGCAGTATGTTGATCCAAAAATGGGAATGCTTAAGTGGTATATGACTTCTTGACCAGACATTGCATGACCAGCACAAGCATTCAGACATGAACTTGTAAGGAGGACCCATGATTGAGGTGCTGGCTCTGCTAACGCGTGCCACACTCTGTAAATTAACCCTGTGATTGAGTGCTAAGCTGTTTTATGTAAACTGTGCTTAACTTGGACTATTTTAAGGACGCTATCTTACCTTTGTCACTATGCTAGCATGGCAACATTAGCATTTAGCGAAAAATGGCTCTTTGAAATTGCCTTAACCCAACATGAGACAATTATTTTGGCACATGAAAGTAATGAAATAAATCAGAATATCATTCACAGTGTTTGCAAATGAATGTTCTTAGAGTCTAATAAAGTCATCAAAGCAAAAACATGCTTGTGATCTGCAACTTTGTGATGTATAAATGCATGGTAGCATGAGGACGTGCTTGGAAATACACGGTCACAAAGCAAAACAAAACAAATATGAAGTCAAATAAATCTTAGCTGAAAAATAGTTTTGCACAATCGTGCAATCTAAAGGCTGTACTGAGTTAATCAGTCATTGTCAGGCAAAAACATGCTTACAGATTAATATGGAAAAGTTTATAACATAATTCAAATTATAATGAATCACTGATATGGTCTTCAAATTTCAACATAAGAAACACAGCCAGTGGAAAACTAAGATGAAGAAAAAAGAAAAAAGCTAAAGGCAAATAAAAGGGGCGGTCTGTACTGGGCACCCTTTTCTTACATTGTCTCTAGTGGAGGCCATATCTACCGTCACTTTGGGCAGAAGGAGCCCCACAGGTGAAGATGGGAGTGAATTCCATCCCACCAGAGACACAACCCCATTACGGTCTACTGAGCTGTGTTTGATTCCATTGGGTTGAAGTAAGAGCTGGGAAAAGTGGCTGCCCTGGCTCACACTGCTGCCACGTTGCTCCCGGCAACGGTTGGGAAAAAAGAAAGAGCCTCTCCGACTCAGGTTGTCTTCAAAAATGCTGTTCTCATCATCTGCAAATTCATTTTCTGAGCCCATGTCCTGCGCCTGGCTTCGGAAACTGAAATTGCTGGTTCTGCTGTTCCGTCTGGGTGAAAACAGGGGCCCACGAAAACTCAGAAAGGACTGAGAAAGAAAGAACTTCTTCAGTGAAAACCTCACAGATGTTATGAAAAGAAGTAGAGATGATAACAGTTGTCATTTATGAATGGAAATAAAAGTCTTTTTGTGGTGGGAAGAAAAAAATGTGGCATTGTGACACTATAATGATTATGATAATGATTATGGCCATAAAGTTGCTGCTCCGTATTCCAGGGGATCTGTAAAGAAAAGGTGGATGCAAGGATGAGAAGAACCATGATGGACAAGAAAAAAAGGGCTATGGTGTTGGATATGATGGCATATATAATTTCAGGAGATAAAGAAAGGTTATCAAGTGATACTGAAAAATATGCTGATGATTTAAATATATAGCTTACAGTAACAATAGAGGAAAAAGAAAATAATGAGGTTCTTCTTATCGATGAAGATAATGACTATCATATCGATGCCAGAATGTTGACAACAAAGAGCTGATAAAAGAATGATAATCACACTGAAGATGATGATGATGATGACGATGATGATGATGATGATGATGATGATAAGTGATGAGGATGGTCAAGTTACTGTTAATGAATATAATGATAATGATGGTAATAATGGTATAAATGATGATGATGATGATGATGATGATGATGATGATGATGATGATGATGATAAAGATGATGATAGTGATAATGATCATGATAATGATGATAGGGATAATGATGATGATTATAATCTTGATGATGATGATGTGATGATGATAATGATGATGATGGGGGATGGTAATGGTGAAGATGCTGACAACAGTGATGGTGATAATGAAGATGATAATAATGATAAAAAAGATGATGATGATGATGATGATGATGATGATGATGGTGATGATGATCATGATAATGATGGTGATCATGATTACAATCATGGTGATGATGATGATGGGGATGTGATGATAATCATGATAATGATGGTCATCATGATTACAATCATGGTGATGATGATGATGGGGATGTGATGATGATCATGATAATGATCATAGGGATGGTGATGATGATGATGAAGATGAAGATAATGATAATGATGATGGGGGTTGGTAATTATTAAGATGCTGACAACAGTGATGGTGATAATGAAGATGATAATTATGATGATAGTGATAATGATGATGATGATGACGATGATGATGATGATGATGATGATGATGGGGATGTGATGATAAGATGGTGATATTGATGATGATAGTGATGATGATGGTGGGAATGGTGATGATGAAGATGATGAACAAGATGATGATGGTGATGATGATGATGGTGATGACATTCAAGCTTTGCATTTTACTGCCTGACCATGACATGAGAGCGATCACAACATATCTTAACCACTCATTCACTCATGGTAGTTGGCGACTGTTTCTGCTAACCAGTGAAACACACATACAGTCTTACAAAACACCACCAGGCCATTGATGTTATCTCAAGCTCTCTGTAATTCCAATAGATTAATGTTTTTATCCCTCTCTGATCCATTTGATTCTCTGCTATTACTCAGCCTGACTCCTCCACATTAATTGAGAATAGCCAGTAGCTCCTCTTAACCTTTATAAAACATTGCAACACACTGTGATACACAATTCAACAAAAAGTTTAGGGGCAGTGATTTTTCAGTTTTGGTTCCCCTCTGATAAGTATAAAACATACAGTGGGTGTTATGCCACTGTATTCTCATGGGAACTGAAAACAAAGTGTGGATGTTTAGGTTTTTTATTTGAATCAGTCTTGACAGACTGTACTGAACCTGATGGGCAGTTGACCATTTCATGTCATAGTTGAGCGGGTTGGCATCCACAGAGAAGCGGCAGCGAGCTTTCTTTATACTGTCCTGGGACTCTGATTTGGGGAGTTTCTCATCTGTGCCTTTGCCCTCCTCTTCTTTCCTTTTCTTCCGCCTGTTGCGTCTCTCTTTGGCACTTTTGGAGCTGAGCTTGGAGGTGCCAGATGAGCTCTCAGTGCCTCTGCCTTTGTCATCGATCCCCTCACCTTCTGCAGCTGCTGCAGACGCTGCTGCCTAGATGAGTAAAAATGGCAGAGGTGAAATAAATCACAGAGATCGTTGTATTGTTTTGCTGATTTTATGTCCGAGAAGTATTTCAGTCAATGGAGAACTAATTTACTATTTTTTTAATTTAAGTAGCTTCAATTCACAATTTAATATTTGCATTCTCTTCACAGAACAGACAAATTTACCTCACTGATTTGTAATAATTACAGTTAAATGCATTTTTGACATACAGTGCAGGGGTTTCTTTACAATGTTCCCCTGTGTATGCATCTTATGAGATAGATGTGCAAAGTACGATTGTTTCAACTTAATGTACCAAAAAAGGAAATGTGCTATATTTAAGTAATGGTAACTACACTGCAGCCTGTTTACAACATAGCCAAAATAGTTGATTTTGATCTAAGTCCTGCCTCTATTAAGGCAAATAGCCAGTCACAGTTTGGAGTGGCACCAGGCATGGCTGATCAGATTTTAAAAGGGGCTTGTGCCACCCCTGGCTACCCCTCTGGAAACGCCTCTGCCTGGAGAACCCAAATATGGTACCTCAGCTGCAGTGAAAGGTATCTTTAAAGTGCAACACTCATAACAGTTTTCAGACATGTATACTTTCACTTTTGGTGCTTAAAGTTTTAGATACTGAGATAATATACTGCTTCCGATGATAACAAAATAATGCTCCCTAATTAGAACTGTTATTTCCAATGGAGCTTTTTACATTATGATCATTGAATTGTTATTTATGTAAGTGATCTGAGCATGTCTTCTTTATCCACAATGGCCGTAGGGACATGTACTACATAACTGGTTTGCTGGTTGTTCCAGATATTCATACAAATACACTATGTAAAAGAGCCATGATCATAACATCAGCATGTTGATAAACACTGACCTTGTAATTAGCTAAAGTTTGAAACCATATTCATATTACAGATTTAAAAATCCAGGAACCCTCCACAAAAAACTCTAATATCCTCCTCAGCTTGATTGGAATCAGTCTTTGTATGTAAGTATTTGCTGCAGTAATGGTTAAACAGTGAGCTATACATAAATCTTGGTAGTACTCTGTACCTGGGCTTCCTCCTGCTGCCGTTTCAATTGCTCAATCATAGCTTGATACTCCCTCTCCTTCTCCTCCTCCTCCTTTAAGGTGGCCTGGCTCTGCTCCTCATAGGCCATCGCCACTACAGCCAGGATCAGGTTGACCAGGTAAAAGGAGCCGAGGAAAATCACCAGCACAAAAAAGATCATGTAGGGCTTTCCAGATACCCGCAGCGTCTGTAGGTAGGAACAAACACTTTAAAATTGTGCCATGTACAGAAAAGATTAAAAAAACAACAACAATAATTTATACTATCATGATTCATGCCAGCAAAACCAGAATATGATGAAGTCACCATTGCATAGTCAAGCTTGTTCAAAGTGCCAGAACATGTAATACTATCCTACAGAAGTGGGAGCTTTACAGTGTTAGTGTTTGCTTTACTCATTGATACCACGATGTTAACCTGCTCTATTCAGTCGACAGCTTTTTGCCTCTGGGGCTATTCAAGCTGTGTTTACCTGAGTAGGACTCATCTTTGTTCCTTCTGGCCAAGATGCACCTGTGCTTCATTCAGAGGTTTGTTTGAACATCACTAATGACAATATTGTAATGTGAGAATGCTCTATCTTTGTATGAGCTCTGCCTCAGAACAGCATTCCCCGCCTGAATATGTATTTACAGAAGGAGTGCAAATGCAGCAACACTCCAACATCAATCAACCAGCAACCAAATCTGTTCTCCATACAGGGTCACTGAGGAAAACCCAGAATGACTTTTAAGGTCATATTATGAAAAAAAATCTGAGCTACACAGGAAATTGTGGACTAATGAAGCAGTTACTGATAAAGATGGTTTTACTAAGGAATTTAACAAAACCCAATAAACACACAAGTACCATCACGTTTCTGGAGTTAGAGGCTACTCAGTGTCACACCCCTGGCTTAACCAACAAACCAACAATGTAGAGCACCTTTAAAGCTCCTATATGGAGCTCTTTGGCATTTATGAAATAGCCTGAAATTTAAATGCATACCTTTCTATGGTATATCAAAGCAAATAAGACTATCAGCAACAACACTGAAACGTTGTATACTGTAATTTTGAATTCCTGAAATTGGCCCAAAGGGGGTAGGTGCCAGTGGAGCCACTGAAGAAAAAGGTCCTTCTTTATATTCACCACATAAGATCTTCAAAAAGTGATACACTTGACCATCTGATGTCAGCAGGATGAGAATTTTGGTCAGAAAAGGCTTCCTTAGCATTTAAGGGACAATATCAGCAGAGACTGCTTTATCCACAGGAAGCGCCAACATCATTACAAATCAAAAGTTCCTCACAGGAGCTTTAAAATGATCAACAAAAAAGGACACATAACAAGAGAGTAATCCATGTTCAAAAAGTATGTTTGTCAACTATTAGTCCTTGGATAAATTCACTCCTTTTCTCTGTCTGTAGGTTGTTTTACCGGAACACATTTCATTATTAACACAAATCAGAGCACTACCTCCAAAAATAACCTTGTTTACTGAAAGTGTGCAAAGATGCATCATGTTTGTGGAAATGTTCAGACAGGTTTCCATGTCGTACCTGCTGGTAAAGATTTTCCCAGTAATCCTGAGTCATCAGCCTGAACAGAGAGAGAAAGGCCCAACCAAAAGAATCAAAGCTGGTGTAATTATAGTCTGGGTTTTTTCCCACTTGGATGCAACTGTACCCCTCTGGACACTGCCTGCATCAAATGGAGAAATTGTGAGGCTCAGACAGAGAACTACCTACGTCCATCTTGATACAAAAACAGATGTATCATGTTAGAATTGAGTTTATTCTATAACATATACAACCATCTTGTAGCGGGGTAACAAGCTTACCCAGCTTCACTGCTGTTCCCACAAAGCAATGGATCTCGTTTGCCTGGAAGGATATAATGATTACCTGATGGGAAAGAAGGACAAGTTTTATTATCTGGGCTGATTTGTAAGAAGAGATAGGTGCTGAATTATAATAAATACAATAAGATTATAAAAGGTTAAACTATAATGCATCCAATAAAGGGCCCTGAAATAAATCCTGTAGATCCATACAGCACAATACAATTATATAAAGCCTCATTAATCATCTTTGTCACACAGGACCTTAACGAAAACAACTAAATATACAAAACCAAAGTAAAATAGGATCCTTACAAATACTCACTCCTATTTGTTGCATATTTCAGCCAGTCGAACTTCTCCTCATCTGTTCCATTTATATTAGTCTCATTTGATGTAGTGTTATATATTGTCCTTACACACTTTTGTTTCAAATGGCCCATAAACAGTTGTAACCCTATGAGGGCAAAGACACTCAGACAAAAGACAGTGAGGATCATCACATCAGCCAGCTTCTTCACCGACTGGAACAGAGCACCGACGATTGTCTTCAGGCCTGCAAGATACAGTAGGAATTAATTACCCCAATATAAAAGCAGGCATACTTTGGCATACTAAGTGATGCCACTGGTGTCTTTTTTAATAAGTATTTCATTCATTTTGTATTGCAGTCCTTCTAAGTTTCCAAATGGGCCTTTTAACTGAAGGTGAGGGAAAACATTTATTTTTATTCCAATACTTCTCATTATTTTAAAAATGGCACCTGCAATGCAACAGCAATGCAACACAGCTTACAGAGAGCTCTATTAGAGTGTTAAGTTAACCAATTCATGCCTTTGGTGGTTAGCTAAGCACACCACTCACCTTAGCTACAAGAAAAAATGAAGTACTTGAATGAATATTTTTTTTTATTTTCTTATTCTCTATTATATATATATTCTTCTAATTGAAGTATTTAGATGCTTTTATTTATTTTTTACTTTTAAATGATCTTTAACCACTTTTAAAAATTGTATTCTGAGCGTTAACTCGATGAATTTTATCAATTTCCCTCTAGAGTCACTAAAAGCTTTTTTTTCCTCATTAACTGTGCTCCCAAAGAGCTAAAAGCAGATTTTGATTTGGATGTATCATGTAGTAATAAAAGCCACTAGATTAAAGAAAGGTGTTAAAAATATAAAGTAGTTTGTTCAATTTAGCATACTTTGTCCCTACCTGACAACCACAGATTTTTCTTTAAATTAAACTTGCTTTCTTGTGCTGTTTTTATTTTATTTTATCCATCCACCTCTGGAGGCTTTACTCAACATCAGTTGAGCTTTATAGGCTTAACTGACTTAAAAGTGTCAAATTGGTGCAGTTGTCCTTTTAATCTTCATCAAAAGTTTCATGATGTTGAAGTGGACTGTGAGCCTCATCCTTGTGACATATAGGCAAAAACCGAATTATTTTATTGCGATAAATAAACATCATTGGTACGTGTGCAATAAGATACATCTAGGAGTAATACACGCATCTATCATGGATGCAGGAATATGAAAAACCAGATTTCTGTGTGCGTATGTACATGCCCTGTCCCAAATGTGACAAAAACCAGGATAAGGCTCACAACCAGAATACTCTAGTCCATGTACAAGCACTCATCGTAGTTGCCCATGCAACACTCTGTAAAAAGATGGCACAACATTATGTCTCATTTTAGTAGAGAGGAGCAGTAGTTTGACTGAATATACTGCTACAAGAAACAGAGGTAAAGGCTGTTAAAAAGGCCCGAGTAAACAGATTAGATCTTAATATAGCTTTGCTTACTAATGTTTTCAAAAATCATGTAATTGAGGGACAATAGATCTAGTTTTTGTGCCTGAGGACTATTGATTACCAAGCGTGTAAATAGTCAAACTACCATACACTCGGTGAAACTGCTTACCAGGGATTACTGAAATGGCTTTAAAAGCTCTCAGCACTCGAAATGTACGAAGAGCTGAAAAATTGCCCAGGTTTACGAACTCTGTCACATACCTGGAAGAAAAATGGGAAGAATGACAAAGATTGAGTGACATACACTTACATGTTGAAATAGGAGGATGAACAAAAAGACTTTTACCTTGTCTCATTTAATAATTTAAACATATTCAACATGAGCTACACAGCAAGAAACCTTTTGGTGACACATGTAACAGCTGTTTGTTATTATTGAAAATGGCAGAGGTACTTACGCCATGACAATGACGCTGAAATCCAGCCAGTTCCAGGGATCTCTAAGAAATGTGAACTTCCCTATGCAAAACCCTCGGGCTAAAATCTTAACCAGGGACTCAAAGGTATACACTGCAGTAAATGTGTACCTAAAGGAAGCAAAACAAAGTGGTTTAACCAAACAATGAACAAATGCACACAGTGTTGCACATTTGTGATAAATACATCCCATAATAAAAAAGTGAAAATGAAGAAGAAACTCACTCCACATTCTTTGCCCAGACTGGCTGCTGACTCAGAGTCATAAATACACAGTTGACAAGAATAGTACACATGATGACCACACTGAACAATCTGCAGGCGGTAGTCAAGGAAGCCACTAATCTTGAAAGGTAACTAAGGTCTTTGTAAATATGATTAGTTTCATCCCAGCAATGCAAACATTCGCTCGTCATAGTTACAGCACAGTAAACACAAATCAAGCATTAGCACACAGTAAACAGGGTGCATGCTCATAAGATTTACTCATTTAGAAAAGGATATGAGTGTACTAAAATTTTCATTGATATTCTTCTTACAAGGTTGAAAGGGCTCAGCAGGTACAAGGCAGGAGCGGCGTTGAAGCGGAAGATGTTGTTTCCTCTGTTTAACACTATGAAAGTCTAACAGAAAGAGATGGATGTAAGTGAAACATTATTATTCTATTTAAGTACAGCTAACAAAAATGTGATGCATGGTCGAATATAGACAGTAAAATGATCTTTGTTTAGGGACTGGCACTAGAATTTACCTCTAGTGCAGTCTAGATGTAGTGCATATGACTTGATATCATGACAAAAAAACCTAAATAGAGGATCTTTTTCAGATAATCATCATGTAACAACAACTATTTACTATTTACTTGAAGTGTAAAGTTAGTTAAAGTTCACAAAATGTCAGGAATGAGCATAGGCCCAATTCCAAAAAATAATTGGGCTTGTGTGAAATAATAAAAAAAAATTAATTTAATGGTTTGCAAGTCATTTAAATGCTATATTCATCCCAAACAACATGTCAGGTGTTAAAAATTAAGTATTCTATTCATTTATGGAAAAAGAAAACCTGTTCATTTTATCTTTAATAACAGCAACAGGTTTCAAAAAAGTTGGGATAGTGGCCATAAAACAGGGAAACAAATGTGAGCTTATGCTTAGAAAATCATCTGAGTAACATCTCTTAATGTTAACAAACTAATTAGGTCCATTTGCAGCAGGTTAGTAACATGACTGTGTATAAAAGGCCATTCCAGGGAGGCTGAAACTCTCATTCGTAAAGATGGGAAGACCCTCAACACACTGTGAGACTGTGAGAGCGAACAGCTAAATTTTTTTTAGAAAACTGCTCCTCCTTGTAAAGAATGTGGGGATTTAATCAACTAAAGAGCAAAAAATCATCAAAAGACTCAATTCATCTACTGAAATCTCTGTGCAAAGGCAGAAAATATTACATAACTCTGCAGTGGAAATCACTGCATTGGCTAAAAATCATTTCCAAAAGCTACTGTCTGTGAACTTGGTTTGCTGTAGCATCCATTAATGCAGGTTATAATGCACTATGCACAGCAGGGACCGTATGTAAACGTGATCCAGGATTGCTGGCAGCTTCTCTGGACCCAAGCTCACTGCAGACAACCCGACAAAGAGGAAGACCTGACATATCTAAGTGTGACAATGCCAAACCACATTCGTCAACTATTACAACAGCATGGCTCTGCAGCAGAAGAGTCCAGGTGCTGAACTGGCCTGCTTGCAGTCCCAACAAGAAAACATTTGGTGCATTATGAAACAAAAAATATGACAAAAGAGACTCAAACTGTTCAGCAGCCACAGTCCAAACATGAAAACATTTCACTAAAAGAACTCCTGACACAGGTCTCCTTGGTTACCACATTTTAACAAAGTGTTGCTAAAAGAAGAGGTGATGCAACCCAGTGATAGACATATCACTGTCCACACAGTGTCCACAGTCTTTTTAAATATGGGTTGTAATTTTAAATCAATATTAAATAAAACATGTTATGACATGAGTGCTGGGGGGTAATCAGAATCGTGATTGGATCAACTTCATTCATTGACAGTCACTACTCTGAAAGTCCTGCAACCCAATGATCCGTGACACATTACAGTTTTAATGGAGCCAGTAACATTTCATATATTAATGATTATACTAGTGCAAGGTTTAGCTGTGCTTGGATGGCCTGTTTTCTTACCAGGAATCAGCTTCAGTAATGTTAGTCAGAACAACAGGCATAGTTTAAAGTCAGTATCAGCGCTCATGGACTGCATGAAATAACCTACTTTCTGATTCCTGTAGAAGGGGTCCAGGTCTTCCAGCGGTGTCGACACCATGCCTTTGGGAACATCCCCGTACAGGAGAGGGAGCGATTTGCCCGCCTCGAGGTCACGTCTGGGCTTGGGCTCATTGTCATCGTTGCGTTTTTTCTTTTCCTCTTTGGGCTTCTTGGCCTTCTCCTCGGCAATCCGTTTCTCGATGGCTGTGAGGGACTCACGAGTAAAGGGGCGGAAGCTGTCTACACCTGGAGGTACAAGCAGCTGTGCCATCTTTTCATCCTGCACCCTTCAGAGGGAACAGCTAGCCTCCAACATGGGAAAGGCCTGAGTTGTCAGAAAAGATAAGAACAGTGATTAGAGGCCACATTAAAAGCTTGGTTCCATCTTTCATAGTCTAACATAATATTTTACTTCATCGAGATCAAGTAATTGAAAGCATTTCTGGCACTTTATTTCTATTGGTAGATGAGAAGTGCTTGATAATGAGAGGAGAGAGTGGGTGTGGTTCTGCTCTTCAGCCTGAGATCATCTTCTCAGGAAGTGGCAGCCTATAATGAGCCTACAGAGGCCTGTCATACACATAAATTCCTGCCAGCTATGGTAAAATTAGATCTAATTATCTGCCCCTCTGTAGATAAAATTAAGATCCGACATGACAATGATCAATTCCAGGTGAGACACTGGCTCCTCTCCTCCATCCCTCAAAATTAAAAGAGCCCACTTCTCCCTTTAGAGCCCGAGACAGAGTGGTGGGAGGAAGAGATTCATCCTGCTAATAGGCCTGCCTGGTATAATGTGTGAGGCAGACCTATGCACTATTAAATATGAATGCACCACAGGCTACACTGTCTCTCTGGGTGCCCTGCCACTGAGAGCTTTTGCCTGATCTGACTGTAATCTCGTAATAGAATACTTCCACATGCTGTGATGTTAGAGATCAATCTCAAACACACAGATCGATGGACTGCACACAGCACTGGGAGGAAACGTGCGTGAAAGATGTGTGACCCTCACAAAAAATACAGATATAAATGAGGAAAACCAGGGACCAGCAGTAAGGAACAACTGTGATACCTTTGCCACAGTAGGATATTGTTGCATCTTGAAGGTTTTTGCCTTATGCTGATTGATTTGATATGAAAAATAATGTGATCAGTTCGAAGTTAAGGTCTTTAAAACTTGACTTAATTTTACCTGATAAATCAAATTTGTCAAATCGTCAGCTCGAGTGGTCTAACACAACCATGACTGCATGAATCTGAACACTAAAACTTATTAGGTTGGGATCTTATGCAATCTTTAAGCCCCAAATACAAACAATATTAAATTGATGCATCATTACTCAGTGTCTGTGTATTATAATCCCACAGAAATACTGCGATACTGTGCAGTATCCTTCCTCCCCTCCCTAAATATATTAACGTATTTAATGGGGGTGTAATGACATGGCATAGATATTTTCTTCAAATTAGCAAATTCAAATTGAAGAGTTCCCGTTTTGCTGTTTCCTGTTATCAGCTTGTGTGCCTATATGTACAGTACACAGTATCAGCTGCTTTGTAAGACCTGAATGGCAGGCCTCTACTTTATGCACACTTAAAATGCTGTCTGTCTGTCTGTGTCTGTCTATCAGGGAAGAGGTTGCAACTGGTCCCAGCTCAAAACAAGCTGACTACACAGCAACAAGGAATATATCATTAAATCAGAATTAAAGGGACCATTTCGATTCTTTCAAATCACATCTCATACAAAATACAGATTTGTTTCTTTTTTGTAATTCTGTATTTAACACTATATCTACACATAGGGGATATTTTGTTGTCATTTTGTACAGGATGTGGTGACCAATGCAGCATGCCCTCACTTTGTACTGTTTAATGGGTGATGCTTCATAGACACTTAAAGGTTCATTTCCTTTACATTTCCTCTGCATCATGAGCATTGCTAAAGCTGCCATAATGTTCAATGATTTTCAAACAGAGCCTTCTCTGTAAAGTAGAACTGAATAAGTATGTGTAAAATGTTGTTTGAAGCTCTAATCCGATGACTACTGTTGCACCAGAGCACATAACAAAGAAAATCAAACACCAAACCACAATTTTAGCCTCACTTGGAAAGGTCAACCTGCAGTCTCTAACCTCCAAAGAGGCATGCCATAATCTGTCAATCTGTTCCCCACTCATTACACACAGCTTGTGATATGAGCTGCCACTCTAAAGCTTCAAATAGGTCCACTTCAATTTATCTGCAACCTGTCGGCATCATGACCTCACGCTGACTAATCTAAAATGGATTCATATGTTTCCCTCGACTCTCCCTGGAACACAATGTCAACACGTTAGTTTGGTGTTTGATTTTTCACCTTACGTCTACATAACATTGCTCTGCTGATGAGCTCCACGTTAGGACTTACTGCCTTCTCCTGATTCACCTGCAAGTATATTAAATGCAAACACAGTGTCGAACTTACTATTTCATGTACATTACTCATTTAAAACTTAATTTCATTTACCTCAAAGCACTTCTACATACTTGGATGAGGTTAGAGATGCTTTGTGATAGATTGAAGCCCGCCTGTAGGCTTCCTGATAAAACCATCGATCCAATTAAAGAGTGGACTACTGAGTAGGTTGCTGTGCTCATAATTTTGTTACCAGACAGAAAGACGCTTTACAGAAGCTCAGAAATATTCTGATGAATGATAAACTAATATATGTTTGGGCAGCACAGCAAAGTGACCCTATGCTTTCACTAGGTCTCTACATTTGTCTCCACATATTTAATTCATCACTGAAAGCAGAATGTGAGCCACAGACATGAGAAAATAAAAACCAGAACAGCAGATGTATTTAACTGGCTGAATCCAGGGACCTCAATCAGGCCCTAAAGGTCCTCATAAAAATATCAAAATGAATAATTCCCCTATTTCCAACAACACTGTTGATACAGCCATACAAAGCAGACATCAGATTAACCCAGGCTGTTGAAATGCAGAGACTTGGGATTGCCAAACTCAATAAAAATGGTAAAGGCACTGCGAGCAATTTTTGTCTGTGCCACACAGACTGAAACTGATACTGATGCCTCTTTATGACTTTTAAAAGCAAACGAAACCATCAGCGACAAAGTTGATTATTTCTCTGCCTGTAATCCCTCAAACTGCAGTGGGGGGTCAGAAATGATGATTGACAGCAGGCTGAAAGATTGTCTGTTCTTGTTTTTAATTGCCAATACTCACATTGATTGATATGATTCACTGTTAAATGACAACATGCTGGGAATTTTTACTGAGACACTACTTTTACATGTACAGGACAGAAAGTCAGAGGTGTCTGCAAAGTCAAGTTTTAACTAGTTATTTGATGTTGAAATGACAGAATGGGACTTAATGACTGACGACACTCTTTATCAGACAAGCAGAGTAGAGGAGGAACTGTGGGAGAAACTGTAACCACCATGAACACAAGAGTCACTGAACTTTCCATAACCACTGCACCACTTGCCTCAGATCAAGTGGTGAACAGGCTGTTTTGATTTGGCACTTTATCCAGCTTTCTCAAAATACTTTTACATCATAAGTCACTTTCACTTATTCACACCACATTCATAGACAGATGGCAGTGGCTGTTATGTAGTATTGACTAATACCGTTTACACACTGCTGGCACAGCTACTGCCATGGGCAGTTTGGGGATTAAGAGTCTTGCCCAAGGACACACGAGCATGTGGACAGCAGGAGCTGGGATTCCAATCAACCCAAAAGTGTAAATCAATCAAACATTTCAACTGTACATTAAAATTAGTGTTTTGTTTAGTAGCAAGGAGTGATGTCTATTCCCCAACTTCACATCACCAGCAAAATATGACAGCACCCATCGCAGCAGGTTTTTAGCGTGCTGTTTTTACGATAGGAGGAAATGGGGACGAGTCATCAGGATCTTTATACAATCAATACACAGGCTCAATTGCTGTTAACGATACTTATTAACCAGAAACAGTCAGGTAGTTGGGTTTGGGATGAAGGTAAGAGGATAGGTTTAATGCATGAAGCCCATATCAATACAAAACAGCAGTGCCAATGTGTATATACAGTTCTTACTTGTTTCTATAATTCTAAACTATGTCAACTAAGCTTAATGCCACATATGATGCCACATAACAAAAACAAGTGCTCAGTTTGAGTCACCCCTGAGCCCCCCAGCAGGCCTCTTACTAGAGTATCTGATAAATTGTGCGATTAAGTTTGAATAAACACACTCAACTTTAGCTTACAGTACATGGAGTAATCACAGGTCGGTGTCTGTGTGCTCCTGAGGGATACACACTCTCACAGCTTAAAGTGCTCACAAGTAACGCTGACCGCTGCCTCCCACAGACTACAGAATCAGGATCAGTTCTTGCTCGTTCAGGGCGTTGGCAAAACAGCTGGTGATGAGGGGCTGTTAACATAGTTTTCAAAATTAAACTCATTATATTACAACCATATTTTACACTTCACAGCTCTGTGTGTACACATGCTGGATAGTAGGCAAACAGGACAGTATAATCTGTAATTGACAACAATCTAATAATGATGTTGACAGAGTTACAAGCAGGAAGTCCTCTAAGACACAGTGTGGGCTAATAATTGCTGCCATGCCCATTAACTTGTGTAATACAGTATGTTGCAGCCCCTGATTTGCACTCTAGTCTTTGTCTATATGAAGTAAAGGAAATCAATCACTTTTTTTTCAGCAGGCCTGCCAACACAGTCAAATCATAAAGATGGCTTCAAAGGGTGTAATAGAGTGAGATACACAAAGATTGGATTTAACTATGAATAGACTTTTCTATAAGGATATTTCGTAATTTGGTACAGGCAAAAAATAGATAAATAAATAAATAAAAAAAACTACTGATATTAAAAGCATTTAATTAGATAGATAGATAGATAGATAGATAGATAGATATTTAAAGAGGAAAAGTTAAAGTTTTTCTTTTGACACGTTTCTTTAAGTAGTTTAGCTGAAATAAATTTCTGCCCCCTTAAAAAAAACAACAACAAAACATAACTTTAACAGGTTATTTTGACTCACCATCAGTTTTCCATTCTCTACAGGTGAAAAAATAAATTGCACAAGCTGAGTTTCTCTCGGTAAAAAATGCTGTAATTGTAACCTCTCCGTGCGTTTAAAAGCTTTGACGCATATCTCGGCTCAGATCTGGTAATTTCCACGATTTGGACTAGAAAACCATAGAAGAAGAGAGCGCGTAATTTCATCCGCCCCTCCGCGCGGCACAGTCAGAGTACTGAATGCTGCTTCCGGATGTTCCTGAGTACCAAGTGGGGGCAGAGATGCCAGAATGGCTGTGGAGATGATATTGTGGTGGACATTCCCGTGCGTAATTGTCGGGAATCCAGATGTATGCAATCGGGTGTATATCAGAAACTAAAAGCCAAAGCCACAACTATGGATCATATTCCGTCCTAAAAGTGTGTGCGCGTTTGCGTGAGGAAAGGGGTCAGTTAAGGCAGAGATTGCAGGAGCCTGAATAACTCTGCAGTCTAAGCAACTTAAATCACAACAACCAGGTAGTTACTGCGCAACAGTTAATAAGAAATAAAACATAAGAAACTACAGAGGTAGATTTGCAGGAGGATGTGGGTAATGCCATATTTTGTATAAAAAGTTGGGTTGGTGACCTAACCATTAACCAAGGTGTTGACTATCAGTCTAACGCCACCTGGTGGATATTTGGAGCACTAGCATCATAGAGATACAGGTTTCACACAAGCACACACACACTTTTTTTTTTTTACCACTATGTTTGTAAGTACCAATAAATGTATACATATTCATTCGCACATCTATGCACACGTGTACTGCATTTAAACATGTTTGTTTGAAACATACATAAAGTAACCAAAAAGCATCTTATCTGTATGGTGGCCAAGAACTGCCACCACTGCAAATAAAAAAATTTAAAAAAAAAAGGGAAAAAAAAAAAAAGCCACAACGGAAGTTGCTGATGAAAAACTTCTATGCCTGCTGCAAATTAAAAAAGAGGTGGTACAGATAAAAACATAAAATAAATAAATAAATAAAATTACTTACTGCAAAAATCAATTGATATGAAGTTGAACTGGAGGATGCCGGTGTAGTGTTAGCTTCAGTGCAAATTCATATTGACTTAGGTGCTACATGGCCTAACCAAATGACTTTTTGAAAAGTACACAAAGTGAAATTAAACAATAACCTTTCCACTTACTTCTTTGCTTGTCTTATCGACGTCATTTTCTGTGCCTAGATCATAAAAAAATGGTGCATTATCATTATTGGTTCCCGGCAGCTGACTTCTGTTATGGCTTTTTTTATTTGCATTCTTTAATTTTCACATAAAATAACTTTTTTTTCTATCACAACTTTTTTTTTTGCGTTGTTAATTTCTGTTGTGGCTTTTTTTTTATCTGCACCGTTTTTTTTTTGTTTTTTTTTAATTTGCTGTGGGTTTCGGTTTCTTTTTTTTTTCATCAGTTACTTCTGTTGTGACTTTTTCTTTTTTGCATTCTTTTTTTATTTGCAGCAGTGGCGGTTCTCAGCCACCGTATATCTGTAAAAATTTTAGTTTAAATAGAATTGTGGTGCATAATAATTAACTGTAATATTATATGTACATCTTCATAAGGTTAGGTTGCAAAAGCAAATGAGACAATCAGTGAGAGGATTGAATTATATCTCAAAAGCTGCAATAGTTTTAATGCCTGGAACTGCTGCCATGGAGTGGATGTCAGATGAGGACATTAACAGCATGCTGCTGAAATGGTCTTAGTGTGTTCCACTGTACAGAAAGTGAGTCATACTGTTTATCACAAGCAGGGTAAGACGTTTAATCTGGAAGCAATTTTGTTCAGTACAAGATCTGCAAAGCGATAGGGGGGTCCTCAAAACCACAATGAAAGTTTCTTAAGTGGTTCTCCCACCAGCTTAAAACTTCTAAAGTTGGATGCTAGATGTGGTGTAATATCATCAAGTCACATATGACATGGATTCAGGCGAGGAGATTGCTAGACATTATGGTAGTGGTCCATCGGTTCGCAAATGGCTGTTGTGTTAGTCATTGAAAACGTCTGTGTTGCATAGACAGGGTGTAAACCGTAGTTAAAGACAAAAGCTACACCTAGAATATATTCAGCAGTGTTGCATGGTTGAAAAGTAAGCTCCACTCACAATCAGGCTCAGATTTAATCTTGATGTTGTATAATAATGTCTGTGTGTAGCTTAATGAGGGATAAAGTAAGGAGCAGCATTTTCTAAATTTCCAGTGGGGTCCAATTGTTTTCTCTGCGTGATAAATTTGATTTTTATCCCTAGAAAACCTGCAGGAACCTCTAACCTAATTTTTACATTTTCTCAACATTTTTTCACAATCCCAGCTTTCAAACAGCTCCCATTTTTCTCTTATTGTACAGAATATCTTGACTTCTTTCCACGTTCATAAATCCACCCCTAAACAAAGAGGTCTTTTCATATTCAGATTCAAAGGGCAATCCTTAAATCCTTTAATTCCCTATTTCCATGCATGCGTTATGGCATATTTAGCCACCAAGAGCAAAACTGCAACTTGTTTCTTAGCAGTAGGTTAAATATGGAGCTGTCTGATGCAGAGTAAGCTATGGGCTTTAGGTTTTCAAGAATTCAGAATCCATTAGGTAATTTACCAAACACTTCATTTATAATGAAGTAGCAGAGTGATCGTGTATTATTCTTTGATTACTTTACAATTTCTTTGCCTGCTTTGCCCTCTCTGGTTACGTCGACCTTTATCATCACTTGTTCTTTAACTACCATGGTTTATCTTTTGATTTCACAGAACTTATTTTCTGTCTTTTAACAACTTTCATCCTGTAAACTTATTAATTCAATGATTATCAAGTTTCCCTTCCTTTAGTTACTTGCATTCTAGCAAAATTTGGCCTAAAACACTTGGTTTTCCACATTCTGATTACTTAAAATGTGTATTTTTATGTGAAAATATTGTTTCTTGCAGAAAGTAACAAACTCAAAAACAGTTTACCTCTGCTTCAGTCTGGTATTTGTGGTCGCCTAATTAAGAGGTTTTATCTTGATCTTTATTCTTTGCTTATTAATATTTACGATTCATATTCCCCTGAGTTATTTGTCTCAATCTCAAGCCCATGTTTTCCAGGGGGGGCAGAGGGGGTCATTTCTAAGTCCCGCTGTATCAAAACAAGTCAGCGGATTGAATATTAATGTGGCAATGATTAAATCTGCTAAACTCCAAAGCCCTGGGATAAAGAGAGGAGAGAAACAGAGGGAGAGGGGGAGAGAGAGAGAGAGGGGTTGCCAAAAAATAATAAGACCATTATTTGTCATGCATCAAGAAGCCTGATATTTATCTCAGTTTTATTGCTTGATTGTACAAAGGTCTTCTTGTTTGCGGTGAAAACATCTCGCTTAGAGTTTACTCACGTGCACGTGCGTCTAACGCTGGATACAGGTGTATTCCTGAAACAGGACGCACCTGTTTCAGCATTTCGGTGAATAGAATTTAATTAAAATTACAACAAAATTAAATTAAAAGAGAATAAAGGCAGTAATGTGTTTCATGTCTTCTGTAAGTGGGACACCAGGAATATGTTTGTCAGCGTTTATATTGAGACAGAGATTCTTTTGGAACCAACAGGACTGTCCCAGTGCTCAGCTCCAACAGTACCTACTTGGGTCGACTGGGGGCGCTGTTGAGATACTTAAAGGGTTTGATAGTGGTAAAATTCCCAGACTTGAACCAAACTTCTCCTCATTCAGTCCAGCCGCTGCTATGTGAGATTTAAACAAAGGAAAGGTGGCCAAAGAGGAAGCAAGTCCGGGACTAGCAGGTGCTCAAGATGGCTCTAGAGGAGGTAGGTCCACAGTGATGCTGCTGGGATGAGAGAAACTGTCCTTCAAGTCTGTTTATGGGACTGCTCGTATGTTTGTTTTTTTCCAGCTTTACGATCAGGAAGACACACCATTAATTCCTCCACCAAAAGATGCCGGAAAGCCAAGACATACTATGATGTCTGCGTCTTTTAATTTTATTAATTCTATCATTGGATCCGGTATCATAGGTAGGCTGCTTCCTTTTTTTTCTCGTTTCGTTGAAAGAAACCTTCAATCGTTGATCTATCTTGGGAACCCTTCACCCTGAGATAAATCAGTGAACTAATTCTCTCTTTGGTCTGAGGAGAGCCTGCTTTCACTCTGTTCAGGCGCTTTCAGTCGTAAAGTCAGTGTATCATATGACCGGCGCCTGCTGTCCCCATTCACCCCTTTCAGCCCCAAAGTATCCTGAGAGTTATTATCAGGAAGAACTAAACTCGGCATGGGCTCATCACAGCATCTCACTGAAACGTTTCAGGAGCGTTAAAAGAATTTTGATGAGAGTAATTTTTTAATATTTCTTTTATTAGAGAAAAAGTTGAATTTAATTTTGGGATTAAATGCATGTCGTTGCAGGAGAATGAGAAAAAGTCTGCACAGTCTCCAGTAGACCACAAACTTAAATTCAGAGCTTTTTGTTTCATACAATAAATAATAACATGCTGATCTTTTGTTGCATTAATAAGTAGCTCTGGGGGATGTGAAGTTGCAGTGTTTTAGAGCGTAATTTTCCTTTAGTCTGTCTAGTAACAACATCATGACTTTGAATTTGACAGTTTTTCTAATTTGAGGTCTTTGAGAGTCTTAAGGAGTTCTTGCTTACCTGGATACTTGCTTCTAAACAGGTTTACCTTATGCATTGAACCAGGCGGGACTCCCCTTTGGCCTTCTGCTGCTAATATTTGTTGGCTTCATAACAGGTGAATACATCAGTGGTGTCTTTATAAAGTATGTAGTTATGAATTTAACGTACAAAAACTGATTGCATCACGTCTTTCTTTGTGTGGCAGATTATACAATCATCTTACTTATTAAAGGAGGAAACCTCTCAGGGACTAACAGCTATCAAGCTTTGGTGCAGAGCACGTTTGGGTTCCCTGGGTTTCTGATTTTATCTGCACTGCAGTTCCTTTACCCTTTCATTGGTGAGGTTTTCAAAGTCTGCACATGCTAGGTTGAGAATTTGGTCATATACACTTTTACCAGTGTTGTGCTGCTCCACTTCTTTTTTCTTTCTCAGCCATGATAAGCTACAACATCACAACAGGTGACACATTGACCAAAGTGTTTCAGCGAATACCTGGAGGTAAAAGCCAGACACTAAACACAGATCATATGTTAAAGCAAATACATACCAGTGCATGTAGAGTATTTATACGCTTCAACTCACCTCTGCCTGTGTGTTCATGTGTGATATTTGCAGTTGGCCCAGGTCACATACTTGCAGAGCGTCACTTTGTGATCCTGCTGTCAACCCTTGTTTTCACACTGCCTCTCTCACTTTATCGAAATGTAGAGAAGCTTGGGAAGGTAAATCCAAGTATCCCCAATTCAAGAGTCATTTTGTAACTTTCAAACTGCTTGTAAAACATCCACATGTGTCACCAGGTGTCCCTCGTGTCAATGCTCCTGACTCTTACCATCCTCATCATTGCAATCATCAGAGCTGCTACCTTTGGGCCACAGATGTGAGAATAAGTATCCTGCAATTTGCTAACCCAAACTGCCCTGTACATGAATGAAATGAAAATGCACTAAAATGTTATTTTTCTATGTTTCTTATGTACGACTGTGATTTCTTTTAGTGCCCCTACACCAAATGCTTGGGCCTTCGCAAAGTGGAATGCAATCCAGGCAGTTGGTCTTATTTCTTTTGGTGAGTTTGTCTGCATGATGCCAGACTTATTGAATGATATTTTACCCCTTACCTTAGGTGCCACCCCAAAATCCTCAGCTTTGGTCTGCTATGTTGCTTATCCCAAAAGCGAAAATGTGATATAACAGCTGTATGATACTTAATTGACAGTCATTGGGGTAGCTAGAGACGACAGAGTGCATGTGTGCATGGGCCTTAACTTATCATTCAAGGCCCATGGAAATTTGACCCAGAATGGTAAAAACTCACTCAGTTGGAAGTTCTGTCATGCACTAACATAAACCAAACCATAGACTAAAACATTGAGAAGCATGAGAAGAAGAGCTGGTTCAAAAACAGCTAATGTCAGAGTTTTTACTGTTTTCAAGACCACAGGGGCAGACCAGGATTTGTTGACATCCATCTGGCTCTGCATACAACTGTAAACAGTATGTTTGGGGCCATCTGCAGAGAGCAGAGAATTGAAAGTTGGGGTTATTGTCAGTTATTTGACCCTGTATCGTGGACTCAAAGTAGCCCATCATGTATTTTGAAAAGTAGTGCACAAACAATGATCACTACAAGTGTCATGTATCATCATGCTAGGTGGAGTAAAGATTACTGCAGATGGAGTATCTTGTTGGAATTTGATTCAGACTTTTCCTCGAATCAGAAAGTATATACTCAAATTTCAGGCTGTTTGAACGAGTGGAGCAGATTTTTTTTATGATTGGTCTTATTGCATTTCATCAAGCTACATGTTTGAATTGTGAAACAGCAGCGACTTCATTATCTGCATACAGCAAGATGATCAAGTCATGTCTGAGTGGACTTTTTTTGGTTCATCTGGGTCTTAAGCAGCTTCTAACAGTCAAAATTAGTCCACCTTCTAATGTTCCTACGAATCAGTCGTCCTTTTTACATTGAGACTTCGTGGCCTCACAAAAAGTTCTGCGGTACCTTTGAGTCAAACAACACACAAATGTAACGTTAGTATCCTTGTGTGTTATTTACATAGTGTTAGTGAGTTGTGGAAGCATGAGAGGCATGGCAGGTCAACAAACACCCCACCATACCTCTTGAGCAGTTACATTGGTGATAACAGAGGTGGAAGCAGGAAGTGTAAAGGGACTGATGCTAAATGAGTGTTATGTTAGGTTTGCTATGTTAGCCATTTAATGCACTGGAAAACTCCATTTTCAACTCCATATCAGAAAAGCTTTCAAAAATGTTAATGACAAATATTTCAAGTTTGATCAAAACAAATTTCTAATACTATAAGATGCTTTTGTTCTTACGATCCAAACGATATAAGTAGACGGCTGTTGTGGATTTGTGTTTGTAGTGGCTTTAGGTCATTGAATATCAGGGCTGAATGTATTTTATTATTTTTTGGATTGTTCCTGGCCTCCAACGGCCTGTAATTAATAAAAGCGGCTTTGATTTAAAGTCATTAAATTAATCCTATCAAGGAGCCGAAGCCGCCAACTTTAATTAACAGTCTTTGCTTATTCAGCATAGATTCACAATCCAGCTTTGCTACATGGAGATTGAGACTGCTAATCCAGCTGGCACAGTGTCTGGATATTGTGTAGACATTGCTGAATAGCGTCACAACATTTCGAGGAGTTTCTTTGGTGATCATAGTTTCAGTGAGACTCTGTATGTTGATGCATTTGTGATAGTAAGAGGATCTCTGCAGTCTGTCTTGGTCTAAACACATATTGTGCTCATAAAAATTTCTAATCCAGTGCCCTGAGGATGAAAGCTGCTACAAAAGAGCCATTTAAATGGGGATTTAGTTTGCTTTTGAAAAACAGTGTTGTAGTGCCTGTGCTAAGTCTCTCAGCTTTTAAGACTGAGAAGATCTGTTTACCATAAATCGTACTCTGCAATGAAGAAAGAGACCCTGCTTGTTCATTTAAGGTGACAGAAATTTACAAGTAATACATGAGTATATTCAAACTGTAATGTTGCTGTGTGTTTCTGCAGCTTTTATATGCCACCACAACAGCTTCCTCATCTACGGCTCTCTGGAGAAACCCACCGTAGCTAACTGGTCCCGGGTCACCCATGCATCGGTAGGCTCTGCGGTCATATTCAGCGCTGCATTTGCTGTCGCTGGCTACATCACCTTTACGGGTTACACTCAAGGTATTGGCATGAGAGGTGTTGTGTTTTTACTTTAAAATGCAAGACACGCCCTGTTATCTCATATTTCCACTTTTCAGGAGACTTATTCGAGAACTACTGCAGAGATGATGATCTAGCAACATTCGGCCGCTTCTGTTTTGGCTTCAGCATAATAGCCACATTTCCACTGGAGTGTTTTGTCACCCGAGAGGTAAGTGGTACTTTCTCTACAGCAGCCGTAGAGTTTGACTGTTTAACATTTATGTCTGTGAAGAGAAATTGTGTTCAGCATCTTAAAGGGATATTCTGACGTAAAATTGATTTAGGGTCAAATGCACCTTAACACAGAGTTAGACACCCCCTCGAGAGATGAATGTTGCCGACCGCTTGCTTCTTTAGTTATACCAACTTTAGTAACGACTGCAGGGTAGTAATACACAGCGGTCTGAGGAGCTATAAACAAACCTCAACCAAAAAGCCACTCTACAGCCACAAATAATGCTCAGAACTAGGCTGGCTGGGCCACCCAGTTGCGTGAATCACTTGCCGTTCCTTCCCACAACAGTCTGGACTTCGGCCAATTGGGAGCACTAAAAGTGGGCGGGAGTACTTTCCTTGACAGACAGACTGCTGTAACCAATCATCGTAACCAAACATCTGACATCATCACAGTGCGCAAATGTGTTCCCTGCTGGGCTCTCAAGTATCAAGTAAAGGTTTGGTAATATTTCAACGTGTGCGAGCAAACAATGTCTTTTACGTCTTTCTCTGCGGATATAAACGATTTCTGCCGACTTTGCAAAGTCAACTGCAGAATTAACGGCGTTCTGAATGAACGGCACTTTGAAAAGTCCCGCAGCATGTGTTAGACGTCACCATCTACACATAGATCAATCAGGGGCTGCCTTTCCCTGTTGTCCGGGGAACAGTGGAAACACAGTCACTGATTGGCCCGTTTATTTTCTGATTTCTAATACACGCTCCCAATTGGCAGAAGTCCAGACTGTTGTGGGAAGGAACGGCAAGTGATTCACGCAACTGGATGGCCCAGCCAGGCTAGCTCAGAACAGCACCTAACTTCATCAACAGTACATATAGGGTCCTAGCCATAGCACTAGCCACCAAACATCTTTTTAACTTTGCCTAATTTCTTTAGCAAAGAGACTAAACACAACTCACCTACTCTCTTTCAGCAGTTGCTTGTTTGTAGCGAGACCTCGGGCCAGTCGATTACGGACTGCCGCAAGGTGACACAGCTCAAGGAAGAACATTTATGATCTTAATCATTTCCTTGAAGTTATAATCACCATAATAATTTTGCACTGTAGTCGCGGTAGTTCTTCTGCCTTAGAGTCTTGGTCTGATAGCATTTCCATGAAGAAATGATCATAAATGTTCTTCCTTGAGCTGGGTCACCCCACAGCAGTCTGTAATGGACTGGCCTGAGGTCTCGCTACAAACAAGTGGCTGCTGGAAGTAGGTGAGTTGTGTTTAGTCTCTTTGCTAAAGAAATTAGGCAAAGTTAAAAAGATGTTTGGTGGCTAGTGCTATGGCTAGGACCCTATATGTACTGTTGATGAAGTTAGGTGCATTATTTGTGGCTATAGAGTGGCATTTTGGTTGAGGTTTGTTGATAGCTCCTCAGACTGCTGTGTATTGCTATCGTGCAGTCGTTACTAAAGTTGGTATAACTAGAGAAGCAAGCCGTCAGCAACATCTATCTATCGAGGGGGTGTCTAACTCGGTGTTGCAGTGTGTTTGATCCTAAATTAATTTTATGCTGGAATATCCCTTTAAGAGTCCTGAGGTTGGTACTTTTGCAGCTAATTTGAGGTGGTGGCTTGTCACTTTTTCCTAGAACTGGTAAAGAATATGAATAACCTAAAATAAGTGCATATGTGTATTTAAGGGAAAATTCTTTTTGATATTCTTGTCTGTCTTCCAGGTGGTTACCAATGTCATTTGCAGAAGGGAACTTTCAAAAATGGAACATGTGCTCGTAACTTCTCTTATAGTTCTGGCTTGCACATCATTATCTTTGCCCTATGACTGTCTGGGGGTGGTTTTGGAGCTCAATGTAAGCACTTTTAAAAGAATCACTATGTGCAAACATTTGTTTTGATTAAGGAGCATTTAACAGTGTTCTTATCTACTATCCAGGGTGTCCTGAGTGCCACACCTTTGATCTTCATCATCCCATCTGCCTGCTTCATCAAACTCTCCCCTGGCAGAAAGTTACAGTGTGAAAATGTGCTTCCTTTCTTTTTGATTCTGATGGGCTTTTTTGTCATGATCACTGGTTTGATCATGATCGCCCTGTACCCTCAAGACTGCTCACACGGTGTGGAGATGTTCTACTGTCTACCAGACAATTTTTCCAGCACCGAACCACCACCCAGGAACGACCGTCTGTTTGGTTAACCTTTTTTTTTTAATTGACTGTAACACTGTGTGGCAAAAATGGATGCTTTATATGTTACCTCATGTGGTGTGATGTTGAAGTTTCCGTCATATTTCTTGTAAATAATAGTGTGCCTTAATATTTATTGTGGATTTTCCTCTTGGAGCAGGAGGGGAGTTGGTTGTTCCATCCCTGAACGCCAGGTGTCACTATAGACGAATAAAAGGAAACACAAAATAAGGACAGATGTTTTTGATACACGAGTTTTTTCTCCCCCTGATCGAGTGTATTTACTGTTTCTTTATGAAGATATGTCTGTGTTTTGGTGTAACTTTACATTTTCCTGCTCAAGATACAAACTTGGTGGCGGTTCTGTTGTGGTAAACGCCTCAGGAGCACCCTGAAAGGAAGGTAGCCTATACTGTAAAACAGAGACGCCCCTCTCTGACTGCTTAATGTTACGATGCAGCGTCTTGGATGTACAGAGAAAAGTTGGCAGCGTTGGTGTGTGTGCTGTCAGGGGCAAAATGATTTAGTCATGTGTGGTTGCGTGGTGTAAAGGAGGTGAAAAATACGTTACCACGATGGAATGGTTTGCGTAAAATGCGCAAAACACGGAACTCAAAGGCGGAATAATGAATCATATATCCAAACAAAATCTTTCTGAGGAACTCTGCGCGTAAAGTTACATCCGTGGAGACAGATGGAAGTGGGCAACTGCGTCGAAAATCAACGACATTCATGGTAAGACGTCATTTCTACATAGTTTTTTCCTAATTGCAATAAAAAGACGGCGACAAAAAAACGGTTCATATGACTGAAGGAGGGATGACCTCATGCGGGATTCGCCCATATTTCAGTATTTGCCAGTTTGCACCGCTTGAAAGCTGCAGCTTGGACTGTTATTTAGCAATACAGCATTTAGTATGTAAATCCTACCTAAAAATGAACTGTCCATTTTGTTTTTGTTGGACCAGTCCGGGGGATTTTGTTAAACCACTGAGTATAGTCATGGATGAACACGGATCCCAGCAACATCCACGGAGCTCTGGTTTGAGGTATGTGCAACTGTCATGTGGATTACCAGCTACCATATGTGTGTGATTTATTTATTAGTAACGGAGCAAGCTCATACAGAGATTATGAGAGTCTCTGGTGGAAAACATTGCCAAACTTCATGCTCCAAATTTTGTGTGAAAATTTAAATCATATACATCCAAGACTTTTTAAAACAGTTTTCACATTTTTTGTTGTATGCTTTAAGTACAAATATTAGAGTTCTAACAACAGTGTCTCATAATAAAAGCATAATAAGTGTACAGGATATAAAAACAGGTGCAGAAAAGGAATGCTGTTATATAATGGGCACAAAGGATGCAACCAAAATCAAGTTTGACTGGTCGACTGTACTTGCTGGCAGCAATACCATCCTGCACCAGCTGCTTTCTGCACAAACTGTTCAATGCAACCTTTGTAAAAATAATGCATTTGCAAAACCAACTTTCCAAAAAACATTCTTTCCACACAGTACATCTTGTGCAGTTGTTGCAGACGCTTCAACCTTTGACCTCTCCTCATTTCCTGCCCTCCCGAGTTTTTACTGAGAAATGGCCTTGTCCATATGCAAGGGTCATGGGAAGTATTTTGCAGGCAAAAACATTCACCCTCCTCTGCCTCAGCGATGAGCCCACGGGTCGTTTTTCTTGTGGAAACCATGCGTTCACCGGGCCTGAAACTGATATTCTATAAAATACTGATTCGTCATGTCTAATAGTCAAAGAGAATCACGGTAAAGGAGAGCACAGCGAGTGTATGACAGGATGGAATTTCCCATCAGTTTTCTGGTTCAGGGGCTCTTGGAGATGATGTCAGCTGGTTGTATTCCAATGGTTGGAATCATTAAAAGAAAATGGGAGTGAGTTTCCAGAGTAACTACTCACTCTTTTGGCATTCAGCAGAGACCTGCTGAGTTTTTGAGTTTTAAATAAGAGGTGAGATGGAGGATTTGATCAGATGATAGTTTCCACTGTAGTATTCCATGATTATCATGGAGTTTCCAGCCTAGTCTGCGTGCCGTAATTTCCATTTTAGTAAAAATAGCATCCAAACACATCATATATATAGCTGCTTTGTGTGACTTTGATTCATATTTCATAAGTATTGTGTAATGTGGGAGCACAGCCACACTCTCTGGCAGTGGAGAGTAGCAGACCACCTAAATCTCGCTGTGGTTTGACTGTTACTTGGAAAAGTAAACCACACTCTCCCATAGGCTGCTGGGGTGTGGGGAGAAGGCACATGTCGTCTGTCTTATTTGCGGTTTCCTTTATTTGGAGAAACTAAACCATTGCTCCCCACTTTTTCATATGCAGTGGCATATAAAGGCTTCAATAGACCCTCAAAGGCTATGCTACATTTGTTACAGAAACACTGCCAGACTGACTGGACTGGCTATTCTTCAAGCACAGACATCATTGGAAAAACAATTCTGAGGGCATTTTTTATGATGCTTTACCCAATAATAATGAGTTTTTCTTTTAATTGAAAGTCTTAAAGTGGGGTCTTTAATCTAGAAAGCAGTGCAGAGCTTGGATCTGGTCCTTGCTAATGGGACACACCTCAAAGCATGATCTCACATGGCTGCCTCACCTCAGGGCAGAATGTGGAATTAGTTAAGGTATCGTGAATCCCCACAGCTGTTTCCTGACATGCAGCCAGTCCAAGGGCACAGCTGCTCACATGAGTCTACAGATGAGAAATATGGCAAGAGAGAGTGGCCAAACTTATAAACATGAAGCAGGACGGCACGTGGAGTTGAGTCATAATGACAGTCGCTTGACTTATGACATAAACTGAGCATGTGAGCAACTTTGTGGTGCTTTGTGTCTGTTTTGGTGGCTTCTGCACACAAAGCAGAATGCATTAACTCTTATCTTACCCTGCCCTGCACAGGCAACTAAAATGTTCTGTTAAGACAGGTCTTATCCTGTCTTCTGCCTATGCAAGTTGGGTAATATAAAGGTTAAAAAGTTAGCTTAAATCAAATTAGAAGTTCTCGTTAGCCAGTGTAATATTAGGTTTAAGCTGGCTGTAGTTAATATGCAGTTTTAGTAAAAATCACCAAGTTAACTCCACAAATCAGTCTGTGAAAGGAGTCACACAGAAGCTGTTTAGCTGTTTACACACAGGGTTAGTATTGTCTGTAAGTGATAATGAATGGCTATGGTTGAGTGTCTCGTTTCTTTCATGGATTCTTCACAGAAAAGAAGAAAAGTCTGTAAGCAGAGATCTGCGTTTTAATAGAGGAAGTGAAGTAGTTTCAGCTTGTTGAAGTCTGGGCATCACTGATTAGTCATATATCTGCAGACTTTGGTGGTCAAAAAAAAAATGGTCATAATGGGAAGCAAAAGCAGCTGGAGTGCACTCTCCCATACTGGTGTCCATTGGTGGTTACCTGATGACCATTGATTGAATATACAGACATCTGTGTGCAGCTGACCAAGTGTGTCAACAAACCTTCCTGACCCTGTGCTGCAAAGACCAATCAGCATGTAGGTTTCTGACTAACAGTGGTTAAGAGGTTGTTGATAGAAGTAAGCCAGAGGGAAACTTTTGTTTATTTCTAGTGTCACTATTTACAGTCACTATGTCTACATGCACAGTTAAGTTAAAATCTGATCAGGGGATTTAACTGGACTACTGTCCTTGTCCCAGTTTGCATACACTGGAGCTAAAATCCAGTTATTAACAAAAGTGTGTCCACCACTGCTATGAAAGGTTGACATGCGTCTTTTCAGCCCATTACTACTGAGTCATCTCCTGGTTTGATGTATCCAAACAGTCAGTAAAATGCTTTAGCTAGAGGCTTACAGGAAGTACTGGCCAATACAATGAAAATACCCCAACTTGTACAGCTCTGTGCTGCTGGTTGGAAGGTTTTGTTTATAAACTGGCTTAATAGCAACACATCCATGCTATATAACCACAGGCTCAGAGCCTGGCATGCAAACACTGGAGTATGTGCAAAACACTGGGGCCAGTTTCAGTTTAATTTAGCCGTAAACATGAATGAGAAAATCAAACCCCAACCAACTTATCCAGATGTGTAAGTCCAACATGTTAATGTTGTCAGTTTCACTTTGGTAATAAATTGATAGTCTTGAGCAACAGGTGAACATACTGTGTGAAACTGAGACTCAGCACATCTGAGATGCACCTGGACATTTCTAGATTGGTGAATTTCTTCACTTTTGATCTGAAGTTGCTCCTGAAATAATGCACTGTATAGTAATTTCACGCCAACCATGATTGGCCAGGATTGACCTTCATTCCTGTTGGCAAACGTCTTCCTCAGATAATAGCTAAAGGTCTTGAGATTGTTGATTACCAAATGTTGCTCAATCTCTGTGACCAGATAAATGAACATTTTTCTGTGGGCTGTCTTCTTCCATGGTACTAAAAAGAGACTAAACAGCAAAAATGAGCAATTTTAAAGAAAGTTTTCTAATATTTAGGAGCTTTATTTTTCATCCAGATATTTGTTCATCCTTAATGAGACCTTCAACTCCTTCATACTTGATAATAATTCAAAACTCCTTAGGCATTATGGCCTCTGTTCGCTACAAAAGACAAGATCACATCTCAGCCCCTATGAGTACACTTAAGCACAACAGTGCTTTTCCTCCCCCTCAGAATCATCCCAGGAGACAAGGAGGTTTTCTTCACTGGAGAAAGTATATGATTTAGTCTGCAGCATGCTGCCCTCAGAAAGCCCACTCTGATCTTCTGTGCAACATACAGGATGTCATTCAAAGACATCCACCCACTAGATGTAATAAACCAAGAGGAAAATCAGCATTAAGGCCTCAGGAGCTTGTTGTTGCAACAGGCTGGTATGTCTTTTGAATCCTCAGACTTTAAATCTCATGGATGCTTTCTGCCTCGCAGGGCTAAAACAGACAAAATGGCAAACGTCCAGAGAAGAGGGAAGAATGGGTCGTCTTTGTTATCACACGAGCCAACGCAATGACCGTAAATACCAGTGAATACTTCTCACTGCACAGCCATTAAAATGACACACACTTGGTTTGAACTCAGAATTTGAATCTTTACACAAGTCTTTGTGGCGCTCTTTCTTCATGTTACTTATATTGTTGTGATCAGCACAACAACATAAGCAGTTTAAGCAGATTTTCTGCACAGATCTAGTCTAGACTCATACTTGTACCCCCTTTGTTCCTGTTTTTCACTCTTCCAGAGCATAACAGTCTGAAGCCTCCCACTCTCAGTCTGTGTGACATTCACAATGACCCGACATGAATAAGTCCTTTGTGCACCCTGACCAGGAACTTTTACTTATCTCCAATAACATTCAAACTTTTTATGTGGCAAAGAAACAAATTGCTTTGATTTGCCTGACCTTTACTATCAGTGTTTGGGTTGTTGGGATGAGATATCAATCGGAAAAAGCCTCACAGGTCATGACTGGCATTGTTTGAGTTCACCGCAGGTCCAGTAAACAGCAATTATTTCATCCTGGATAAACACAAATCCGACATTGTGACAAGAAAAGCAGCTAAAAACCTAAAAATACAATACTTCTTTAGATACGTTGGTTTTCATTGTTTTATCCATTGATACGTGTGCTTTCTAGATTCTGTCGCCCTTTTTACACACAAACTCCTGATATTTACAAGATGCTTATGGACTTTAAGGCCCTGTTTGTAATGAATGAAATGGTAAGTATATAACACTTACATCCTCTAGTTTGTTGGTCAATTTGAGGGTTGATGAGCTACCGCCAGACCAAGCTCTATTAAAAACACACACAAAAGTAGCAGATAGTGACTGACATGTGAGCTAAACTTCTGTTGCCTTTCATAAGGAAAGATCAATGCAGTAGAGACAAAACACAACGATAAAATAACAGAGAAATAGGATTTAAGACAACTGTAATATAGCTGAAAAATAGGATTTCAGAGAAGAGCTGTTGAAGAAAATATGTAGATAAAGAAGGGTTAAAACTTTGTGTTCACACATGCAGCTCACTTATAAAACATCAAGACATTTTTAAGAGTTTGGTGCATGTGTGAAAAGGGTTTGTGTTGAATCAGAGCTGAAGCCAAATAAAGTTTCTGTCTCTAAGTCAAACACAGCTTCATTAATTAGGTATAAGAGGTGTAGTCCCTGTTTTTCCTTTTTGACATCTGTCATGGTGATTTAGCAAAGGCTTTTGAGTGTTTTCTTGACACTTCATCAGACATATAAATGTTTTCATTCCCTCTGTAGTCTTTGGTTTAAGAACTGGTTAGTCAACTCCAATTAGACTGTCTACAGGGGCCTCACAAGTGTACCAAAATGTCCTTCTGTTGGAGTGAACAAGAGGTGATCCAGTCCACTACAAAGATTGAATTTACCGTATCAACCTGCTCTAGCACTGTGAAGGGTTCAAGAGGGAATATCGTCTTTGTGCTCCGTATTTGAAAATATGCATTTCCTATAACAATATAGTCAATAAGACGTACATCCATGTTTTTAGTGTTTAGAAATCCCCCCCAGAATGGTTCCAATTTGCTGCTGAGCTTTAAAGTTTAGTTCAGAAGTACAACAGAAGTTGACACGTTAAACTTCACCCAAGTTAATGTTCAGTACTTTTGAGAGTTCTTAGGTTTGAGAGAAAGTCTTCTGGAGGTGCTAAAGCTCCTCCTCCTCATTCAAAGATCAGGACAGTTGAGTTTTCTTGCCTGCAGACTGTGTAGTAGGAAAGGGTGTAACCCTGGTGACATTTAGTTGAAGTCGACTTGTTCTTTTTCGAGGCTTTGAGGGTTGTGCAATGCTGAATATTTTGTTTACACTCACATGAAATAAGACACAGACTGTGCCTGTTTTAGTGCCGCAGCAGTGTGCGAGTACTCACTTTAGAAAACCACAGTTCATGTGATCACTGTGAAAGAGGGGAAGCATGCTGCTGTGTCTTTGAAAGATGCCCCGCTGCAGACAATGGTGCATTGTTTCAAATGAAAGGACACAGTGTCATAGTTGTAATTATGACACAAGGGGGAGCATGCTCTCTTTCTCCGTCTGTGTTATTTCACAGAAATGTTAAAAAAAGAGCATGTTCAGTCAGGTCGCCAGAGGTTAGCATGATTATGACCTTATCTTCTCTGTGCATGTTTTCAGGTTGTGTTGGGCTATTGTGCATTACTATAAATACTATATTGTGCATTACTATAAATACTATATTGTGCACAACTCAATCCGCCTCTATACGGGCTTATTCAACCCAGGGTGATATATGGGTGCATAAACAAAGACTAGAAACATGTATTTTGTTAGATGCATTATGTTGAGTTCCCCCTTTTTTCTTCTCTCCACAGTAGTGACTTTGAATCAATGAGATTCTGGAGTAAAACTGTTTGAGCAGCTGAATACAGAACGACGGCCTCTCCCCCATTCAAATCTCAAATCTTTATTATCTAATTGTCCGGTTGAATTGGGATCATTCATGATGATTCCTGGCTCCTCCCTGTGATGGAGAGCGCTGTGGGAAAAAAGTTTTTTTGTTTATCCTGCAATAATAAACTGTACACATAGGAAGTGGGAAGTTCTCACAGAGTCCCCACGCTCTCCTTCTGCCTAATCTCTTTCCATCCCGCTTTGCTCATGGAGTAATGGCCTTTCCAGACCCTCTTTAAAAAGCTTGTGTTTACTGTGAGTGACCTCTCACCAAATTACCAGCTGTGGCTCTGGCTCTGTGTTTTGTCTTTCCTCAGGGACCTCCCTCCTCTCCTCTCCTACTCCCCCTATCTCTGTATCTGACTCTTTAACTCCGCCCCTCTAGCCGGCTCCTACACACTCACATCTCCATTCACCACTTCACGTTCTTATCATTGGACTGTGGTGGATTGTAGTGTTTATAGAATAGGATGCACATTTTTAAGTGACAGTGAAGAGCTGCTGATAACGACCTAAAGTCAGATTTATTGTGTCTGTACCAGACAGTGTGCAGTTCCTTTTTAAAACTCTCACAATGTATCACACACTGTCATTAAATCTGCTGAAGATGAAGTTTTAACTACAGGCTAAAGGGTTTAATAAAAGAAGTTAAACTCTGCTGATTTTATCTATGCCAGAAGCGAGGGTCACAGCTTCCTGCCACTGGTTGAAAATTCTCATGCAAACTTTGACTCCCTTCAAGAAAAGAAAGAAAGAAAGACGCAAAACCAAAAAGGTCTATTCTGTAAAATTTATACTTAATGCTTCTCAAATAAGTTTTTAGTTGATTGTGAAACAGACTGAAATAATTACTGATGCTTTATAACATACAAACACAGACAAAATCATCAGCTACAAGGTTGAGAATGTCTATAAAGTAATCATTAATGTCAGTAACTGCTGCTGCAGGATGGATGTCATAAACAGGCGAATTTCATTAAGTTAGAAGGTCATGAAAAAGTTGATTTTTACTGTTTTATTCATAAAGTTAAATTTTCATTTACGCTCATATTCATAGCATGTTAAGCTAAATACTCCAGGTCTGTTTTTGTTTTAGTTTTGGTGACTTTGGCTACAAGCTTACAAAAATCCTCTACCACATAGGATTTAAAAATTTCCTAAAATCCATCATTAAAAGGAGTCAAAATATACAGTACAGTGAGTTACAACAATGGGGCAACCTTCAGTCTTGAGAAGTAAGGTTGTTGCAGAAGTGCTTAAAATTGCAGTTCTCCGAGTGTCCACTTGAGGCTGTCTGCAGATGCACCAAAAGTCACTTAGCCCATCGAGCCAAAAAAGCCTGTTTTTAGAGCACAAATGAACAACAGTTTTTTGAAAGTTATTCAGGGTACAAGCAAATCAGAGGCACAGCTGACTTGAGTTACATTGTTAACATTTGCAAGGAGGCTAAAAACCCACCTGAATGTTATATAGAGTCAGCATTACAGCAGAGGTTCACATCTGAGTTTATTCCTGTCAGAAATCAGAGTTTAGACATAAATATGACAAAGTCAGCATTGAGATTCAAGGTCCTGGTTTGTCCGAGGGGGGTGTTAAATACAAAACCAACTGAGATTACTTTCAGGAGCTTTAAGAACGTATGAATCACAGGGCACTACTGGTTAAATTAGTGTATGGCTTAGATACAGCCTCCCACCCTGACCTGCATGTCTCCCCCCGGGTGTAAAAATAAAGTTTGGAAATAGAAAGATTTGCATCTCATTGGCTAAATGATAAATTGTCCACTTTGCTGTTGTAGATTTAATGGCTTTTATTTATCATCTTTTGTAAAGTGTTGATTGATTTTTACATTGACAGCATCAGTGCAGCTGACACAGCTTGATCTCAGATTCAAGTGCTGACAGCTTACACTTAACACTCACATGAGGAACTTCAGGTTTGTGCTGACTTTGGGGACGCTAGTCAAACACTGAGTCTGACACCAGAACTCTCTAGCTAAGATGTCAGTATTTACATCAGTCTCTTTTCTTACCAGCTAAACTTTTCCTCAGGATCTCTAAAATAGTCTGACTTAAATTGAAATGAGTGATTGTAAAGTTGTGAAAGTGTGAAATCCTAACAATCTAAACAAAAGTCAAGTATTAATAGTGATAAGTGATGAATGTTAGGACATATAAAGCTGTTTGTTTTACAGATTCTCCAGAATCACTAACATTGTTTTTACACTCAGAGTAAGTCATCGGACATGATTAGGGAGTGAGTCAGTTCTGTGGAAATAAGGTGTGGTTTCAAGAAGTGTTTTTATAATGAAAAGCAAACACAGAACCTGATTAAATTAAGGAGTAGGAACAAGTCCAACTCTGTTTTAACTCTTTATTTTCTCTTTGACTTGATCAATCACATTATCAGCAGCATGCTTTGATGAACAGCTTATTCATGAATCAAACACACACTGTAGAAATTCAGCCTTTTTACTCCAGCCTCTGTCAGCTAGCAGCATTAGCACATGCTGCCCCAGTGCTCTCCTGGCCCCGCCCACAGGTTCAAGTCTACACAGGGAGGCAAAGCTGCTTACCTTCCAGCTCCTGACAGTGGGGGGAGTTCTACCCTCACACGGCGCGTCAGAGCTTTCAGACACGCGGCGAGGGTGCAGACAGGATTTTAGGTGAGGGGACACATTTCTGATGTCACAGCCTGGGCGTGGCTTTAAGGTGAGCCCTTTTTTGAAGCTGCGCCGGCTGAGGGTTTACTCTGTGTGACTATCCTCAAGGGAGATACACAAGCAGAATGGAAATAATTTGAGTGGAGGCAGCTGTAGGCGAGGAGGAGGTAAGAGAGTGGAATGAAGTGTTGGCAGAGGGAGGGGAAAAGCAGGTCTGTCACACCTGCTTTCCACATTTTGGGATCCTTTTTCTTTAAACTGTTACCGCGTTATCTTAAAAGCAGAACAGTTTCGTCCTGGACTTCCTCTTAAAAGTTTAAGGGACAATCTTTGGGTACAAAAAGTTTTATCTAACATCAATGTGTTTTGACTTGAAGTGGAGGGTGTGTGAACTTGCTGCAGCGTGGCATGTTTCAACCTGTATTTGACTGAGGCTACTGTAGCTAATAAACCACAGCTAGCAAAGTTGTGGGAGTGTTTTGGTCATTAGAGAAAAGAAATGTTAGTCTTGTTCCTAAAGATAATTGGGAGGGTTTTTCCTGAATGTGTGACTGAGCCTGAGACCACTTTGAAGAAATCTTTCTTTTCTTTGTACTTGAGCCCACTGTTCCCCAAAGGGACGTCCTGTTATACCCAGCAGCTGCTAAAATACCACAGGAGGCATTTTGGTTAATCCTTCTTGGAACCTCAAAGCAAAGTTAAATTTCTACTTTCATTTCTTCTCCAGGCTGTTCCCAGCTGTTCCCTGTAACCTTAGATACCTGAATAGATCCTTGTTGATCTGGTATAAAATAAATAGAAATGAATTATTAGTTTTTGGTAGAAGTGATGCCAGCTGAATGGCCCCCCTGATAATATGACAACCTTATTCAATTCATAAATTTTGCGTTACTTTTCATAAGGGACAGGATTTTTTTTAACCAAACTGACAAGCCATGATAACCTTGTCCTGATTGCTGATACTGACAATAATAACAATTAATTTTTTATATTGCTGTATTTCAGATATGAATAAAAAAGGCGTCTTGATCAAAGATGCATTTAAGGTAAGGTAAAGATATGCCTTATCCCCAAGGTGTGGGTCAAATGCTTGATTCTGATTGGTCAGATCTCCCTCTAAGGGTGGATGAGAAACCCCTGTCTCACCCTGTCTGGATTCTATTTTAAATAACCACCTGCTCACTAGTCATCATTAGTTTTATACATTCTAGCTTGAAAACTAAAACATCAAAGCTAAAATCTGTGATAACTCTTCAACTTGTATTTATTTCCCCTGCAAACTGAAGCTCTTCTGTTCTTGCAACACAGTCTTTATCATGTTGGAAGTTATCATCCAGCTACCAGATACCACATACAGTCAGACATGCAAGTGCACACAGGAAGGTGCTGCCAGCTTTGACGATACAAATCGCCAACTGCTTTCCCCCTCTGCTGCTCTGTTAGTACCTGAGAGGGAGGATCAGAGGTGAAATGACCTCAACCCATTACTCTTTTGGTTTTTACACATTGCAGACAAGGTGTAACAGCATGGCAGTATGAAAGTGCCGTCTCACCTTGGGGAGTGTGTGTGTGTGTGTGTGTGTGTGTGTGTGTGTGTGTGTGTGTGTGTGTGTGTGTGTGTGTGTGTGTGTGTGTGTGTGTGTGTGTGTGTGTGTGTGTAGGGATCACATAATGCAGGGCAGGTAGGGATACGTCTGCAAAGTAGACTGAAGAGACTGTTCTGAGTATGCCATTTACATAATCCTTGAACTCTTATTCCTGAAAGAAGCGGGTAACTTTTATTGGTTGTTTCCATTAGATAGAATGCTAATATTGAATAATCCACAATATTCATAAAATCTGTCTTTTTTCACAAAATGAAGTTTTAAAAAAATATATAGAGAGTAGTGTCTGGTTGCCAAAGCAATCTTTGGTTTTATTTGTCATTTTTCTGGAGGGTTAGCAGTTAAAATTAGACTAGAATAGAAAAACAGGATTTCTCCTCCACTGACTCATGTTATCTGCATTTCCCTTCAGATTTAAGGCACATCACCTGTTTTTAATAATTTCACAAGTTCACAACACAAATGAGAAGCTGCCGTCAAACAAAGAGACTCTGTTGAGCCCAAAAACATAGCATGCAGTTTTTTATTTGTCACAGATTGTGCATATTTGTCCCAGAGTCTGTCTATTTACACTCCTCCAGTCCAGGAGATTAATGCATGATGAGACATAACAAATGGGACAGTGACAGCAGACCTGTTATTTCCTGGTTGCCTGTGATCGTGTCTGTCAGGCATGTCCTCTGCTATTGAAGTGGTTTGTTTGTGATTGTCAGACCTCCCAGGAAAAACTGTGAGTGAGGCATCAGCACGGTCAGGCTTCAACACGTCTCGTCTCATTCAGCACAACATCCTTAGCCGGTGAGAAAACACAGGCCAAACAAACCCGTGTGTCTGTCACCTGTATGAGATACATTGATAAAATCACTGATGACACAGCTGTACACACTGAGACGACCTTGAACATGACACATAGCTACTGGGGATTGTTTTTGTACTTTTGTATAATTTCTATTTGGGGAATCCCTTTTATATAGCATGAGGTGCATAATCTTCCCAGAGCTGTATCAATTAAGTGGAGGTAGTTACAGCAGCCAGTTTAAGAGCATTTGTGGAAAGTTTAGACATGGTGCTGAATGATTAAATCCTGTTCTGTACACAGCCAAAGCCAAATGTAGGACTTTGTACCCTGTGGAAACAACACAGTAAGTGTTTTTATCAGCTGCATGTGTACAGTGGACTCATAGCATTCATGGTTATATTTGACAGTTCCAAACCAAATCATTAAAATCTGTATATTATTTCTTCTTCTGAGTGATAAGAATTTTTTCAGGCCTACTCTAGCACTGCAACTGGTACCTTTAGGAAATAGTTTGTTTTACTGCAGAGGTTTGGTTACTTCTCATAAATCAGCTCAGGAATTACCGTTACTGTTTGTACATTTATATACTTCTTTACATGAGGTGGAAATGTCAGTATTTTTAACCCTCTGTAGAAAGTAACCACTAGCACACAAAGTTTACTTGCAGACAAAGCTGATCACCTTGCATAGAGTTTTTCAGATTGCCATCTAGTCCTCTGTCTAAAATATGTGCACTGGGTATCATCAGCTACATCAGTGTCAAGCAGCAGCTAACGGCTTTAAAAACGAAACCAGTGCAGAATACAAAGAACTGCAGTGTCCTGAGTGTCCACTTGAGGCTGGCTGCAAAAGCCAACAAATCCCAGTTAACACCAAATTTAAAATGCTATTTTTTCACAGTATAATTAAATGGGTATGCAGCCTGGATCAAATACAGTGTTTGACATGTAGCTCCTTTATCTCTTTTTACAGTGTGCACAGGGTAAATTTAATCTATTTGAAATCAGTAGAAATTGAGAGTATTAATTAGATATGAATGCTTAGGAGCATAGCTAAGTTGATGGAAAGGTGGGAAATGGGTTCTCTAATCTCTCTAGGCAGAGACTGCTGTATATAGTGCCATTGGTTTTCAAAGAGGCAAGAAAAGACATCTTTTTGTCCACATTTAGACTGATGAAAAATTGAGTTGAACTGGGCCGCTGATAGTCTTGCAGTTTACCTTCCCCGCATGTAGAGACTATAGTTGCAGTGGTCATGTCCTCTCTCACTCTCTGCCCACTACATTTCCTGTCTCTCTTCAGCTGTCCTAAGAAAGAGAAAAAGACCCAAAATCACACCTTACAAACATAATCATAAAATAATTGCATTTCAGTAATGGAGACTACATCATTGGACTGTAAAACTAATATACAGTTTAGGGTCAGCATCAGGGGGTCTTTGTAACCTCTTAGAGTTACACAACTGAACTGCCTCAAAACACCTGTGTCTTATTATTTCTTTTTCTCTGGGAAATGTTTAAAATCCACCCTTTTACATTTTCTCTAAACCATCTTTTCAACATCACTTACTCCATATTGAACCAAAGTTATGATCATCGTGTAAAAACAAATAAGTTCGACTGCTGCTGAAAAGTTACAGTCAAAAAGTTCTGTCAGAATAATCATTTCTGTCCTTCTTTTACCTCTTTAAACAAACAATTGATTAAAATTGTGAAACAAATTGTGTCTTCTGACATGTTGATGCTGCAGTCATATTTCAGCCAGTCTGGACTAGTGGAGAACCAGGGCTTGGATACCAAGCCCTTACCAAAGGGGGTGTGGGTAATCTTTTTTTCTTTCATTTTCTCAAACTAAAGTAGTCAGCTTCTATAACAACAGCCTGAAATAAAGAGGGTTTTGTCAGGTTGGTATGTGTTTGGTGTTGGAAAATGGAAAAATGTTGTTCTTTCAGTCATTTTATTCAAGAAAAGTTGAAGGAATTTTTTTTCGCTCATACTTAATTCCATTCACTAGAATTTATATAAACTCCATAACAAGCTGACAGACTCAAACAGCTACACCAACCTGACCTGACAGGACTTCATTATGGTGTGTTGGTCTTGTATTCCTTCGTAACTGTGCATAGCCTTCAGCTTTGTTGGATTTCACTTTTCAGTTTGTAACTGAATTTACCATCTAATGAGTGAGGGGTAAAGTTTGTCAGCCTGCTGCTGTTTTGAAAACCAGGATGATGATTGCCTCAGGACCAAACCTGATGGTGGATTTGCGGTGCGTCACCAAAACAGTGAGCTGAAAGTGGTGACAAATCTCTGTAGACTTCTGCTTTGCATAAGTAGGTGTTAATCCTCGGTGTTAAATGTTATTCAATTCAGTAAGAGTGCTGTAGTACTCTGTGAAGACCTGTCACACACAACAATGAACAAGGTGGAGCTTTTGTGTTTCTTGGCCCATTTTTAGACATCTCATTGTCTCTTCATTTGTAATCTTTTGTCAGTCAGCATGTCAACATTGTTTTCTTATGCAACATACCAAAATATCCGGGAGATTGATTTATTGCTTACTATTAATAGTAATAGTAGGATTTCTTTGAGTTCTGAGATCTGAACCAGAATTCAGTCCCCTACTTTGTTTGAAGTGTCAGCATCCTGGGATGAAGACTCAAGCTCTGACCTCACTCCATGAGACCTTTGCATACTTATAATTGACCTGTTTACCAAGTGAAAAAGCATATGTCACTGCATTACATGGACCTAAACCCCACAATTAGTTCTCACAGAGAGAAAACTATAGGCTAAGACCTGACGGAGCTAGCTTTAGGATGCTGACTGAGGTGTAAGAAGGTGTGTCGATCGGTTGAGTTATCTTTAACTAGATAATTTCTTTGTTTTCACATCAAGTGTCATCCATCTATCTAGCTGCTCAAGAGCTTTTCTGACTAACTTGTGGATTCGATGTTTGATTCAGGAATTCAAGTTAAAAAAGATAAGAGGAAGCGACCCCGGGGGTCCACAGGAAAGAGCTGTGCAGTTCAACTCTCTTGCAGGGTTCATTTGGCATCTAGTCCTTTCAGTGTATTTTATCAAGATTGTTTCAAGTGTGTTTTTGTCACGCACACCAGAGCAGAGTGAACAAATAATAAACAGTTCACAGATTTTGTGTTCGATGATGAACCGATAAACGGTTTAGTCACGCGGCTTCATGCTTGTTTGTTTTTTCTGCTGCTACCTCAGATCCTTTTGCATTTCAAATACTTATGTACCCCGCTGGATAACTTCATAAGTTAAAATCACACTGAACAGTATACATTCATAGATTTCAGAGATTTCTGCGCTCGCTGGTGGAAAAACAGACACATACATGGGGAAGTCAGTCTGATATTTGTGCCTTCAGCTTTACCCAAGCCTGTTACTCATCATCAACAAATCATGGATCATTATGGTGTGTTTGTGATCGATTGTAATATTGAAGTTGTCTCTGTTTAATGCAAGAAAATTGGCACTAACTGTAAAGGCATGATACTTAGTCACCATTTTTTTAAGGTACCTGGACAATAATGTTTTTTTTTTCTTCTATTGAACATTTGTAAACAGTACCAGTTACCAGTATTTGATCATCTAAAACAATCACAATCTCTCAAGACCACGCCTCTGAGCCTTAGCTGCAGCCATAACAATGGTGTTTATGTGTTTATGTGTTAGTGTACGTCTTGTCTTTGTGCGATCGTGTTTAAGGACAGCCGCCCCCATAGCAAGACTAATAATCCTTTGCTAGACGTGCCCCAGTGGAGCCAGTGACCTTGCATTGCTGAGATTCCTCTGTTTGAATAAGCAGTGCCCCCACGTGAGACTTTACAGGCTATAATTCAGGACTTTGTGTCTGCAGGAGTCTGTTATATCTGCGCGCTGACTGAATGATGTGGCACTTGAACGTCTCTGAAGCTATTGATTTATCAGCCGGCTGAACATCTTGATGGTATTTGAGCAGAGTTGTGTTTGCAGCTTTTCAGAAAACAAGGAATGACAAATAAAATGAGTTTTACAGTCTTGTTGTGACAATTGGATTTTTGTTTTCATATTTACAGACAGGTTTGTTTAGTTCACCTCAACAGCAGCTTTTTTCGGGGTGTGTGTAACTGTCAGATTACTGTCTATCAGCCCTCTCACACTGCATTGACACATTTTGAAGGAATGTGGAGCTTAAATAAACACACTTAAAGCACTGAAATGGGTTTGTCATGGTTAGGCTAATGCATAGGGTGTTGCCTCTTTACTGAAAAGAACCTACTCCTCACTATGAAACAGTTTCACCACAAAGTATGCGACAAAACAAGGCCTGTACAGCAACAGCAGCTGTGTCTTTATATCGTGTCTAATAATCAGTCTTTCTCACATGTCTGTCCGGTCAATTCTTCAGGCTGAATGAGTAAATCTGTTCACTTGGTTGTCTTGTGACTAGTTTGCAAAGTGGCCTCGAGCTCTTTCATGTAAAAGCCTCACTGCTTTCTATAACCTGAGGAAGAAAGGATTCCTTTCATGCTGTCTGCTGCCCTTTGATTTTCAGTGAGATTATTATCTGAGGCACAATCTGAAAAGTTTTCAGAAAAATGCACTCTTATACTTCTTAGACAGGATCTATTCCCAGTCAACTCCAAAGTGTCCATTTTGGTGGTGCCAGTTTTCACAAAAGGTCAATAAATTACACCTTCTTGTCCAACTACAGGGTGTCGACCAAAAGCAAAGCACCAACCCCGCCAGGACTAAAGAAGTTGGATTCCCCAGGTTTCTCCCAGTGGTACCCAGGAAACCCTCATCTAACCATGGAGCAGAAGGAGAACCTTATTGATAAAGAACTCTCCCTGGTTGTGGTTCTGCCTGGAGGAGTGGAAAAGATGACCACAGTCCATGGAAGGTACATTTAACCCACTGAATACAGATCATAAACTCACTCTATTGACGTGTAAAGTTAAAAATACATGACTGCAGACGATTGAAGAGAATTGTGCAGAAGCAGCTCAGCACTGATATTACACTTGAATTAGGAAGCAAAGTCTCAGGCTTATAAAAGGATCTGGCAGGGCTGGGGGACATGGGAAAAAGTCTATATATTTTTTTCATATCAGTGGATATTAATATATATATCATGATATAAAAATTGAATTTAACAGTGCTTATTGGTAGCATGTCTTTTGGAGTACAATAAGCTACTGAATCTGTCAGGTCTTTGTGTCTTTTTACGTTTTGTCGTACAGCTTTGCACTAGGGAAAGCGGACTAAATGTTACGGCTGCACAGGCACCATGGGCTCCTTTCTCCGCTCAGGGTTTGTAACCTTTTACATTGTGCGTGCTCTGCCGCGTGACACTGTTTCAGGTGATGATAAAGATTTGAGGTATTCCCCGACTTTGGTAGAACATTTGCAGTGCACATTACTCTGCTTCATGTCAGGCCTCAAAAAACCAAAATACCTCCACACCACCGATGTTTTCATGCCAGTGTTGTTGACGATGTCATCATCTGTTGAGCCTTCATCTGCATTTCTGCCGGGGGTGGCACTCATTTTCCTTTTTCTCACTTACAGCACTGTCGGCTTCACCTGTTAAAGAGCTATGGTTGCGTGTAGCTGCAGCCTGCTACTACGCAGTTGTTTTGCTACTTGGTTCTAATTCAGCACATGATTGTTTCAGCACGAAGCGGACCCAGAGCAACTCCCCTTTTCATTGTCTTTTTGTATAGTCTATCAAAACATGGCAGAATGCAGACTATCAAAAAGCAAATTGACCATGTTTCATGTTGATATTGAGGGAACTTAATTTTAGATGTATATTATTATCGTTTTATCGCCCAGCCCTAGGATCTGTTGAACTGCAAAAATCAGCCTGTTCACTTGAGGCTGACCCCAAAAACTGAGCTGCATTTTAAAGCTCCTGTGAGGAGTTTTTGGCAGGTTATGATACCAGCTTGAAAGTAATATTAAATGCTTTTCCTGACCTGACCGAGAGCCATGATAGTGAGAGTACCAGCTGATTGGAGCCATCAAACTTGATAAATTTAACACAGTTGAAGAGGACACCGTGTGGGCTAAGTCCCTCTGTCCTTCTAAGTCATGAATTAAAACAACCCTCTGTAAGACTGATGTCAGGCTGCAGTAAGTCATCAGATGAAGTGCAGTTCCAGTAAGATTGTGTCAGATAGGTGGAGCTGCTAAAAGTTTGTCAAACAGGACAAAACTGATTGCATTACGACATTTCTCTCTTGTCTGATGATACGAGCGAGGATCACTGGACTTTTTATGATTTGTGGATGTGTCTACTCTGAATGTAACAACGAATGAAGGACAAACACCAATCTGTCTGCTCAGACAGCCCTGAACCATCTAATCAGACCAGCATGTGTCAACACTCCTCCATGTCAAAGTTTTTTAGAGCAAGGTCTGTGTGTCCGTCTGTGTGCTTGCCCTCTCACAAATCTCAAACTTTTCATGGAGGGAGTTTATTTAAGATATCATTATCCTCCTCACAATACTCACAGTTTATAAACACTCTTTATTCTCTGTCTTTTGCACCTTGGCCCCTTGAGAAATCACTCAGTCCGATCTGTTATGAAAGAATTAAGCACTGAATTCTTCACCATCTTTTCTCCCTCTAAAGCTGTTTTAAGTGCCTGCACAACAAAGTTCACACGTTATTCTGGTTAAGTGTAAAAAATAATCTGTAAACCACTTTAGAGTGTCAGCAAAGCTTTATGCTGCCTCTCCTGCTACTGTAAATGACTGTAAATGTGCTGTATGTCTTGCTTCGTCGTCCTAACCACATTCATTTTGAATCAGTGAAAGGTCTGAAAATTAATAAACAACTACTGAGATAATACATTCAGGTCACTTTTGGAGGGAAACATGGCCAACAGTGCCTGAAAGCTGCTACAGCCTTTTTATTATGTGATAAAACAGCCTGAAAATGATTCTGTCACCTCTATTTGATCTACAAAAACAAACAAGAACATTATTTGTAAGTACAAAGTGAATTTTGTGTGTAGTTGTAAATAAGTCGCGAAACTGGAGCTGTGACGTGTGCATCAGACATAGCAAGAAACTGTACACTGCTTAATATGGGATATTTCTTATTTCACCTCTTCTGTGGATATTTTGTTTACCTTCTATAACAATAATCGTTAACAGAGAAATTTTTACCTAAATAATTTAAGTCATCCAGAATATAAACTGCACCTGTAAATAAGACAGTTTGTTTGGGGGAAAACAAGCATAAAAACTGTGCTCCTGAGTGAAGACCTTCATTGCTTTCCGAAACAGTTTCTATGTGGATGTCCAGCTCTTTTTTATATCTGTTATCACCACCCTGTCTATGTTAGCATTGACAGTGAGGTATTGACCCCAAACCACTTGCAGAGCTTCCATCACAAATTAAAGTCCTTATAATCAAACTAACCCTCCATAAGGTTTATTTACTTAACAGAGTATCACATGGTAACACACAACAACCACAAGACAACAACATCACAGTACAAGCACATGACAGTGACAGAGCACCAATCGTACAATGACATACAGTAGCAGCAGAAAGCAGGATAGACAGCACCAATGGGCAATAATAAAACTATTGCACAACCCCGATCCTTCAGAAAAATATACAGTACAACACAGAATACAAGAGTAAGATAATAAACAGCTGTCTGCTCTTACTTTTGTATTCTGTGTTGTACTTGTACAAGGGAGAAAATAATAAGGGAAAAAAGCATTCAGAAGTGACGTCACTCTGCTGGTCTGTGAGTTCAGCAGGCTTTGCACATCAAGGCGGGTGATTGCTTCTTCTTACCCCATCTCCTGGATAAAATACTGCAGCACAGCTGAATACCTCTCTCTGTATTTAATTCTGATGCACTGATATATAGTATGTAGGCGGTGTTTAAAGTGTGTCTCAAACACAGTATTTTACTGTACTTGTGAAAAAAATGAAAAAGCATCATCAACAAGTAATCAAATTAAAGCTCCTGTAAGGAACTTTCAGTTTGTGCCAATGTGGTGTCTCTGCTAAATTTGTCCTCTACATGCTTAAAGAGAGTCTTCTGCTGACACTTAATGGTAAAATGAATCACTAGCTATTAATATTTTATGCAATAAACTGTTTTCTTTAGCTGCTAGGCTGGAACCTTTCCCCTTGCACCCATTATGAGCATTAAAAATAAAAAAAAATGAAAATCCTCTTGTCGCTGATGGTCTTTTTTTGCATTGGTTTATCAGAAAAGAAGGCATTAACATGAATTTCAACAGATTTCATAAATTAAAAAACAAACAAAAGAAAAAAACACTGGAGCTTTAAAGTACATCATGAATCGGTGAGGTTATTTTCAGGTCAGTTTTAAAAAAAAAGGGGTTTAAATTCAGATCAAACAGCTTCAATAGAAACCTCAGCGTGCAATAAACCATATTATTATTTATATTCTGTACACATGTAAATAGGACTCATGTACATATCTTTTTCTTAACTTAACCCTTAGTTTCTCATCCTTTAATTTCTCTTTGTACATCTGTATGCTGCCGTAAATTTGGAATTTCCCCCTGTGGGACTAATATCTTATCTTATCTCTCTCATTTTTGTTTTATTTGGTTTTCTGTGTTTTTTAGCAAACCCCTCATGGATCTGTTAGTGACACTTTGTGCAAAATACCACCTAAACCCGTCCAGCCATACATTAGAACTGGTGACCTCCAATAGGAAGAAGACCAAACTCAAGCCCAACGCTCTTATAGGAACTTTGGATGCTGAGAAGATCCTGCTGAAACCGAAAGGGGAGGACAAAAACAAGAGAGCTGTCCCTCAGATGCCCGAGGTAAAGCGAACGCACATAATGAACTCATCGTGCTGAGCAAACAGATCTTTTCTAAGGGGGCACTTTCTCTGTCTACAGGCAACAGTTCGGATGGTGATCAACTACAAAAAGACCCAGAAAACGATACTGCGAGTCAGTCCCCGAGTCCCCCTGTTGGACCATTTGCCAGCTATCTGTGAGAAATGTGAATTTGACGTGGAGTCAACAGTTCTTCTCAGAGATGTCCACTCATTAGCCCCTTTGGACATGTCCCACTCTCTGAATGATTATGCAATAAGAGAGGTTTATGCAAGAGACACAAGAGGTGAACGAGTAGAACATACCGCCTATAGATTGTACAGACGTTTGCATATTGATCACGGAGTGTGTATTGTCTTTTTTTATTCCTGCAGGACCCGCCTCCCCTGTTTACCCTGCCTCTCCAACTCGCACAGGTACTTGAGCCTGTAAATTAAATGATAAGTTAAAACCAAGTTGCTGTTTCCATGTCTGTTTATGTTCAATTTTAAAATGATTATTTCTAGGGTCAGTGATGCCTGGAAAAGACAAAACCCAAAAAGAGGAAGAAAACAAAGGCCTCTTCAGTTTGTTCAGAAGAAGCAAGAAAAAATCCGGCCAGGTGAAGCTGGATTTTGATGATTATGTAGAGGTGTATCAGAAGGTAGCTTTAAATGTTCAGAGGGAGGTTTGTTTACTTTGGTTTGCCATTGGTTGACGTGCACTGTGTTGATTCGGGAGCAGGCCTCTTATCATGTTCTGATTGGATGTTTGCTCTTTAAAGGCGACCACAGTCAGCGCCCCATCTTCTCCTGTGCTTGTGAGCAAGCCACGACCTCTCAGCATGGCCTTACCCAGCTCTAATTCGTCCATGGTCGGTTCACCTTCAATACACAGTGACGTGCCAAAAAAGAGACGGGCACCACAACCGCCAATCCTCGTGTCTCAGAGCTGCTCATCAGACGTCAGCACCCGTCGGAGGCTTTACTCTGAACCTAACACCAAACTGGACTATGATCAGGTGAGCGGACAAGTTAGCATTACTCAGACTGTATGAATGGCAGAATTATAAGCTGACTGATTCCTTCTTCATTTTTTTTTTAATTCTGTGTACACAGATGTCTGGTTTGAGTCGGGGGTCTTCAGCAGAATCTTCATTAAAGAGAACTAAACGGAAAGCTCCTCCACCCCCCACGTCCCCAATTGCTGTCGTCCAGGAAAAAGTTCCCCTCGAGGAGAACTTGTCAGGTAAGTCTTAACATTTCGGGAACTTCATGAGCTTTCATACAGGTCTTTTGTTTCATTGCTGCTTCAAATGAGAAAAATTAAACACACTAATATTTAGACGTGTACTTTGGCCTCAGAGACAAAGACAGGTCTGTACTAACTTCCCTGCTGAAAGCTTTACACTTCATTCATTTGACTCTTACACCCCCTAGTGGCTGTTATTGTGTACTTACTCAGCTAGTAACACCAGACTCGACTTAAGAGGAGACATGGTTCTTGGAGCTTGTAAAAATATTCATTTAAATAGTGTAATCTGAATCCACATGTACTGCTCATATCATAAACCCATACTGCACTGTTTCTACCTTACATTTATGGATGTTTATTCTTTACCCCTGGAGCATCTTTTGCCAGTTCTTCTATCACTCTCATTTACAAACAACAGGGACTTGGCCTCTTTGTTTTAAAGGCACATTTATTCATTAAACATGGACATACAGTAATATTTAAGCATGTATAACTCCAAGATGTGTTTTTGGCAAAATGCTAATATGCAGCATATGTCCACAGAAGGCTTTTATAATTTGGTAAGATAGAAGAAAAGGAAAAAAAATCCCAAGTAAAGACATAGGAGTTATAAAAACAAGAATAAAGCAAAGCTAATCAAAATGTAGGTGTAAAAGTAGAATTAAGAGTCTGCAGACATGTATGCTCCTGTTTTAGATGTCAGAGCAGTGTTGTTTTTCTTTCAGCCAGGATTTAAATTCTTTTTTTTTAATTAATGTTGTACTTTCAGCTCAGTTTGCAAACAGTTCTAAAGTTTCACTCCTATAACAGAGAAAAAGTGTCCGTCCAAATGATGCTTTGCTCCTTGTAACACAATAAATTCTGTTTACTGAGGCCAGTGTGTTGACTCTACTGCCATCCCACTGTCTGGTAACAAATTCGTTAAACGCTGAAGCAGCCAGACCGTGCAAATTACAGAAGTGAGCAGAACGTTCAACTCCCAATCACCACACAGTCCATTTACAAGGTGGGAAAAAAAATATGTTGTGATAAATTATTGAAGAGTTTATGAGCCCAGGAAACATCTGGGGTTCAATAAGATGTTAAAAATCAAGATAAGAAAATGAGGGAACAGTGAAAAAAACCTTAAAGAGTCATCCAGAAAAAAAGAGAATAAGCTACTGTAAGGTGAAAAAAAGACCATAAAACTCACAATAAACCAGAAGAAAGCACTCAAACACTTAACAAAAAAAGTAAAAAACAAAAATATGTTATATGATATGTAAGGAAAAACATACACTATCTAACAAGCTGGTTGTTTCTGTATTCTAGATTCTTGTGTGTTTGTTTCTTGAGTTGAGTAAAATTAACTCACTTTGTTTTACTTTCCTGTATTTGTGTATACTCACTCGGGGCCCTCGCTATGTCGCCCTGTAAGGGAAGCTCCACCCTAACACACATATACAAAACAGTCTGAAGCTAAAACTGAGAATATGTTACCAAAGGTAAATTCAGAGATTTCTGGTGAGAGAGTTCAGATCGTCTTTTTACTTTTATAAACTGGACGACAAAAACACAAAGAAGAAAAACTTCCCTCCAAGTATGTGTGTGCCATTTTTGTGTAAAAGATCAGGCCACAAAATTATTACAATGATATTATTTTGAGTTGATTGAGTCTGGTCTTAGATTCAGTTGTGGCAACATCTGCTTGTGGTTATAACAACAACATTGTGACTCCAGACTTTTTACAGACTTTGCTTCTTGTTTCCTGTTTCTTTGTTTTTCCAGCAGTAGAAAATTAAGAAAAATATTCACAGAGATTAATGAGGTCCAAGAGTTCAGAAAAAAAACACACTTCTGTTAACCAGATTCACTCTTTTGTACTTTAACACATTTTGCAACAGCAATCCTCACATCACTGATGTTACAAACACCCTGCAGGACTTTATCTCTGATGCTTGGTTAACATTAGAGCTCCTCAGACACTGTTACAACTACTTTTCATTTTTCAAACACTGAGTTCACAGAGAAGCATCACTTCCATTTTTGTTTCCCCAACAGCTCAGTGTGGCCCTGCAGATGCAGAGATTAGAGGCTGAGAGCAGTGACAAGCTGCAGTTTTGTTTCAGTGGCCTTGAAATTCCTCCTGCCCTCAACTTTCCTGTGATGCATTTCCTTGAAGTCCTAAATTTAGATCTGAAAATGACAAAAAGGTCTCCAAGAAGTGGAGCTCATTCTTAGAAAGAAAGAAGAAAGTACTTAACTTTGTGTGACGCAGGGATTCATGTGAAAATGTTGGGTCCTTCTTTTTAACTCCCATCAAGGTATTGAAATATAAACCAAAATGACAACGTCTTGATGATGTTGTTTCACAGGAGGTGCTAACACACTGGAGGAGATTATGGAGCAAGAAGAGTCCACTGCCTCTGTAAAGTCTGCAACTGCTAGTGAAACCCAGGGAGAGGACAGCAGCCTCCACATGTCTGCTGATGTCTCTTTGCATTCCCCGTCCCCAGACACTGAGATACTGAGCACAACGGCCACAGAGGGCCATGGGGAAGATCAGAGTCCTGATCTGTCCTCAGATGGCAAGTACGAACTCCAGTGACACCTCAAACCCAAAAACGGAGTTTCTTTTTGTATTTGCAATACTCTGACTCTGTTTGCTTCATTTTTACAGTCAACAGCAGAGCACATTGAATGATTCTGCAACTCAGAGTGAAGTAAGGACTGATGATGGTGCTGAAATACCTGAAACAGCAGAGACAAGTGGGTTTACACTTCATTTATAGTGTCATTGTTTAAATCTGAGCTGAAGGAATATATATAAAATAGTTTCTTATATATTGAACCCCAGTTCCAAATCATTTAAACCCTATATTTAAAAGACAAAAGTGCAGACAACAAATCAAATATAGAATCCCAGCAAAGCATAAAAAAAAGCTGTTGTCTCTGTCCCTGTTCTGTTTGGACAACAATAGAAAGAAAAAGGTGAATTTTGTTGAAAAAAAAATTATCCAGACTGATTAGGTTGATTAGCATCAAATTAGTGACATGACTGGGGAAGAAGTGTATGGAAGTAAATCTGTGCCATCTGATTTTGAATTTAAATTTCTATAGCTGAATTTTTTCTGCATCAAAATCAGACTTTGAATTTCAAAACCATAGAATTTCAAGCATGCATTTTTATTTCTGACACCAATTTTTTTCACAATGATGGAATAAATTTGGTGTAAAAAAAAAAACAGTCCCTCAAAATATTGGTTTGGTGAAAATTCGACTAAAAAAAACAGTGTAAAAAAAAAAATTAACAAAAAAAATTTAAGTGTCAAATATTTCAGTGTAAAAGAGACAGACTCAACATCCGGGTTATCCGGGAGAAGCAATCGATTGGATTCAGTCTTCCACTGGGGTCTGTGCCACATGACCAATCTAGCATTAAGGGATTTGCTGGACGATGGATGATTGACCCAGGAATTAATTGCTTCTCCCTGGTTACTCGGATGTTGAGTCGGTCTCTTTTACACTGAATTTTTTTTTTGCACAGAATTACTTGACACTGGATTTTTTCACAGTGTTTTTTGGTCGATTTTTAACTAAACTAATATTTTTAATAGACCATTTTTTTACACTGAATTTATTTCATCATTGTGGAAAAAAAAATTGGTGTCAGAAATAAAAATGCGTGCTTGAAATTTGATGGTTTTGAAATTCAAAGTCTGATTTTGATACGGAAAAAAAAATCAGCTTTAGAAATTCAAAATCAGATGGCACAGATTTACTTCCATAAAAGTGCCCTAAGAAGTGAGGTGGATAAGAGGTGGATCAACGCTCTGAGACACTGCATATGCTAGCTATTAAACAACTTCAGAATGATGTGTAAAACTGTGAAGAATTTGGAGACTTTCTCATCTACATCAACAAATTATCATTAAAAGATACAGAGGGGGAAAAAACACTGGATAGCTGGGATTTTCCAACCCTCAGGCTGCACTGCATCAAAAACGAACATGACTGTGTTGTGGAAACCTCGTCATTGACTCAAAATTATTTCAATAAATCTGTGTTATGGTGGCAAACTGTCCTGTGGTAAGACAATCCAGAATTTGTCAAGCTTTGTGGAAATGATGGACGCTGCATCCTCCGCTTTTAAGAGCATCCTTGGTGGTGTGGCGTCAAGACAATCTATCCCCTCTTTATTAAATATGGAGTGAGCATCAAATTCAAAATGAGCATGTATCTCACAAAATAAACCATGATATATGGTCTCAGTACTAGTTTTAACTAAATATAGGGTTTTAATGATACAGAAACCATCAGATTCTGTTTTCATCAATACAATAAACAATATCACAGCGTTTCTGGGACTGGAGTTGTATCATAAATCTCAGTGTGACTTTCACTGTGCTAAATTTGTGTTTTCTTGCTTCACATGTATTTCTCTCACAAAAATGATCTTTATTTCCACAGATAATACTCCATGTCAAGTTGAAAATGTAATCCAGCAGCAAATCTGTGAAGAGTCAAAACCTGACGGTGCTGAAGTTGAGAGCAGCTCTGTTCCCAGCAGCCCTCTTCCACCTCTGACGCAGGATTCAGAAGCACAGACGACTGTTCAAGCAAACACTGAAACCCCCGGGGAGCCGGCTAACAGATTGGAGACTCCGATCACCAATAGCACATCACGCCCGGCTGGAGAGGACGCTGAAGTGCAAACAGATTTCACACTGCAACCTGTGCTTCCACAACAGCCTACGGACCAAGTTCCTCCCTCAGCTGACTTGGAAGGATCAGGAAAGAAAGATATGGCCACTTTGACAGAGGAACTGGACCTTAAACCTTCCTTATCCCACACCTCTGAGACCTCATCATGCCAAGACTTGCCACCAAGTGCCCCTGCTGCAATAAAATCCCCGTCTATTTATGCAACAAACTCTGAGCCAAAGCCCAAGCCTTCCAATGAGCTGACAAGAGACTACATCCCAAAGGTGGGCATGACGACGTATACAATCGTGCCTCAGAAATCTGTGGAAAAACTCAGATATTTTGAGGTTGCACTGACACTGGAGGCGCCTGCCTCTGTTCAAGATGGACCTGATATTGGCTCTCTTCAGCTGGAGGAAATCGCAACATCGAAGGGACAAGTGGAGGAAAAGATTGATGTTCCCCAGGCAGATTTAGTGACGAGTCCTGCAACTACTACCCAAGACACTGTCAATGGACGTCTACCTGAATCCATTAATTCCCCATCAGCAACCAGTTTACAGAAAGCTGACAGCAGGATCTCATCCCCGTGTGATTTGGCAACTAAAGCAGGTTCTCCCACAGAGGTCAAGGAGATTAAAATTCCACCCGCAACTAAACCCAAGCCTGGTTCTTTCAGATTGGCACAGCACAAAAAAATACCTGGGTATTATGTAACTTCAGCAGCAGAAAAGAACCTCAGTGCCAGTCCAGAAAGAGCAAAGTTACCTCCCCCTCCCTCCCCACCTCCTGTTCAGAGTCAGGAAGAAACAACAGGGGCTGCGAATGTCCAGCTGAGCCCCACAGGAGGAGACAAGACTGTAGCGTCCACACGAATAACTAGACAAAGTAGTTTGACATGTAGAGAGCCGGGCTCAGGGTTAAGCTTGGAAAAACTGAGGAGCTTTGCAGCCCCCCGGCCTTTCTCTCCCTCAACTCCATCTCGCTTTGCCCAGGCAGTGTCCTCGGCGGTGAAAAGAAGCCAATCATTAATCCAAGGGTCAAAATCGCCACGCTCACCTATTTCTTCACCACCTTTTTCCCCAAGTTCAAGTCCCTCTGCAGTCCCAGAGTTAAAAGGGTTTTCAAAGCTCAAGGTAAGTTCAACAGTACATTTGAATATCTAGGTGCAGCACACAAGATCACAGTTTTTGGCCACTTTTTGCAATTAAACTCACACACAAATGTGTGAATTCTGGAACAGGAGAGCACTTTATAGCGCTGATCAAAGTGCTTTTTGGGTTTTTCCCTGTAAGAGTTGTTTAAAGTGGGCATTAGTGTGACATGCTCCACTTCTGTCTGAGTTTATTTGAAACTAAAAGCACTTTTGCAAACTGCTGTGCTGTCTCTTTTTGTTCTGGTGTCGATTTGGTGTCATCCTTTTGGATATTTCTGATGATTTTGTCCTGTACACATTTAAGTTGTGATCTCTGATAATATTGAGACACATTCAACACAAAAATGTGTCAGTAACTGTGTATGTTTGGTAGGGAAAAAGATTTAGAAATGATGTTTCATCCCCATGCAGTCCAGTAACAGTCAGTCTTGTCATTACATGCTTTTTCTAACTAATAAAGACAAGCCATTGTTCATTTATATCTGTTTCATAACCAGTCAGACTCCTCTCACAAGAGTTTTAATTACTTCTTGGAAGATCTCAACTTTAAAATGTCAATACTGAACTTGGGACCACTTTGTGTTCATGCCATCAATGTGAGACCCTGAGGCAGAGATTTTCTACAGTGCTGTGATCACTCTGAACTTTCTGTACTCAATAAAAAGCCCAGACAAATACAGTAGATTAGATAAAAAAGGTCTTTTTAGGTTAAATACTTAACAGAGATTTCTGGAGAAAAACGTCCTGTGCTGGAAATTCAGACCCACATGATCCAAACAAATTAATAGGACTGTTGAGACATGATACAATGCAAAGTCTCACGCTATATACTTTATACTCATATGGCGGGTACAAAATTGACTTCGGGGCTCTTTTGTTCTCTATGGTGTAGTAACACTACTTTATTTCTTTGCCCACAGCTCATGCAGTTATTTCATAGACCCTCACAGCAGCGTTGTTGTTTTTTCCCCCTTCATTTTCTTGGGTACAGTAAGTCCTCAGTGGTTTTATTCACTGTGTCTTACGATACTTTTTCTACTATCACAGGATGATGAAAATAAAACGCTGGATGGTGACAGAGACTCCACTCTGCAGGGAGCAGAGAGACAACCACAACCTTTAAGTGGGGTTGTTCAAATGGAAGGAGAGAGCAGTCCGTAGCAGTGCCTTAATTCTTCTGACTATATCTATATATCATCTACTGTAAGAAAAGATCTAGTGTTTCCAACATGTCCTTTACATGTCTCCACAACACGTGCATTAAATCATTGTGTTTCCCTTTTTTTCCAGGAGGTTTGTCCTGTCTGCTTTGAGTTCTCCAGAACTCTTCATCCCATGGCACAGATGCAGAAATTGTCTTTATTTACCTCTTTTGGTAGCCTCTGACAGTGTACATAAAATGATGTATTTTGATAATTAATGATTACTGTATTGTTTTTCCCCCCCGTATGTCATTGTAATATGGCTGACCTGCATATGTTTAATGCCTTTCTTTTGTTTTGTGTGACAATTATCTTGCATTTAATGCCTTACTGTTTTATGTGAACAAGAATGTTAAATAAGAACAATACTATAAATTATTAGACTTATTTTTACTGTGGTAATGTTATTGGGGTTCTGCGGAAAATGTAACTAAATAATACTGGATGTGTAGGATGGACCAGGTCTGACCTATGGTACTCAAATGCTCCTGAGATAACACATTAAATTGATATTTAAGTATTGCAGCATTTTGATGAGGCTATATGCAGAAATACACTGATGGTGCACATTACGCCTGTTCTTGACAAGTAGTGTCGTACAAATAAAACGTTTATCACTTCGGTTGTGTTTATTGTTCTGTTTGTTCAAAAATCGTGTAAATTTAGGATGTCCCGCATAAGTTGGCTGACTTAGACCTCTTTGAATGCAGCCTATCAGAGGCCGTACAGCAGGTAGAATATGATCACAGTGACGCACAGCACGTTACAGAGGAGCACCTGTATGGCACACAATTTTTTTTTTTTTTTTGTAGGACGGTAGAGGAAAGTCCCGCCCTCCTTCGCCTCTGATTGGCTAGAAGTGCTGGGCTACAATTAGTTATTCCTAATGGCTGTGAAATGTCAACGTCTGTTGGGTTAGGGTTAGGATTAGGATGAGGGTTAGGGCAAGGGTTAGGAGATTTAGAAGTGCGATAATGTTCTGTAATGTTCTGTCCGATGTATAGAGCTGACAGCCCATGTTTGGCTTGAGCGTGTGATGATGTTTTCAGATTTCTAGCCAATCAGAGGCGAAGGAGGCAGGACTTTCACCTACCGTCCTACAAAAAAAAAAATATCACGTGCGGACAGTTTGACTCTTTTCTGGCCAGAGAGTCAAACATTTGAAAATATAAATGTTATTCTGCACTTTCAGAGGCCTAAGGTAAGAGGGACTGGAGGAAGCAGCATGTTAAGTTAGCAACGCAGATTCAATCTGGGTTTTAGGGAGCAAGGATGCTGAAACAGGTTCCAAGTTTGTTTTTTTTGATAGTTTTTGGAGTTTTTGTTGTATACTTGTGCAAACAGAACACATTGGGGAAGGACTTTGTTTTCATTTTTAGATAAAGGTCTAATATAATTAGTAGTTCTGTCAAGAAGTATGTACTTATCACAAACAGGAGAGTTTTATATCAGCTAAGCAGCTTAGTGTTGGAATGCTAGCAAAGAAAAGCTTCTCTTTCTCTCTCTCTCTCTCTCTCTGTCTGTCTCTCTCTCTCTCTCACTTTCTCTATTTATGAAACTGACTGAAATTTAGATTAATGCTTTTTCATGTAATATACCAAAGCAGAAAGGACCATGAGGGTGGAGGTGTCAGCACAACATTGTTTTTACAATTTTCATTTAAAATATTAACAAAAAATGATGAATTAAGACACTACTTGAAAATATAAAGGCAGGGCTAAAACAGATTCACCATTTCATTTTACTTTAGGGTATATGCTAAAGACAGAGTAATTGTTTTTGCCTTTGTTATGTGGGTACAAAAAAGTGCATGTCTCATTTATTAATGTATTTTACTGCCATTTACATAGATTACATTCACATAGACTAATTTACTTCTAAATGCAAAAAAATACTGTTAATTGAAAATAATATGGTTAAAAGAGTTCCTATAAATATCTGAAAAACCCCTGACATCCAGTATGACCCATTTTCACATCATGTCCCATGTGACAAAGGGGCCGGCCTAAGAGCTGCTCTTAAAATAATACACACAAAAACATGTCTGAGAGAACTCATTGCTCAATCAGGATCATTGACAGAGATAAAACTGTTTGAACATACCCTTGCTTCTCTGAAAACATTTACACTGTCCCTTTATATGACACATTTCACTGAAGACTGACATAAAGCTGCAGTAGCAGAAATAAGGCTTATTTGGTCAGGATACACAACTCTTACAAGTGGTCTGAAACAACCTGATCACTGCTGAGTCACACTGTAAATAGACTAGTATGAACAATGTCAAGAGGCTGCTGCAGCACAAGTGTCAACCAACCACCACCCTAGCAACAGCTGCCATGACAAACTTCATTCAACATAGCCAATAGACTTAATGCACAAATGGTGCAGTGTGTCCGTTTCATTACAGTGAGTAAATACATCAAACTATGGTGGATAGTCACACTTTTACGTAGACTTATGCTATTCTGAGCACGAGTTTTTGTACCAACAAAGATAAGACAGATTTCCACCCTGTAAGAGTTGTAGCAACAATGAATTCCTTTGACCTGGCATGCCTCTGTCAGGTCTTTCTTAGCACTGTGAAATGGTCTTGACTGAGACATTTCAGGTCACATCTACTGAGAAAATGACTGACACCATGTGCTGCATGCTATCAGCAGTAGCAATTCCAACTTTCTCCACTGAGAGGCTCATCAAGCTAAGGAGAGGGACGCCGCACACTCTTGGCAGCCCCTCTCCTGCTATGACTCCTTTTAAGTGGTTTGAGCTCATCGTCATGAGGAGGCAAGGTGGTAACAGGATCTTCATGGCCTCAGTGGAGCTTGCTTAGAGGAAGTGAGAATGAAAGGAGTGCACCTAATGCTACAAATATCCTGTGCAGCTTTTTGTTGAAAAATGTAAGACAAGCTGAAGGGCTGTTTTAGCTGTGCTGTCTTCTTAAAAATGCTGGGGTCTGAGTGTGATGACAGGCAGTCCTAGAAAGGCTGGAGGGTAGTAATGCAGCAAGCTTAAGGCAGACAGAAAAGTTCTGCCACACCACAGGATATCTACATTTACAGCTGATGCAGAGGTTGATGCTAAAGCTGTGACAGGGACATTTCCAGCAGCTGTGTGTTATTAAGATTTTCAACTAACCGTGGATAAAGTGTAGGAATATGCTGTTTCCACCCTGTTCATGCTGTGCTGCGGGATAGCCTGAGTTATGACTTCAGGAGGAAGAATGTTTCCATACCTTACCTTACTTTTTTAAATCGAGCTATAATCAAGTCAAGAGCTGTGGAGGGACTTTCTTGTTTCATTCAGTGCTCCCTTAAAAACTTGCACTCAGCTCTCAAATACGCCAGCAAACTAAGTGAAGGCAGTCTTTGTGTTGTGGCACTGAGAGCAAAGCTGGTATGGTTCAGTGGCAACAACCAGTGCCTCATTAAACCAATTAATCTGCGTCCATAATGTCACTTTTGGCACTTTGCAAAAGTACAATGGGAGCAGAACTGCTCCTGCAGATGAATACAGAATAGTTCAAACAGGTTGACCCATAATATGTTCATCATTAAAAGATAAAACAAAACAATTTGATAGTTAATTGGCAAATTTAAGGATGATTGAACCACTTCATACCAAAAATAATAACAGTGGAGAAAAAAAGGTGTGTTAAAAAACTAACTTAATCATGACGAATTAACATAAAATAATTAGAATAAAAAACTGAGGTTGACCTGACAACAGGTTTCATGGTCAGTAGGCAAAAACAAGCATATAAAATCTTTCAGTTGAACCTCATTATTAAGTCTCCAAAATAGATTCAGCATTCATCCTACACCAAAGTAATTAGCATTCACATTGACTGATACCAGGAGAATGTGTCCACACTGTGGGTTATTCCTGGCCCTCTCATTCTTCACCAAGTTTCTTGCCCTTGTATCAGTCAACTATTGCATCTCAGCTGAACCATTTGTCTGCCCCCGTCTCTTCCCACTCTGCTCTCTAAAATCAATCACAAGAAACTAATACTGACACTGCTGGTTTGGCCTCTGAAGGTGAAGCAGGTCCTGTTAATGGAGGGGCTTTGTCTGGTAAGCTGCTCTTGTTCAGGTGGGCTGTTTTAAGCACATGTGTACGAAAGTTACTCAAGCTTTTGTTTGTTTGTTTTTTCTTTCTTCCTTCTTTCCTTGAAATATTATTTTTTTCACTCGTTCATTTTCTTAATGTGTATATGTATATTTATGGATATATGAATGTGTATGTATATGTGTGTCTATAAATGTATTTTATTATTATATATTATTTTCTGTTACTAATATTTTTATATTTCATACAACCAGCCAACTCAGATATTTATGCTTTTTTATTGATCTTAATAGTCTATTAATTCAATCATTTATTTACTTATTTATTATATTGAGTATTCCAACTGTTGTTATTTATTTATTTATTTCTATCTAGTCATACATTCATCTAGTCACTTAATTATTAAGCCACTTTTTCTCTTCCTTTATCATCATTTTTTTCTTCCTTTTGTTTACTTTTGTTTGTCTTTCATTAACTTTTATTTATACATGTCCATCTGCTGGGGCTGGGTGCCGGAGGGATGGGGGTGGGGGGTTGGTATCTGTTCAGGGGTATATTGCATTTTTCTGTAATCTCTAATTTGAACATTATTGTTTTTCTTATACACTCACCGGCCACTTTATTAGGTACACCATGCTAGTAACGGGTTGGACCCCCTTTTGCCTTCAGAACTGCCTCAATTCTTCGTGGCATAGATTCAACAAGGTGCTGGAAGCATTCCTCAGAAAGCTTGGTCCATATTGACATGATGGCATCACACAGTTGCCGAAGATTTGTCGGCTGCACATCCATGATGCGAATCTCCCGTTCCACCACATCCCAAAGATGCTCTATTGGATTGAGATCTGGTGACTGTGGAGGCCATTTGAGTACAGTGAACTCATTGTCATGTTCAAGAAACCAGTCTGAGATGATTCCAGCTTTATGACATGGCGCATTATCCTGCTGAAAGTAGTCAACAGAAGTTGGGTACGTTGTGGTCATAAAGGGATGGACATGGTCAGCAACAATACTCAGGTAGGCTGTGGCGTTGCAACGATGCTCAATTGGTACCAAGGGGCCCAAAGAGTGCCAAGAAAATATTCCCCACACCATGACACCACCACCACCAGCCTGAACCGTTGATACAAGGCAGGATGGATCCATGCTTTCATGTTGTTGACGCCAAATTCTGACCCTACTATCCGAGAGCAGAAATCGAGACTCATCAGACCAGGCAACGTTTTTCCAATCTTCTATTGTCCAATTTCGATGAGCTTGTGCAAATTGTAGCCTCAGTTTCCTGTTCTTAGCTGAAAGGAGTGGCACCCGGCGTGGTCTTCTGCTGCTGTAGCCCATCTGCCTCAAAGTTCGACGTACTGTGCGTTCAGAGATGCTCTTCTGCCTACCTTGGTTGTAACGGGTGGTTATTTGAGTCACTGTTGCCTTTCTATCAGCTCGAACCAGTCTGGCCATTCTCCTCTGACCTCTGGCATCAACAAGGCATTTCCGCCCACAGAACTGCCGCTCACTGGATATTTTTTTTTTTCGGACCATTCTCTGTAAACCCTAGAGATGGTTGTGCGTGAAAATCCCAGTAGATCAGCAGTTTCTGAAATACTCAGACCAGCCCTTCTGGCACCAACAACCATGCCACGTTCAAAGTCACTCAAATCACCTTTCTTCCCCATACTGATGCTCGGTTTGAACTGCAGGAGATTGTCTTGACCGTGTCTACATGCCTAAATGCACTAAGTTGCCGCCATGTGATTGGATTTGAACATTATTGTTTTTCTTATATGTAAAATTTCAATTAAAAGACTGTTTAAAAAAAAAGGAAAAAGAAAAGTTCTTCAAACTGAATGAAGTTGTGTAATTTAACAGATGCTTTCTAACAGCAAATGCATGTCAGGGATGGTGGATTTATGGAGAGAGAAAGAGCAGATCAGTGCGAATTCCTGGAAAGGAAATCTTTATCTTTTTAATAAAACAAAGAATGCATATACAGGAAGATGAAATTCAGGGTCTTTCATAATTCTGAAACGCAACACTGTACTCTGAAAATAGCTTGGCGCTGCACGGACTTGTCATTGTAACAAAGTAATCAAGAAAGCCTTGTCATCTGTTAGTGGAGCGCGGTGTTGTCTTAACCCTTTCCTGCCTGTTTGTCTGTATCCCCAGTAGCCTGTCCTCCCCTGGTCAGCCTCTGTTACACATTACCTTTCAGAAAGATGTTATCATCCTAACCATCCCCCACATGGAGCCTGTCACTGACTGACACAGCCCACAACACAACCAATCTGCTGGGCTGGCCACTACTACGAACAACCACATGCTTTCTACAGTGGACTAAGTTTAAAGTGCAATTTGGATCCCTGTGCGAAGTCCATGACAAAAGAACAGTGTGTTTTATAGTACTGGCGGCCCTCCCGGACTCATTACTGAGCTAAAGACACCCCCTTTGTGTGAGTGTGCTTTGTGTGCACATTTCCTGCCTTCCAGGTTGCAAAGGGAACTGTATGGAAAAAAAACTAAAAAACAAAAGAAGGGACATTAAAACAACAACTGTTCACAAAGAGACTTGAAGAAATGAGTTAATTATTTGTATATGCTACTGTGTCAGAGTGAGGATGACTGTCAGGGAGTCATTGTGTTAAAAATATCTTTATTGTGGTGGATCATGTTTGGGTAGGAGGGATCGTTTTGCCCCACTGGGCCAGCCTCGTGGGCAGCAGATGAGCCAGAGAGACTTGTGTGTGTGTGCGTGTGTGAGTGCATGTGTGCACTCTGCTGAGCTGTGAGCAGAGGAGCCCCGCCAGCCCGCTTGCTTTAACTCTGTTCTGCACACACTCCAGCCCAACAGCTCGTCTCTTTCTCTGTGTTACAGATGATGCCGTGGATTTAGTTGACCCACATGAGTGATATGAATAACACGCTGGATGAAATACACACTTCTGGACGCCTTGGAGAGAAAGCAGAGATTTTTCAGAGTGGCAGGGGTAATGTAAGTGGCTTTCCCAGCCCAGCCCTCATCCCTTTGCAAGCTCCTTTACTAACACCAAATGCCCAGAAGATCAGGACTCGGCTCTGCAAGGGGAACAGGTATGACTCCTATTTCTTTACACTTGCCTTGAATGACACTCATCTGTTTATAAGATTCAATCAAGATAAGTTCAATCGCACTAAAAGTGAAAGTATTATTACCCACTCTACACTTTACAATCTGAGTTCCATTGCTGATGAATAGTGGGCTCTTTGTGTTTGGAGAAGTAACACAGAGGTCTGTTTGAAAGCTGAAGTGCAGACTTTGTACCTGTAAACACAATCGCCTCTGCTGAAGCGCAGCTGTCAATGAAGTTTAACGTATTATATCAACAGTGCAGCTCAAGAGCTGGAATAAAATCAAGCACCTGTTAGTTTGTGGGAGATAATCAGTAACTCAGTAACTGCTGTGTTGACAGAGCAGTAAAGAAAGCGTCAGTCAGACAGAGAACTGCACCTTTTTCAGTAAATGAGGCCCTCACCTTCACAACTGCACTCAATTCTGATTCTTCCTTACCTCATAATGAAGTAAATATGGTAAATTTCTTACCATATACTGCCTCTTTATCATAGCGGTGAAAACAGCAGAAGCTCTTGCGTGCATCTTACTGAGTGTCTGTTTGTGAGTGGGGTGTGTCATCTGGTAGTAGAGCAGGAGGAGTCCATGCTGAAACAGGCTTGAGCGTCTGTTGTATCTGTCAGTTTGTTTATCTCTGCTCCATTTATACACCCGATCCCTTTGCATGAGACTCAGTAGTATAATACAACACCTCTCCAAGATCTGTTTTGAATTTTGAGTTTTGGTCCATGACTTTTGCAAACTGCTCACAGCATTTCACTGAGATTCATGTGTAATATCATTATGTTTCCTCAAAACACAATAAGCAGGAATGAAAATGATTGTAACTCATACCGCACCACATGTTGCTGCTTTTAATGCAACATCTCTTTCTCTGTTTCTCTGCGTCTGTGTTTGTTGTCCTTCAGGAACGATGAAGAGGGAGAAGAGTCATTCTCTCCCCCTCCTCCAAACCTTTTTCCTGAGCTTATCCCCTCCACCATCTCTCCCCTTGTCTCTGAATGTTTATTACCATGGACCAAAAGCAGTGCAACTCAGGTGAGTGTTCCATTTACAGTACTTGGGGGCATTTGTGACACAAAGAGCCAAATTATTTGAAAATACAAAAGTCTCAGTTGTAACTATTTCCATATGCGTCCTCAGGCTGCACAGTCATGCTAGCTTTAATTGGAGCGGGTGCCAGGAAAACAACTGCGGGACATATTTGAATTGAAATAAATTTATATTTACATAATGTTTGGCTTGTGATTTGTCTGAAACTGCAGGGCATTGTAGAACCAGTTATGTGAGTATGTAAATGAGCTGCAGTGAGTAGATAAAAACACTGTTAAAACACTTATACACAGAGAACTTTATTCACTTTAAGATCCCAGATCTATCCCTGCACTCAGTGACTGCTTACAGCCTAAAACCATGAGTGTGATGTATGGTACCACCTGTAGATACTGCACTCGAACTTTGATTATAAGTTGGCTTGCCCTGGAAAATACTTGGCTAAGTGCCCACAGCCACTCTTGTATGTTTGTGCAAGCGCAGGGTGTGTGATTTGTCATGCACTGAATGTGGGGAAGCACCTGCTGGTGTTGCAAAACTCACTGCACTGAAGAGCAACAGAACTTTTATCAGTTCTATTTACTTGAACTCTTGATCCTGACCTCTCACTTCACTAACCTACACTTATAGACACACCTCCAGAAACCGTCGTCGCCATGTATCTCAACCAGTCATAACAGTGTGCTTGTACAATCTGATTATCTTCTTTAGCTTTATAGATCTTTTTTTAGCTCTGTACATCAGGCTATAACATCGAGACATTTTCGCTGTAACAAATTTAAAAAGAAATAATCATTTGACCTGGTTATGTCTGGTTGATTTGCACACTACTTCCCCCTCACTGAGGTTGATTTAAGGTTGTGCAGGATCTTTTTGTGCATGTGTGTGTGACGTGTATAAATGTGAGCACTTGTGTGTACATGAATAGCAGCAGGGGGCAGCTCAAAGCAATGAGTCATAGGGAACCTTGAAATTACCAAGCTCAGCAGTTACAGAGGACCATCAGCGCTATAAGACTTCCCACTAATCTCATGTGGATTTAATGCTTAGATAGAAAAAAAAAAACTGGGGAGTTGTGTTTCCTTTTTTTCTACAAATTGATTCATTGTAGGATGTTTGTAGATGACAGTAATATAAGTTTGCTGTTTGGACCGCTTGGTTTTCTTACACCTGAGAATCTCGTCCTCATAAACAGTCTTAAACAAGCTCTTCTCTCTTCCATCCTCTGTCTAGAGGGTGATTGTCAGTCCTCCTGTGCTCTCATCAGTCTATTGTGAAGACAGGTTGGGAATTGCAAGGATTTGGCATTTCTTTGATAAGTGTAAGATTAATCCTCAGTTGACGTAGTGAAGAGGCAAAATGACACCAAGCTGACCTCACTGTGTAACAATGTGGTTTAGCTGTTAGCAAATCTTAAAGTGATCAGTATGTGTCTCCGTGATGAGGTCTGTGTCTACACCTCTCAGTCCTGACAGCCTTTCAGTCCGCCTTTTCAGCAGCAGCACATGGAAGACAAAGAGAGGACGTCAGGACTGACCAGCTGTTTTTGTCTCACCCTCCTCATGTCACGGGGTTACGACCTACTTTCAGTAGCTCTCAAGAAACCGATGACATCATTGTCCTAACTCTGCAGCACTCGTCCCCTCACCCACCCTCTGTATGATCTGTGGAGAAAAATCATCCTCTCAGCTTCTATTAAGTCTTTTACACACAGTCATTTTTCCATCAGTTAAATTTGTCTGAAATAATAATCCTCTGCTAAAGACAGGCTTAGATTGAAATGAGCAGATTAGGAAAATAGAAGCTGTATCTGTTATTTTGGCCTCGCACGGATCTCACTGACTTGCTAACAATGTTTTTCTTTGACTGCAGTAGGATCCTAATGGCTTTGTGGAGTTGTGACAAGGCTTAAGAGCCATTTCACTCATGAGAAACTGGTTTATCTGACTACCCTGTAAGGCTTGTGTTTGCAGTGTCATGGTACATTTCCATTACAGAACCACCAAGTCATAACTGACACGTGAAGTCAGTAAAAAACCAAGTTTAGCAAGCCCTGAAGCCTTGAGTAAAAATACATGTAATCCATCTGTCTATAAGTATAGAAGAAGAGTACACATGCTCTGTTACCCTGTTTTTCTGCCTGACCTCATTTCTGATACCAACAAATGGATATCAGTTCTCTTTTGATACTACTGTGAAAAAAACAGTTACTATTTGTACACCGAAGCCTTTGCCATCATCGTTGTATGACCTCATACAGTATATTAAATGTGAATATATTTAAACTGAAACCATGCTGAGCAATAAAAACTATCTCAGTTAATGTTTACTCCTGGTGTCCCCTCTTGCTCTTGTTTTGTAAAAGCAGTTTTAGTCATAAAAGTTATTTGTTTATTAAAAATACAGCCAAAGAAAATGTTTAATGACAATCACTTATTGTTGGGAAGGGAATTCCTGGGGGACTCACTTTATCATCTGATATGCAATACTTGGTCCATACTTGGCTAATAATATCCTGATACAGCTGTACTCTGATAACGTATTACATTATTTCACTTTAATGATAATTATGATTTCTGATTAAATGCAGAATTAAAGAAATGCCCCTAAAATGTACAAATGAAGAACTAATTATTTATTGTCTCTGTCGTTTTAGTGTGTTTTCATGTTTTTACTCTATTAATTTAATTTTACTGACCCTCAGAACATTTGTAAAATTTCTGTCATTAGTTAAAGAGGAACATTTACACATTTTGCTCGTTCACATTTATGCCTTAACTTTAAATCATGTTGAACACATATCTTTGATGATCATGTTCACATTTTTCGCTCCAGAGTGAGTCTCATGCATCAAGGTAATTTGTTGGACACACATTAGCTTTTTATCCCTACCATGTAACATCTCCCTTTCTTCCTCTGCTATCATTCAGCACTTAATTTTTCTTTGGTAAGATGACCGCTGCTAACATTCACCTCACTGGTGGAATCACTGAGTATCCCTGTAGTGAGTCATACTGAGTGGGAAAACTATTTCAGGTGCCTTGTTTTCAGTTGTAATATCCATACTCAGCCAAGTTTTTAAATTTTTTTTATATCATTTAGATCAGGAAGAAAATATGTGTGTGCTGTATTCATATTTTATCACTCTCAAACTGATTGTCAACACTGGATCAGCCTTCACTGATTTTAAACTCTGTGCTTCAGTGTGCAGTTTGTTTGGTCTAAAATAGTGACTAGTGGCACCTACTGTACGAATGTTATTGAAATGTGTGTGTGTGTATTTTGGGGGAGGGGATTAATAAATAGTAGATCTTGAGCTGTGTAATAATTGGTATACACACCAATACACATTCTCCTATTTCTGCTGTACTGGCTAGTTGTCTTATCGAATTATTTAATGCACTCTCTTTCGCTGCAATTTTAGAAAAATGAGAGCATCTTCACACACTGTTATAAAACCTCACTAATGATTTCACAAGAGTCAAATAATGCTTTAGGATCACTTAGTAGTCTATCTACAGTTCCTACAGTATCAGAACAAGTCTTGTTTAGTTTGTTACCCACAGCATAAATGCATTTTTACACTTACAACATCTGAATGTAGGGACATAGGGGTTTGTAGTTGAATAAATCAGAATTTCTCTCATACTTTCTCAGCTGTTTCAAACATACTGCTGTGATATTGGAGCCAGCATGGTAAAATAACCTCCTGCTGCTCCTTTGAGTTTGCCCCATTGGAAAAATGCCCACTGGCTAAATACTGGCTCAGCCACAGGACCTCGTCACTGCAGACGCAAATACGCAACATTTAGTATGAAATACTGACGCTGTATATATTTGCAGGATTCAGAATCTAGTCATGCAAGCAGTTAGTTATTGTGAAGATAATTCTGTTGATATTTCTGATGGGGGCAGTTTGATCTGGCTCTGAGCGTATAATCACAGAAGAACTGGCACATCTTCATGACACAATGGCAAAATAAACAGTTTTTTTAAGGAAGTCCATGGAGCTGGCACAGCCTCCACTCTCCAGGAATACAGCAGGCAGTCATGCTTGGACTCTTACCAAATCCAGCAGCACAGAGACAGTCTGCGTCCAGACGGTGTTGAGTGTTCAGTTCAGCCATATGACTCAGAGGAAATGCCTGCCCCTGTAGAGATGTTATTTCAGATGCCGCATGTTCTTCCCTCTGAGTTTCAGTCTCTCTTCCACAGCAGATGTAAGAGTACTCAGGGTCACACTCGAGATGTGAACGTGTATTTATTCTCTTCATTCAGCTGCTGAACAATTTGTCGTAAAGCTGCTTAGTGACTAACAGTAATGTGTCACATTTTAGGTATTACTATAACTGTACAAACATTTGTACAAATAAAAAGACACACGTTATTATCCACTTGAAACTTTGGGCTCTTTATTAACCGTGATATTAAATGTGGTTGTAAGTAGCATTCTCACAATATGAGAATTAGAGGAGTTCAAATAAGAAGTCATGCTCTGCAGTCTTTGCACATAACTTTCATTCCTTGTGCCTAACAGACAGTATATGGGTTATATATAGGAAGTCATCTGATGTGAGATGCACATGCAGGCCCTTTATTCCTCTCCAAGCCTCTCTCTTCTGCTCCTTTCACACAGACAGTCATGTGGGATAAAATGATCTTTCTTTGTTGGTCTGGACTCTAAAACCCACATTGTCTGGCTTCAGTACCCAGCTTCTATCTCAGCTACAAGACAGGCTTGATACTGTTTGAATTGGATAAACTTTTAATGAGCGAAACAAGATTTCTTTACTGACTACCAGATGGCTGTATAGATGCTGTAGAGGCCTGTTTACCATACTATTGTAGACGATCAAAGAGTGAGACCAGACAATAGAGTATGTCAGGGAAAGCACTGCCATTACTACTTTTTTAAAACTTCAAGATAAAGAAGATTCAAAAGACACAAGATCTTTATTAGATTAACTAGGATGTGAGTAATAAAAACTACAAGCATGGTTATATGTTGAGTGTAACCTTTAGACACAAAAGCAGTCTGCAGCCACACCCCTTTCTGATCTTATCAGAAGCAGACGGCACTAAATACAGAGAAAAAAGCAAGCTAATTCAGATTTGGTCAGCTAAATGTATGAATATAGGTATTTTATGAACAGTAGATCCTTTACTAAAACCCATGTCACTTTGATCTCCTGCACTTGGTGTTTTAGCAGATTATTAACCCTCAGGAACCTGCTCTATCAATATCAATATCAAGGTTTACTTTGGCTTGTTTTGTTGGGTTTGCTTTCTAGTCTTACATTATGTTAAAGATGGACACTATTCTGTCTTGGTTTCTGTTTTGGCCTCTTTTCCACTATTTGGCTGTTTTACAGAGTAGGGGCTTTGTTAAAGAGCCAATAATGAGGTGAGAATGTACGACAATTGGCTGCATCCTTGCTCTGAAAGATAAACAGTGAGTTACTTTTGCATCCATTTGCACAGAACAGTTTCACATCAGTACTTAAAGAAGTTGCACTGTCACATCACTTTTGTACTTGACAGTGTAATATTTGAGTCAAAATGTGTGATTTCACCTCGTATTAAAAGGTTCCTGGGGACCAAAGAACAGCAGGAGCTATGGCTTACCAGTTCTTCTGCTTTGCATTGCTGCACCGTTACACCTTTGTATATCCTAATTTGAAATGGCTGTATGTCCGAGCCTTTTAATGTAGGCATCATATAAAACCTCCTTCCTAAAAATGGGTTTATATACATAAAGCTACTGTAGGCACTGCTGCACCTTTGACAGAGCCTGCAGGAGGTCTTGATTGAATCAACACTGGTCAAGGACAAAGTGTCTGGAGCTGACTTTGTTATGGGAGAAGTGGAGACTCTGTTATCACTCTTGCTCCATTAATTCCAATTCATTTTAGCTGTGTGATAACTAGCAGCGTCTGCTTGTCTGTGCTCTCACAAGTCAGTGTGCTGTGTTTCCAGATAAACATGGGGAGCCTGTTGTGGGAGGTTCTTCCTTTGCTGTCAGTTCTCATGAGTTGAAAGAGAGGACAATGATTGGTGCCAAATATCTGCATTCAGAGCTGTGAGATTAAATATGATGACTGACACTGTTTTAGGGCTATGGCAAAAGAGATCGAGGTAATGTTGATATTTGTAACAGTTAAAGTGATTTATGCAACAGAAGCACTATAGCAATGCTGGGTGAGTTTGTATGTGTGTGGTCTCCATCAGTTGAGGTCTGCTTCTACTGTTTCCTCCTTGAAAATGCATTAATAGCTTTATTGAAATGGCATCTGCCCTCCAAAGCATCTGGTATCTCTTGTTCATTCTCGTGCTCCCTTTCATTTCTCGGTTGACTTTTCTGGTGTCGATCCGTGAAGCGCAGTTTGAAATGAAAATGCCTTGTAATGTATAAAAGTACAAGTATTCCTCACTAAAAGCTTTACTTCATTAGTCACTGATTCATTTTAGACATGAATGGTGAAGACCGAGACCTGATAATTGGCGTGTCCTGCAAGGATGGCAAACTCACATTCACAAGGGCCCTTTTGTCTGCTCCTACAGTAAAACAGATGTGGGCTCTGAATCGTGGCTGTGGGAGTAAGAACTATGTTGGACCTCCAATTTTCTCGCTCTTTCTTGATGTCCTGACAGCCATAAATGGTATGACTATATAAAGAGACGGTAAAGCTGAGGTATTATTGGAATATTGACACAAACTTACATTTAGAGCATTTGTAGGACTTTAATGCATCCTTGGTTTTTCTTGTGTCGAGGCAGACATTGGGTTCAATGTTTGGCCAGACATGAGGATATATGAAACCAAGAAGTAGGAATGCTTCAGACTTTTTATTTTGTTATTTCTGACTGACCATTTAAACATATCTTTGCATGCCTAATGTGTGTAATGATATATACATAGTTTTATCCCTCTGTAACAAAGACTGGTTTTACACAGCAAAAATATGCATAGAGAGGATCAGGGGCGGACTGGGACCATAATTCAGGCCAGGAGTTTGACTCCATCCAGGCCAATACACATTGATGCGGAAATGCCAGCACCAGCGAAAAGTTTTGGACATTTGAAGCCAGATTTAGTGAATATAATGCTAATGTGAAGAATTCAACATTGGCTACATAACTGCAAATTTAATATGAAGTGATTTGACAGGTGCTTTATAGCCTTCTGAGCTAGATTTTACAGAAGGATATTCGTCATGGTTATAAAAACTCCATATTAGTCATGCCTTTAACTATTTGTTTACTCATTTAAACTAAGAGTGTAGCCTACCACATTGCCGATGTATTATAATAAAATGTTGAAAGCCTGTCAGAAAAAAAGTCAAAGTTCTCGAGAGGCATAAAACTTGGATTAGCACGCACCACTAGCATCGTAGTGACCAGAAGTAGAGCTGCCAGGCCACCGGGAATCAGCCCGGTGATCCTAATGGTCCAGTCCACCACTAGAGAGGATATGGACAGCAAATTTCAAAAAGAGCACAAAAGAAAACATGATGTAATTTAGTTTGTGTCTGTATGAGAATCACAGTGACCAGTAGAAAATGCCACGACTGCAGCTTAGCATAAAAAGATGAAAATTGAGAAGGGAAATGTAAAGAGGAATAAGAATCAGAATTAAAGCTGCAAGCAGTGAAATGGCTTATTTGAGGGTTTACCACATTATTGTTTTCATTATTGAGTCCTCTTATACCTGTAAAACTACTCATAAGCAGATAAGATCAGCCCTGTATGAGGAGAAACTTGTCAAAAGACCCCAGGACAGGCCTAGAAAGAGTTGATTTTTGCCAACTTTATTTCCAAATAGCTGACCTAGATGTTTTTGAAGTCTTAGAAGCCCGGTGTTCCCCCTTGTTCAAAACCTATAAAATATCAAATTTACCACCAGACCTGAGGCGTATTCAAACTTTCATGGGGTTTTTGAGCATTTAAGGACTTTAAAACTGTGAATAATAGTATCAGTGAATCGAGGAGTTGTGATTAGGTCTTCACAGCTACCTGGTGCTCAGGACCTTAATAATTTAAAGTCTTAAATGTAGTAGGAGATTTCTTAAGACCAGTAAAGTTCCATTTGGATGTGCTTACAGGCAGAGGTAATCTGTTGCGCAATAAAAAAGTATTTTGAATTTTTCCAATATGTTCTGTAATATTTTTTATCATCTCATCAGGCATAAAAATATAGTGAAGTGCAAAGCTACTCTAAAAAACACACAGCTATAAACATGTACTAAACACCTGTGCCTAAATATAGCTGTAGTGTCTGATGCATGTCCTTCCTGGGAGGTCTTTATCTCCTCGGCCTCATTTTTTTCACAGTTTTTCTGCACAAAGTTGATGCTTTGAGTCCAAGTTTGTAACTTTCTCAGGACTTGTTTAAAGTAGTTCTGTCCGTATTTTTCTTCTTCCAGTGTTGTTTATTGGAACTTCTCTGCTAAGAAGAGAGAAAAGGAAAGAGAGTCTTCATTCTCAAGGACAAAGGAGGAGTTTGTGTGTAGGGGGCAAACATGACAAGTTTCTCACACTATCTTTGTGAGGGATGTCATTGTAACATGTCTTGTAACAACTCGTCTTGAGGAGTGGTTTTTTTTTTTATTCTAATTTGTTACAAACCGTATATCTGTTATCAGTCTACCTTGATGTGAGCATCATTAGTTTCTGTATATGGATGTTACTCATGTAGTTACTTGTGCACTCAAGACAGAAGCATGAATTTCCATGCGAGAAGAGTCACCTTGCCTGCCATTACACCACTCTGTCTGCAGAAGCGGGTAGGAAACTTTATTATGAATACAGTATTTGATTTTGGATGTGTTTGTTGATAGTTCTGAGTTTAAATACAGACATTTTCTATTTAAAGTTTATATCCTGTTCCTTATTGGGCTCTTTCAGCTCTTGAGTTCAATTACTTCAAATTTAATGCTGTAACCCAACAATAATGCACTTAGCTGTTAACTGTAAAGGCATACAGTGAATTGGACCAAGGGAAATATTATTATAATTATTATGATCTTACAGTCTTGATACATCGGGGTTCTGGGAGGACGTTTTTCTGGTTTCAGACATAGACACAGCTGGAGGCCACCTCCTCTCTGTCCAGTGATAAAGCTGCAGCTGTGGGAGTGTGGTTCAAGGTTGAACCAGAGCTGTCTAATTGGTAAAATGGCTCACACTGTCCTGTCCTTGAGATAAGAAGGTCTAATGGAGAAGTTTATGTTAAACAGCACTGTATGTAGTGCTGTATGTTTAATGTCTGGATTCACTCTGCCAGTCCAGAGACCTTGGAAACGTTTGTAGCTCGGTAGATGATTTTATGTTGATCTGTCAACCCTCACACATTATCAACAGTTCCACATATCAACAGACTCACTTGAATCAGGCTGCATTTACTCTCTTGCATAATCAGTCTAACAGATAAGTTGATCATTAATGTCATACTGTCAGAATTACACCATATTACAATATTATAGGTCAGCTGGTTGCAAATGTAGGTTAACTTTTATGCTTTGTCACTGTGTTAACATCTACTGTCTGATAAATGTATACACACATGGATGTTTTGGTCTGTTTTTTAACCCTTAAAGTGAGGTATGGATGCACCTCTTCAGGTAGTATTTTTTATTTTTTATGTAAGTGTTTCTGTCTGATGAAGCGGCTCTTTGTTCATCGTTAAGGACATCAGCTGTTTACAGTGTGCTACCTTGTCTGCTTATTCATTAGAGGATTTGAATCAATCATTAACAGTACCTGCCACTTAATGTTCCCTGTGATCTGATTTGTTTTATTGGTTTCATTCATGAGGTTGTGGGGTTTAATGGTTATAGTTGTTCATCTTATCTGTTTGTCTTCTCACAAAGACTTTAAGAATATGAATAAAAAGATCTTTATTGATCCCTGAAGGGAAATTCTACTATTTTGTGTTATCCATATTTGCCTTGTAGTTATGTGTGTCCTATTTTCATTAGTTGCTACAAACTCACTCTACCAAATAATAACGATCATGCGGCTGGACTTCTGCTCAGCTAGATAAAATCAGACTGAGTTTTCACACTTATTAAGATAAGCAATGAAACACACGTATTTGTAGGATTCAGGCACCAGCTCATTTAACACAGGAACTCATTAATTTTTGGTTTGACAACAAATAACTGATACTCACTAACAGTTCATTACAGATTTAGTAAGGACAGCCCTTGAATTAAGAAACTGCTCTGCTTTTGTTATCATGAAATTCACTGTTTTTTTGAGCTGCTGTCACAGGGATCAGTCGGCCATGGAGCTGCGATACAGCACACAAAGAGCAGCTTGTACAGTAGCTTTACTCTAGCCTTTGACTGTAGATTCTTACTGTAGGTTTTTAAACAGAGCTACCTGTACAACTATACATGTGCAACTTATGATGTAAAATCCTACTGTATAACACAGCAAAGTGAAATTTTATTTAATTCACTCATTTGCAAATAGATATAGGTAAGGCACTAGCTTGCTCACATTTTAAAGTCTAATGCAGCACATAGTTTTCCTTATCCTCTATCAAACCCTCCCCTCTTCCTGGTGAAATCTGATGCCTGAATGATTTGATTTGGCCGGCTCTCTGAGGCAGAGCTCGTTGCAGCATCTTAACTGAAGATCTGACTTGATGCAGTTTTCAACAGCACAGTGCAGAAGACACACACCTCACATCAATCTAGGTTTTCTTATATGCTAATTGAGAAAGCTCCTCCAGTGTTGTGTGAAGTCCTCCTGTGTCTTGATTTTTCTTAGAAAGATTAAATGTAATTAAATTGCCGTGCAATGATGCAATTATAACTGTATTAAAACCCTGGCTGCTGGGGTAATCTGTTTAAAGTAGGCCTTCGTCTTTGTTAGACATCCACAAACAAAGATATTTGTCTTGTAAGGCTCCAGGCGGGCTGATTGAACACTAAATGGTTTACACTGAGAGGTGATGTCATAGCTGAAAACTCCCATTTGCTGATGGCTCCTCGAGGACTCAAACCTCATCCCTGCAGAGCACTGACCACAAAAGGAGTCGGGCTGCCCGGCTTTAAACTACAAATAGAAGTCACAGAGAGAAAAGAGACACCTGTCTTTGTAAACTTTGGACTGAGGTTGCTCAACTAGCATTACATTTAAGCAGCACCTTAGTAATAGCTCTGTGGGCTCCTGCAGGGCATTATGCTTGGAGCATGCAGTGGGTGTGTGAGTGTTAAGCAAGAAAGGGTTGCAGCCTTGTAACTCTCTCTCTCTCTCTCTCTCTCTCTCTCTCTTTCTCTCTCTTTATCTTTCACTCCACCTCTCTCTCTTAATTCAGGCTGAGTGTTGACAGCGATAAAGAAACGTTACCAGTTCTGACCTAGCTAGATTTCTTTGCTTTACAAGGTGTTTGTGCAGACATGTTAAATTGCCGTCAGGTTGTTGTAAAAGGGTGCACATCTGTGAGTTGATCTCAGACTTTTTGCCTCTCAGTGGTGGAGAGAGGCAGCAGGAGATTCGCTATCAGACCCAGCGATTCAGATATGTGGAGCCACGACAGCTCTGTGCTAAGAGGCAGTTTTGTCTAATTGCCTTCTTTCAGCTCCTCTGCAGCACAGAGTGGAGAGGGAAAGAGAGAGCAGCGTGCTGCTTGCAGGCTGACTCTTGCTGTGCTGTCTGATGCCTGTTTTTATCTTTTCTACAAAAGCTCTCTTTTGCAATGCTGTGTGCTCAGCCATGCATAGGCTACAGAGCTTGCAAAAACTCTGAGCTCTGTTTGGACCTAAACAGGGGGGTGAGTTATACTTCAAGATTAATTTGTTACGCATTTGATTTCTCAACACAGTATTGCAAGATTACAGTTGGTCACAGGCTTAAATCTTTACATTTGGTGCCTAATTTACACATTGTTCTCTACTTTGAGGGATTTTCATTTTCTATAATGTCTCATTTTCACCTCGTGCAGAAACATAAGCTGTCTAATGGTGTATGTGGATCAAACTCTATTTCTTGTACTTTGTGATACTTAACCTCACTAATGCACTTTCCAGGCCAAAACAGTCTGCTTGCACTCCTGCAAGGCCAAAAAAGTTCCTTCCTTTGCAGTGGGTTTTCAAAACATGTGAAAAAATAGTGTTTTTTGTTGCAGGTAATCAAAGTTTATAATGAAGATAACACCAGCAGAGCCGTAGAGGTCCCCAGTGACATCACTGCACGGGACGTTTGCCAGCTGTTCGTCCTGAAGAACCACTGCATCGACGACCACAGCTGGACTCTGTTCGAACACCTCTCCCATCTGGGGATAGGTAGGATTCTCTGGTTGAACAGTTAAGAGTACTCTGTGATGGTATAGTCAGAAAGTAAACCAGAACTCCTACAATTCACCTTTGGCAAGAACTCTTAAAAATTAGTTTCACCACTTTTCCACCAAGTTTAACACATTTACATGATTAATTACACAACGACACGAAAACAAAATATGATTCTGGCTCAAGGGTGAAATTTCATCTGACATTTATGAGGGAAAAAAACGGGTGGAGGCAGTCTGGGATTAGAGTAAATTTCTAAGAAAATAAGATCATGACATCTTTATAGTGGTGGTGTTTTTGTCATGTGATAGTTATGTTGTTAGTCCTTTGGGCGAGGTTTGCTTGGTTTGATAGGAGGTGTGGCGGTAGGTAGAGTGATGATGATGTAAATATTTATATGTTGGAGAAAGAGTTTGTGGCTAAATGATTGGTAAAAACTGATCGAGGAATGAGTGCATGAAAAATTTCTCAGCTGTATTTTGAAACTATCCTACACATCGTATAATCCATCTATCTGTGCAGATACAGGCGTTTCTTTCCTTTCAGTTAATACCACTACATATTTTTTGTATATTTTATTATCAAATAATGTCCAAATCTTTCAGCTGCAGCTACAGGCCCTCGAATTTGTTGAGGGGAAAAACTCCAGCAGGTGTTTACAGTACCAAAGCTGTTAAACTGAGTTTGCTGCTTTTGCACTGCCCCTCAGAGTTAATAAATTAAAGCCCCGTTTGGTAAGTTATTCTTGAGCTAAATCATTGACAAAACAGGATGTCTTTCATTTTTTCAAAGATTTTATCAGCCGTGCAAATCACATTTTTTTTACTTCAGTGTTCAACACTTGTTGGAGCAGAAACTGTTTTCCATTCATCCAACAATCACTTAAAGGTCTAAGAAAATATTCATGTTCATGTTGAACTACTTGACTTAAAAGCTGAGCTCTGACCCAGAGGTTACACATTAAATGTAAGGTTAATAATGAAACTCTGCGCTGCTAAGTAAAGCAATATAAAGTACTCTTGTCAGGAAAGCTTTTGCAGGAATTATTGTTTGGAATTTTTAATTTCTTTCTTACAAGTGGCTCGAACTTTTTCTACTTGGTATATTATCCACGAGCAGAGAGAGATGACTGTTGCTTTTCTCTCCTCTTTGTCTCACTAGAGAGAATCATTGAAGACCATGAGTCCGTCATGGAGGTGCTATCAGGCTGGGGAATGGACACAGACTGCCGGCTGTACTTCAGGAAGAACTTTGCTAAATATGAATTCTTCAGGAATACTCTGGTGAGCTTGTGATTGAACTGTACCCTCTTCTTCTTTGCTCATTCTCTATTTGGCGTTAACTTCCATATTCCTGTCATTGATTGAATAAATCAAAGACTCACTTTTGTCTTCTGCAGGACTTTTTCCCAGATCACATGGTCTCCATATCCAGTGAAGCCAACGGGATGCTGGATCACTCTCAGCTCATACAGGTATCAAGTTTCCTGCCAGTTGAGAATAAAGACTTAAGTGCACACAATAATTGGTTAACAAACATTTCTCTACTCTCACAGACATTTCTAGATGCCAGCTCATGTCCAGAGATACACGGACACCTCCATGCCAAAGAGCAAAGCAGGAAGTCATGGAAGAAGTTTTATTTTGTTCTGAGGAGGTCGGGGCTTTATTTCTCCAACAAAGGAACGTCAAAGGTCGGTAAAATAAAGAAAAACACAACTAAGAGGGTGCTGTTGTGTGTGGCTTTTTCCAATCTTGGATCAATTGTGCATACATAAAGCAGCAAACGTGTGCTAAAAAATGTATCTCTATAAAGACACATCCTCTTCCTCTGTTTGTACACCATGAGGTCATTAGTTCATCCTCTGTTTATATCTCACTCCTGCAGTGAGAGGGTAGGGGAACAGGTTGAGCTTGATTTTTCCTTAGGTCAGCTGGCACAGCAGCCAGGCAGAAACAGAACTCTGAACGCTGCAGACAAGTGAAGCTTATACCTTTGCACCAGCCATGCCAACGCAACCACTCCTCAACCGCTTTCATTTTCTACAACAGTAGAGCTTTTGTTGTCAACTGCAGCAGAGCTTTGGTACGGTGCCACTTTTAACTCTCACAGGTTTACCATTCATCTGTAGTCTCTTGCAGGCACATAGCGAGTCACTCAGCACAGACAATGACGGCTGTGGCATTAACTACAACAAGGAAGTGGTAATGTTGCATTTCTTCACAGCAGAACAATGAGAGTCTTTGTGTCTTTTTGCTCTTGGAAATTTATCTTTAGTGGAGGAAGCTGCTGATACTGTCTTTCTCAATCGAAATACCTGATTTTGTCCTTATCTCCTTATATCCTTATAAACATCAAAGACACACAGGTGAGGTGTGTGAGCGCTTTTACAGGATTACATATCACTAGTCTGTTCTAACCATATATGTTCATCCCCCTAAGTTAGACTGTAAGCCTGATTTGATGCATGCATGAGTCTAACACTTACTTTATAACTATATAACAATTAAAGATGAACAAAAAGACTTTCCAAAGTCCAGATCCTGGTTTTAAAAAGAAGACAACCCTGTTTCAAAATAATTTGAATATATTGTAAAGTAAAAATGCAGATTGTATAAAGCAAGGTAAGCTGTTATTTTTAAGACCCTTTAAAGCTCCTGTAAGGAACTTTATGTTTCTGTTGATTTTGGCGCCCTCATGTGGATTAAATGTTAGCTCTTATCGCTTGTCTGTACATATGAAAGTATTTTTTTACTAACACTAGTTCTGCAATTTGAAAGTCGAATTGTTGTTTTTTTCTGCAGTTTTGTGGATTCCAGGTCATCCATTTTCCCTCACGCTGAAATAGTAAAGAAATATTGAAAATATCTTTACTGTATTTAAAATTCATTCCAATAAAGTTACCAAAAAAAAACAAAAAAAAACCAGCCCGTAAAACATGAAAAGTGAAGGTCAGCAGAGACTTATCTCAGCTTAGGCCCCCTAGGGTCCAGGTCAGGTCAGCCCTCAGGCTGTTGGCTGCTGCTTCCCTCAAGTGACAAGTGATCACTGATGGTGCTCTGGCTTTAGAGATAAGTGGCACCATCTATTGTTGTAAACAGATACTGGCATTCAAAAGACTAAACCCTGCATTCCCCAGCATATGTAGTGCTGTAAATTTTGATTGATCTCCACATACAGAAATATGGCTGTGACACATGCTTACCGTCAGTATTTTCTTGCTCATTATGTTGATATTTTTGAAACAGCAGCTGATTGATCACCTTATTTCAGTGCTAATTTTTTGATTGGCTGTTTAGTTTGAGTAATTTTATTGTAGAAAGTAAATTCATGTGTTAGTTTCTGCAGTCTCACAGATTTGCAGCTCTACACGTCAGGCAAGGTTTGATCTAAGCTTTGGTTCTTCACTCGGTCAACTGCTCATCTTTCTGTTGTTAATCAAACCAAGCAGCCAATCAAAGGGCTTGGTCAGAGTTAAAAGTGGCCTGTCAAAGGAGAGGAGACTCAGACCCTGTCTATCCATGCATGCCTTCAAAATAAAAGCCAACCTTAGAAGTTAGCAAATGTTTCAAGTGTTTGTAACAACCAGATGCTCCTGGAACAGCATATGAGGTTTTCTACTTGTGTTGTTTTCCTATTTGAAAGAGTTGAGCCCACTTTGAAGCCTGAACACACTCATATACTATTTTATAGGTCTCCATCCTTCACATACAACAGATGAACAGTGTTGAAAAGAGCCAGAATTTGATGTCTCATAACCTTTCTCTGTTTTATAGGAACCGAGGCATCTCCAGTTCATTGCAGACTTTAGTGACAGTGATGTCTACACGGTGCTGTCAGCCAAAAAACTCCATGGAGCACCTACAGATTATGGCTTCTGTGTCAAGGTACTCTGTCTTGCAATGCCAGAAGAGTACAAAAGAAGCAGAGGAAGAGTATTGATTCCCAGTGTGTTGATCTGCTTTTGTCTCCCTGTGACTTCTTTCTACAGTCCACAAAGTGTAGCTCGGCCCGGGACTTGAAGCTGCTTTGTGCGGATGATGAACAGACCAGGACCTGCTGGATCACAGCCATGCGCTTGTTAAAGGTTGGCTTGCTGATCACTAACTGCGGGTGATGTCTAAGAGGAGGAATGCTGAGTCAGTGCTCGAATCAGATTTAGCTTTGGTGGGAGGTCAAGGGAAACTATTGAGTGTTGCTGGATTAGCACTCCCACTCTTTATAGAAGCAGCATGTGTTCATTGTCTGGATATCTGCTGGATACAGTTTAGAGCATTAGTCACTCTCCTGCCGGGCTATAAATAATTTACAGTAAAGCACAACAGCCTGTGGTCTATTTGTATCTGCCTTTCCATCTATATAACACAGCTTATTGTAAGTAAAATGAAAATGTAGGCTTTAAAACACTGACTCTTTTTGTTTGTTTCAGTATGGGATGCAATTGTACCAAAACTTCATTCAGCCTCACCAGAAACAAAAAGCTTCTCCCATGGTAAGATGATTGTCTTATTTGTGTCTCATGCAACCAATATGACAGGGACTGAAATGTGAATAATTTAAATTGCAGATGATATTTCCAATCTGGTGTGCTGTGTATTCCAAAAACAACTTTTCAATGTAAGCAACTGGCGAGTAGGGAACATCGTAAAATGTTAAGCATTTCCATTTTCCCTTGATATCGATATGAAACATGGTCAAAATGCTTTTCAATAGTCGGCATTCTGCCATGTTTTGGTAGACTATATGAATAGCCAATGAAAAGAGGAGTTGCTCCAGGTCATGCTGTGCTGAACCAATCATGTGCTGAATTAGAGCAAAGTAGCAAACACCTGCGTAGTAGCAGGTTGCAGCTACACACTAACTATAGCACTTTAACAAGTGAAGCCGACAGCACTGTCAGTGGGAAAAAGAAGAAAATGTGTGCTACCCCCGGCAGAAATGCAGATGAAGGCTCAACAGATGATGACATGGTTGACAACACTGACATGAAACCGTTGGTGGTGTGGAGGTGTTTTGTCTTTTTGACGGTCGGACATGAAGCAGAGTAGCTGCAAACTATGTCGGGTACATGTTAAATTTCATTTAAGAGTAACAGGGAACATTTAAGATTGACAAGTGATTTTTTTTATATTGTGATACATATCGATATCGACTGATATGAAAAAAAATAAAATGTTAAACATTTTCCCTTATCGCCCAGCCCTATAGAGAGGAGACCAAAGCTTAAAGTCATGTTAATATTCGACCTCTATTCTTCAGGTGAAATGCTGTGTTTATTGGAGTGGGTGCACTACACCTTTATAAGGTAGTAATATGTCAAGGGTATTTCTAGATCATTCCACGGCCCCATGGTGACCAAACAAAAATCAATTAGAGCAGCTTTAAAAATACATCTCCATGTGTTAAAAATACATCCCAGCTAACACAGGCTCATGCATAGCAGTAGGATGATAAAATTACATAGGACAAATGAGGCACCTTCTGTGTGTTAATGTGGGGTTTGGTGTCCCAGAATAGCCCCAGACCCTGCTGGGAGTATTCTCACCGCACTGAATACGATCTATTTATGGCTTTTGGACTTGTTCATGAACCCTTTTGCTTTCTAAAAATACCCCAGGATCAGCTGCTCTCAGATTTAACAACTCATCACCTCTTCTCTGCTGTCGGAGGGTCGTATGTGACAAACAGCCTCGCCAGGAGGATTAGAGGTAGAGGGAGAGTGTGAATTTGCGGTGTGACAGATTTAGCCAAACATAGTACCTTGAGAAAAAGACGGGATCACTGCAGAGTAATTAAAATCTGAGTTTGAAGACGGTGTGAAGTTATGCATTCAGAAGCTACAACATATTGGCATACTCACACTGGGGTCACAGTAGGTGAGAGGACTGGGAAAGCCTCTATCCTCAAATAAACACTGCTCTCTCTGTATACGCCACTCATTTTAATTGTACGCTAAGTAGGTGGTGGGTGGAGGAACATATGTGGTAATTTTAAAGCTTCTTGGTAAATCCTGATAAGAGGAATTTTCTTGAGAGTGTGCAGTGAGCCACTTGCTTTATGGCAGCTTAGAGGACTAAAATGTGCCACTTTGTCATTCCTTTCAAAACCACTCTAATCCTTTTTTTCAATGGACTTTTCTGTCTGAAATCATCAAGAAATTATGAAGATGGAGTCGTGTTACTCAGACACTAGATGGCAATAAAATACTGTGAGAAAGTAAAGGGCTCTACTTCTTTTTCTGCTGTATTTTACAGGAAAACACACCGGTATAGAGTAGCTGTGGGATTCTTTTTGAGGCATGAAATCAGATGTAAATAAAAGATTAATGTGTATCAATTTCAGAGGAGCATCTCAGAGAATTCACTGGTGGCCATGGACTTCTCTGGCCAGAAGAGCCGAGTGATTGAGAACCCGTCTGAGGTGCTGTCTGTGGCCGTAGAGGAGGGACTGTCATGGAGGGTAGGTCAGGGTGTCACTTACTTAAAACTGTCACTTCAACTTTATCTACAGTCTGTGAGGAAGAACTGACAGAGACTTTCCCTAATGCTGATTTGAGCTTGTAAAAAATGTACAATTTTAATGAAAAATGGTGATGAAAAGGCATGAACACCAGACATTAACCCTTAGAACTCCAGGATATATTTAGCTATTTTTGGTCCAGCTGCTTTTTAAATTGTATTTATTTATTTTTTTTGTAAAAATCTATTTAGCAACTTTATATTTTCAAGCCTTAGTTGTTAGTTTATGAGTGCTAAAATGATGTAAAATTAAAGTAAAAGTAGATTTAGCACCATAAAAGTAAAAATAAAGTAAAAAAAAAACAGAAGTGCATAAGTGGTTATTGAGCGATATCAACCTTTTTTTATCACAACAATATAATAAATAATCATGTTTTCACTGATACATCACTATGGAATTACCATTAAAAGTCTCAGATCAAACACCTATTTTTGCCGCTGGATTGTAAATCTCATGGAAGGTATAAAAATACCTGGAAACTCTCAATAGATCACAGAAAGGGTAAGATTTCCAGGGAAACACAGTATAGCTCCTGAGAAATTGTAAACAATAGTAATGGTGTCATGTGGGGGCGCCTGTGATCTAGCATGGTTATAAGTGTTAACTCTGCATCAACTCGACTTCAGCCTCACTCTAATTGTAAGTTTTTTCTCCCGTAGAGGAAAAGCTGTCACCGTCTGAGCGGCCATGGCAGCCCCTCCACATCCCAGAACTTGATGTCAAACATAGGTTAGTAGAGGGACTCTTTATTGTTGTGACTTGCTGCCCCAACACCAGCGAGTAACTTATAATCTCTGCACTCTCTGTTTGACACAGCCCTGCATTTGACTCAGCCCTGGTTCCACAGTAAACTGTCTCGAGAAGAGGCTCAGCGTCTCATCACTCAGCAGGGTCTTGTTGATGGGTGAGCACTACTCGATCCTCAATATCGTCACCCTTTTAAAAGAATGGCCTAAGTCATTTTTTTTTTGCCTTAATCATCTCTTGATAATGCTGGCCAATCCTTAGTTGAAAAATTCATAGCATTATCCTTTCAACTAAGGATTTAGGTGATTTTACCAGAGATGGTCGGCATTATCGAGATAATTTAGTTATCAAGTGTTTTAAATATTAAAATGATGTTATAAGGATTGTAAAGGACAGGCAACTATAAGCATTGTGCTTCCGCCTAATCCTTTTTTTGGTCAAGTTTATAATTCTGTTTGTTTCTCATTTGTTGTTATTGTGACAAAAAATTTAGGCCAAAAACTAATTTTTGTCAAAAAAATGACTTAGGTCATTACTTTAATAGGGTGACGGTATGAGACTTTTTAAAATATGTTTACCTTAATGATTAAAGTAAGTTCTGAACATAGCTAAAGATCTGTGATTTATGGACCAACAGCCTTCAGCTTTCTTTTGTTTGCAGGGTATTTCTTTTGAGGGACAGCCAGAGCAACCCTAAGACGTTTGTGCTGTCACTGTGCTACACGCAAAAAATCAAACACTTTCAGATCGTACCTGTAAGTACATCCCGCTGTTTAGATTTCCTTCATCTTTCTAGGACTGCCTCCAAATTTGTTTCTGTAGCTTCTTTCTCACCTGCCTCTCCTGTGTTTCTCCTGTAGGTGGACGATGAAGGCGAGTTATTCTACAGCCTGGATGACGGCCACACGCGGTTCACTGACTTGATCCAGCTGGTGGAGTTCTACCAGCTAAACCGTGGCGTGTTGCCCTGCAAGCTCAAACACCACTGTGCCCGGATCACCCTGTGAACGAGGGACCCTGGAGACCCCCCGTGGGGCCGGCGTGCACCTTAACTCCAGGGCCTTTCTGGACAAACACTCCCGTTGTTCCTGTGCCTTGAAGAAGAAATACACAGAGACTCACAGAGCAGCCATACTAACTGAAACCACTGTTATCGTTCACTGTAGCCAACATTCACACTGAAATACATGCCCCCTCAAAGCAGAGTCTGATAGTAGACCATTCATGTGTTGAAAATGAAGGGCTACAAATGAAAGACAATATTGTTTTTCCTAGTGAGTGATTTCAGCAGCTGGAATGAATTTGAAGATATTTCCGTACAAAGTAATTACACGAATTCGATCTGATGAGAATCAGATCCTGACAGCAGAATTAAACTGAAAATTATCGTAGACAGCACCTCTGCTCTGTTGGCTTTCAGTCAAACTAAGCTATCTTAATTTCCATTATCCTTGAATCTCAAAGTGTTCAGGTATTTTTTAAAGAAATCCTTCTTGTTTTCTACTGACCTCTCAGGAAGCGTCAACGTGCATGACCTGAAAGCTGTAATGAGACTGATTTAGAGAGAAAAAAAGCAGAGGTGATGTTCAGGTGGAAAGACACGGTACACAGCATAGCTAACCTGCACTGTACAATTGTTTCAGATCTTTGTGATGACATGAAATGTTTGTGTTACAAGATTTCTAAGCTTGCTCTACAAACAGAGCAGAAAATATTTCACCGGTTTGAGGTGGAGCTAAGAGAGACATATGTCAGTGATCACATTTGAATCCCCTGTATACTGAAATCTAGGTTTTATATTTTTAAAGCTTCAGGTAAATTTACTAAACGTGTTTGTTTTTTTATTCTTTGGATGGTATTTCCACATTTTATGGATTTAAGATGTCACATAGTTCTGTTTTAAAAAAAAAAACAATCACGCATCAGCTTTTAATACAAGGTGTTTTAAATCAGAGGAGATTGGATCGACCACTTGCATTACTGTATGAGCTGGATAACCATGCATTGAATGATGAATGTCAAAAACTACAGAGGTTTTTATATAAAAGAAAGCCTGTTTGTATGTTGATTTTTTTATAGATTATGATCACTTTTTAAGTTGAAAAGGTTTCAGTGATGTCTTTAATTTTTCCTCTTTATTGATGTGAATGTAGTTCAGGACAGAGCACAGTAAATTTAGGAGCACAGATATGATCTGGGACGGATCTTTAAAAAAAAAAAATCAGAGCTGTAAACATTAAAGCTTCTGTGTGGTAAATGAGGCGCAAATGGGTCGTATTCTATAAAACATCCACCTGAGTCTTCTCGTCACACCATCTACTCATATATTTCTATCTTAAACACAAACGTCTTGATTTTCTAATGAGGTTAGTTGAAGTTAGTCATGCTGAATTATACAAGAGAGCATTATCAGGCATGATTTACTGCACTGATGGCACTGCTGTCTATTGCACCGGTACATAGGTCATTTTTCCAACCACTAGATGGTACTAGAAGCATTTTGCTTTTGCTAGTCAAGGTGTACCTCTGCAATCATGTTGCATCTGGTGCAATTTAAATTACATAATACGTGTAAAATGTGTCAAAGATGCAAATTACATTCATGTGTGAAAAAAGCCTGCTAAAGTTCCTCACTTTACAGCAAGTATCTGACATGATAACGTGCACACTAAGAATTCAGTTTTCGCAAAATGATGTTTTATTCAGTATATTTTACACCAGCATCAGCCCGTCTTCTTGGATTTGCTGTGCTAAGTAATTTATTTTCACAGGTGCAAGAAAGAAATCAGGGTAAATCACTTTTTTTTATTGTAACTGACTTTTAAGGCCCCGTAAAACATAAAAGAGCTGGTGTTGGATAAGATTTTGCTTCCCAACAAAACAATAAACGGCAGAGTGTCTTGTCTTGAAGGCTCCGTGTTAAACAATCCTCTCTGATGTGATACAAACACATTGCCCCTATACCTCTGCTGCTCTACTTCAATAGCACGTTTTTGAAACAGTGCTCACATCCAGGGGAGATGTGTGCACACAGAGAAGTCTTAAATGCACCCCTGCTTCCGAGGTCCTGTGCTAAATGTTGTTTTGGATGTATTCCTGCCATTGATCGGAGTCTGGCTGCAGGGGGAGAGATGGCAGCTGGGAGAAACTGCGCTTCCTTTAATGAATTCATCCAGCTCCATCCTGCCCAAACGGCCTGTGGATACAGTGTTCCTCCCAGTAAATAAAACCTCTCTCTGCTCTGTTTCGGCCCTCATGGACAACCAGCACTGTTCCTAACACTTCTCAGCACTCCTGCCTGCTCTCTCACTCTTATGACTTCAGGTTTTGCACTCGAGAGTTTCAACTTAACTCTGTTCTCAAATGCCCCTCTCCTTGTATTCCCCCAGTCTGTTTTCAATTATCGAGCTTCGCTGTCTTCGGCCAATTACTGATTATCTCCAATGAAGTGAAGACCTTGCTGTTTGCACTGCTCTTGATCCACAAAAGGGCATTATCTGGGCCCGGGTATGAGTCTGGGCAGAGAGGATGAGGTAATGAGGGAAGGTTTGTTTGGGGATGCGTTATAGTCAAGGTTAGAGGCTTAAACTGTTTCTTTGTGAGGAGCTCTCCCATCAGGAGTATCTGCAGCTTGAAGCAAATACAACAGCTCCTCACTGTAGTTACAGTAGACACAATGCACTGTAACAAAGATAACACAAAAAAGATATTAAATAAGTTAGGAAAAAAAAAAGACTTCTCACACTCTGAACATAAACAGTGAAAAAATAGACCAAACAGAGGACTTTAGTAACTACAATTTTGGACACACTGTGGAGGCTGTAGTCTTTTTTTTATTGCCTATTTTCATTTTGCAGCAATAAACATCCAGTTTCCATGGATGCTGGCCAAATAAAGTAAAAGAAGAATGCTGTTTAAAGAGATTATAGATCAGAAGCTGCATGCAGAGGAGGTCATGTAGGTGGATAGGATGCATTTCCCACTCTTTTCTTTTTATAAAAGAAGAATTCAGTGGGAGGATTTCCTTTCTGCAGAGTACAGTACGGCCTTGTTGAGATCAAATTGGAAAACTTGCCTTACTTATAATAGATGCATGCAGAGACAGCCACTGCACCGATTATTTAATACATCTGTGTGAAATGTCCCTTTACTTCTCAGTCGTGAAGGTTTTCTCAGTGACTCCTTTATGTTGTTTGGTTTAAAGAGAAATTTAGGTAGCTGCACATTTATTTATAGCAAACATAATTACCCAAATTTCTACAGTTGTTAAGATGATTTTAAGCTGATAAATAATAGGTTGAAAATATATTAAATTATCTATTATAACTGCAAAAACAGTGTTGTGAAGTGGTGTTTTCTTGGCATATTGAGCATCCTTGGTTTTGTGTTATCCCTCAGATAATTGCCCAGACAGCGCTTGCTCCACAAACCGCCTTTCTAACCTCTGATATATTTTTCTGGGGGTCCTGGAACCGGCAAACGGTAAGTGCCAAGCTTTGTTAATTACAAGGATAACACATGCACTCGTCAAATAATGGATGTGGTTTGCAATTTCAAGTTTTAATAATCAATTACTGGTGGTAATTCTCTGTGGAGTCACAGGATAGTCATTAAATCTCAAAAGGCGAGACACACGCAATGTAGTATTTTTTCAGAGCCCTATTTTTAAATACATAAGGGAACTGGGTGTGCTTTAATCCGGTGCATTTTGTTGCCTTATTACAATGTAAAGTAGCTCAATTAGAGCTCCGCAGCACAGCAAGTAAAGTAAGTGTTAAAGACAGTGAGTGATGCATGGTGGTATTAATGCTTATTCCTGCAGGAGCTGAGAGGATGTACAGAAAGACTGCGCATCCTTTTATTTATTTTTTCTCTTCTTGAATATGAGTTTCTGCCTCCATTACAGCCGCCTGAAGTTTTTGTCTTTTGTCGCTCAGCCTGTCTGATCTTAGCAAACAGGTAGATGCACTGCTGTTGAATCAGTGTGTTCCCTTTTTTCTTTTCAGAGGGGTTCCTGTTATTGTATTTTCAGTCCTCCTTCAAAGCTGAAACATTGCTGAGGTTCGTCATGACCTTGAGAAATTAACATGGGAGGACTGGCTCTGCTCGGAGGGAGCCCTATAGAGGCCACGTCCCCTCCTAATCCCCAGTTGAAAGGCATACCTCCACTGCTCCGACCAAATCGCCACAACCCGGCTTTAGCCAAGTGTTTACATACTAACAGACCACATCCTGGCACACATCAAGACCAAAATCAAGTTGAACTGGGACTGCTCTCTTTGTTATAGACACAGGCTGGGGTGACCAGTGTGTGAATGAATGAAGATCCCAGCTAACATACAAATAAACACACACCTGGACTTTTAGAGAATGACCTAACACATGCTGTTCTTCAAGTTTAATTCAAATTAATTATTTATTTGAAACATATCTTGACATATTAAAGGACGTATGCAAAGTTTAATTCAGGCTGTTTTCTTCCACGTTGATGCAGGTTTTGTGTGTAAAATGTGTGTGAGACAGAGGAAGAGGAGGCAGGGGGAGGTACAGAGGACTGTGAGGCAGAGGAGAGTTTTGGCCCTGCACACATGAACAAACAGAGAATCTGAAGTGCAGCGCCCTGTGTGGCTGCCCACCAACTGAACAACATTAAGGCAGTCCTCCATGTAAAAACCTGCTCACTTCTACTGCGAAAAAAAAAAAAAAACACTCTCCAGTTTGGCAAACGGGCAGCGGCTCAGCGGGGGAGGAGCTCTCCCTGGAAGGCAGACGTTGGACAGCAGGGAGACATAAACCACAGCTTCTGCTGGTGATGGACTGATGTTTTAGGTGATCAGGGGGATGGATAAGAAAAGGAAAACGACAGGGGTAAAACCAGGAGGGGGTCTTGGAGAGGAAAACATTTCTGACTTTAAAGGAGGAGAGACATGAAAAGTGAAGTAAAGCTGAGATGTTTGACAGTGTGGCGCTTAGGATGAATGTGACTGTACAGACAAAAGCTGGCCAAAACATCTCTGATTCACTTTTACCCGGCTCCCTTTCACTTACACACCATAACCAAGTTAGGAAAGAAACTTCAAACCAGCATGATATATTTATCAGGAGGGCAATTTTCTTCAAGGTCATAAAGCAGAACCTGGGATGATATATTGTCCTTGCATTATTCTGCTAAATAGGTCAAAATGTTCACCACGGGCACACACAGATGCACGTGTGCGCATGTGCACAAGCACATCTACACCCGTATTGAATCAATTTACATTCCTGCCTCCTGTTTTGCTCATTTACATGGTGTGCGGGTGACTCCTGAACAGGGTAAGGAAGCCTTGTGGAAGAATTCGGAAATGGTCCATTTCTGAGAACACAGCGGAGTAGAAGCAGAGCAGCATATGTTGGGATTTGAATGGTCAATCGATGAATAACCCAGAGCGCTGTTTTTCTGTGCAGATTGGCAGGCATTGTGTAGTGCTATCTATGTGTGTGTGTGTTTGTGTGTGTATGTGTGTGTGTAAGAGGGAGAGAGAGAGAGTGAGAAAGAGATGGGGGCATGGAGGAGTGGGGATTCATCCTTCCCCAAAGTATTACGCGGTGGTCAAAAATATTTGCAATGCCAGGAGGTATTTTGAAAGATATTTGAAAAAATTCAATAGCAGGCTGACCTTTTGCTGGGCATTTGTGAACATATTCACTCTGTGTCTAATCTGGCTCAGAGTCAGGGAGGATCTGTGTTACTGTATCATGCTGCTGAGTCTAAATTATGTTAATCTATTCTGCTCTTACATTCACTTTGATGTCTTTATAAAATGTTTTGTTTTTAATTTACAAGTCAAGGTGCAGGACTACAACTTTAGGAAAATAAAATGAGAGTGAGATGAAATTGAAATATTTGCACGCTGTTTAATGAGTATTGACATTTATTATTTTAAAAGAAATATCACATGCATCCTAAAGTGCTTGTATCTCTTTAATTTTACTGCTACTGCGGTTAATCATATGTATCATAAAAGGTTATCTTCCTTGTGTTTTTATATGTGGATATAAATGTATAATTGCAGATCAATTAATTCAAAGTAAAATCTTCTTCCTGATGAGCTGAGCTGTGAAACATGTCTCATTCTACAAAAGATCACCACAAGAGGGCAGAAAATATCCAAACACAAATAACCAAATGATTTATAACTCATTTAACTATATGCCACCATATTTAGATCTGCACGTAACTCTGCTGTAGTGCCTCGGATCAAATGTTCAAGATCATTCAT